GTGTTGACAAGGAGACTTTGTTTTACAATCAAGAGCATCTTTGGTTGGTGATCATTTCCCTTTTTTCTCATGACCATAATCTGTGATTCAGGGGTGATATTGTAGGGAGAAATTAAATGCTAGTCACTCTTTGGGGTTTTTTCTTACAGACCTTGCTCATCAGGTGATGCCCTATCACTACCAATTGGTGAAAATGTGCGCGGACAGTCATTACTGTTAATTTGTAGCTTTGAAAAGTCCGACATGAGCTCTGTATCTAAATCATCATTAGGTCCATTCTGATGCCCTTCGGACCCTTGCATGATATTGCTGACAGACATCTCAGATTCATCAATCTCTGGGTGATCAGCATTAGTTGTCATGTTTATAGCTGTGCCTGATTGCCCCCTACAAAAATTAAAAAAATACATGAAAAATATTAATTTTGGATGGTGATATGGTGCAGTTCCAACAGAAGTTCTAATGGAATGCTAAACAAATCATCATAGCAGCTATCAGCAGATCAAGGATCATACTTAGTCTTGGAGATCTCATTAGCAATCCTCCTACTGTCTGACATACAATTCCTTACAATATTAGTTTGGAGAATTTGGTATTGTATCAACTAATATTTGCCAAGTTGACATTTTTTGTTATTCTCATCACTTGTCTGCTTGATATTGTATTGATATTGTAAGGAGAAAATCTGCCTTGGTCACACATAGGAGTTAAGGGTAAAGCTTATAACTGAAGAAATTAGGAAAAACCTTGCAAAGAAACTAACACTGGTAAATTCTGGAACTGTCAGCTGTGCAACAGAACTTTACAATTTCTCTTTATTTACAACAGATGTCAACAGACAAAGAGATACATGTTAAAAAAACTAACAAACAGGTCCAGTGAGTAGAAATGTTTTAGTAACAAAGTTTCTCAATGCAATCATCCTATAGTGCCATTGCCAAAAAATTGTTTGCTTGTTCAAACAAGCATTTTGTTCACCATGGCAAGTGAAAAATTCAAAAAAAGGAAACAAACAAACATCAGCAGGGGACTCAGTGAAAAATTGACCTTGAGCCCTGATTTATATATATATACACCTATTTTCAAAAACATTGCAATTTGAAAAAAAAATATATGAAATGTGTATAAACAAAAGGTTTACATATTTCATGTATATTTTAAAATTTTAATGTTTTTTGAAAACTGATGTATATATACAGTATATATTTTTTATAGACCATGTTGTTATCACATGTAGCTCCAGATGCATACCAGGAGATTTCCATCTCAATAAGCTTGTTATAAACTACAACCAATATCTCTCAACTTACCTAAAGCAGGGTAAATCAGCTATAAGCTGGTCAAGTAACTCCTACAAAAATATCAGACACAGCATTAAAATCAATATGAACATACACTTTAAAGAGGGACAGGAAGATCAGTACTCAGTAGAACTAAATTCTTCATTTCTTACCTTGGCTGTTTCAGTGTAAAAATTATGCTCTTCCTTGGTCACAACTTGGGTTCTCTCTGTCCAGTTCTGTTCTTCGTCAAGTTTACGAATATCCTCCCAAGCAGTATTTTCTTCTCTTTTGTGAGGGATTGTGTGCCGTGCAGGAGAATTTTTGAATGAGACCTGAAGAAAAATGAAAAAGTTGTAAATACACCAAAACCATGAATCAAGAGGAAAATTTTGCATTCTGTAGCTTTCAATTTTTTAAATGTGATTGTCAGTTTTAGGAAAGCTTTACTACAATTACATCTTGGATAGAGATGCCTATCAGCTGTCCAGTATATCCCAATAAATCAGGAAGCTGTCATTTGTAGGGAAAATGCCTCAAACTTATTTTGAAGCCATACACACAGAAAGGAAAATCTATTTCCAGTCTTTCACACTGTTCACCTGGGACTTTCTTGACCAAATGGTGATCAGTATAAGAATCTAACAAGCAGCATTAACATGTTCAGTAAATGAAGACAAATAAGCTATCATGGGAACAAATAAAAGTTTCATGAGCTACATGTAATATGGCTGAGGAAGTCATGGCAGCATTTATGATGTATATTTTGAAAAAACCAATGGTTAAATTCATCATCAGGTCTAAATGTGTGAACATGACCTTCTACATGTTGTACACAAGTACCATGAGTCGAAGAGAATCCACTGATAATACTAATCTCTACAACCTTCTCTTCCACGAATTTGCCTTTTGCCTCTGTCATAACAGTCTTGATCTGTTAAAATGATTAAGTGGGCCTACTTGGTTGTTGTGACAACCAAGAGATTGGTAATCAAACTATATATACTAAGGCAAATGAATATACTTGTATGGTTTCCTAGCTGAAAGTTGCAGCAGTGGCTGAGCTTACATTGAACAAATATGCATGTAACAACAACATTTGATCTGCTACTGTAACTCACCGGTGGTTACAAATATCTCATTAGCTTCCATATTAAAATGAGCAAACTATAATAATAGTAACACACCAAAGCTGTAATTGGAGTTGGAGCATAATAATTTTACAGCAAGGTGAATTAAAACTTTCAATTTGGAGGGCTGAGGACAACCTTGAAAAATTGTCCACACATTAATTAAGTCATACCCAAGAACCTAACAATGTAATAACAGTGCTACTCGTGGTAAATCAGAAGATATTGTCGGAAACAGAATTTTACCATCCAAAGATCACGCCAATTAATTAGTGATTATTTATATATTGAGGAGGCAAAGAATTATCCATTTCGTTTTCTAGTTAAGGAATCTTCTCGTTATTATAAATCAAATATATCATGCCCCTGAGATTTTTTCCACCAGAAACTATGCGGGGATTTTTAATCTCGTTACTCCATACGTACTCGATCGACCCGGGCAATTAAATATTATGACCAATCCCGTTTACACGTCGATGAAACGAAAACTAAGGAGTTTTTAGCTACGACTTTTGATACGGGTAACCCAAAAATTTCCATAGTCAAAAGACAGTCACAGTTCCAAAAGACACAACCTTACCTTAGTTAATTTCTTTTCCAAGGGGCAGTTTGCTCTCTGAGAAGATTTTAATATCGACACAACTCTTGGCAGTTCCCCATCTTGAAATTTCTCCGGGACACCCTGGTTCTCCTTATCACCTACTTCCTGGCTAGGCGCCCTGAAATCCATTTACGATGAGACGTTAAAATTTATAATTTGTAAAAACATTCAGCAAACAATAAAACAACAGTAAAATTCAAAGGTTTACCATTTCGCGAACCGTTGGCCGCCTTTTCTACTGAGCCCGCGAGCACGAGGATGAGAGCCATAACAAGCATGCGCTAAGGTATGACGAGAATATATCTCCGGACTGGACTAAAATATGAGGATTTGGACTTTTCGCGGGGCGCGAAGGATTTTGCTTGGGTCACAATAAAATTTAATTGATTCCTCTGTAAGGCTCCGTATTCTTACAGTCCTCCCCCACCCCCCCGTGGGCTGTTTATTGGCAGTAAATTATTTTATAGTTCTCCTTTTATGCTCTGTTGGCGATTACTAATCCCCGCCTCTGTTCTTTCTGAAAACCACGTGATCCCCCAAAATCCTCCGATCGGCCCCTGCCATAAATGATGACTTTTCTCGGGGGCAATTATGACAGATATCATGACATGATTCGGCAGGATGCCGTCTGGAATTATCCTGGGTGAGATCTCGACGTATCCCCGAGAAATGATATTTCTGTCACTTGAAATGAATATAATAATATGCCGTTGACCTATTCAGTTGTAGACCGTGCAAGAAGCTTGGAGCTTGGTACAGATACTCCGAGAAAAAAAAATAAGAAGCCCCGGGAAACATCGAGCGAAGATTGGGTCAATATCGAAATTCCACTGTTACTTGCCATCACTCACTCACTCACTCATCCCCGTAACATAGTGGCTTCGTCTCCGATTATGAAGGAGGCAGTAGCCACAAAAACCCTGTAAACTACGAAATCGTAGATAGATTGATCATAAGGAACTTCCTTTTTACGCTGCCGTCGTTGCGGACCTCTGAGTATGATTGTCATGGGGCTCAGTAGGCTTTGTCCTGAATTGTAATTGAACTTTTTTACTTCCGTTTGCTATCAGATAGTTGGCCAGTGAGCCTCGGAGTTCCCACGTTATTAAAAAGGTGTGGAAAGGCACTTGTTGGACACTAATTTATTTCTTCCTTTTCTGTAAAAAAAAAAAACTTTATGATGTTGATGGAGCGTGATTAAAACAACGAAGAAACACTTTAAACTACTACAATAGGACCACCATTTAATTTCTCTACTCAAACAATGTTTTAATTTTGAAATCTTTACTTCGTTATCATTTTAAAAACTAATACCACGAAATTTTCAAAAGTTCACTTGCTATAACGGTTGTTCATCAGCTCGTCAGCTTATCTTTCTCAAAATGAAATCTTCAGCAATAAAACCGCCACTTTGGAGACTATTTGACATCTGAAATCATAGTGAATATATTTTTCACCGCTGTATCATTGTAAATATACAATTTCGTAGCAATGCTATTAAGGGAACAGTCACTCTTTTTGATCGCCAGGAAGTTAGGGGTGGCGCGAAGATTTTGGGGTAGATCACATGGTTTTCAGGCCAACGGAGTGGGATCAGTCGTCGCCAACAGAGGATAAAAATTGACCATAAGTATATTACTGAGCCTTATAAGTGGAGTCAGGTAAAATTTATCGTGATACCTCCAGGTGATAAAAAATGACCGACCCCTCACAAACCATTTCTGCACTGAACATTGCTTGATAAACCTCATGTTAGCTCTTAAAAAATGCTACACGATTTACTGAAAGTCATGGAATAAATTCTTTTTATTGTAGTGAAGATTCCCTTGAAAAAAAGTACCATCCTTTATTGTGCGTTATATTTCTCGTCTGAACATACGTTCAAAACCTGGAATGATCGCCATGTGTTAACGAGGGATTGATGGAGTACGCTCGCTGATCAATGACGATGAAATATTCCAGCTATATCATGGTTCTTTGTTTCGCCCATTTACTATACCCCGGTTTTATTTTCCACTAAAGACCATCTTATAAAACCACTTCGAAGCCAAAGAGCATTAAATAAGGTCTGTATATCTCTTTGACGCAAATTCTCGATATAAACGGAGATTGCTTCGTCCAGTCCATTTGCTGCAGCAGGTCTAGTAGCAAACACATTTCAGTGTATGGTCGCAAATTCTTGTAGTAAACTAAACTGCTCGAGGTTACTGACGGAAATTGTCCGGCGAACTTCAACAACAATTGAACGTACCTGTGCAAATAAGAATAAAAATCACTTTAACAGTCGTGTTAAAAAGGGAACGCCATCTATCTATGGATATCGAGTTTTGCTGTCCTTTTCAAGTCAACTGAAGGAACAAAGAAAAGACCTTCGAAAGCTGAACTCACAAATACCGAAAGGAATCAATGAGAAATCAAATGAAAAAACAAGAAACTGTCTCAAGCGCGGGAAAATGCGTGTAACCAAGTTGCATTTGATTGGTTGAGAGGGTGGCGCGAGTTCTCTAGACCAATCACAGAGCGAAGTAAAGCAAGACCAATGAGATCCCGGTTCCTTTGAAACTCAATTAAAAATTGCTGTAATTCATCTCGTTTGACGTAGATATTAAAAGTTTTTTCGGTTTCTTTGTTTGGAAAAGACTCATGTAGAAATTGAGCCTAGCATTAATCACTAAATAGTGTACACTCACCAGTTGAGTAAAGAAAGCCGCCTCTTTCGGTTTCTCTGAATATTTTTCGTAATGATCCAAATTGTCCTGGAGTTTTAGCGTCAAAGTGTCATAATTACTACGTATTACGCCCAATACCTGAAATCATAAATTATCATACAGCGTTGTTACTTTTAAATGCTTAGTAATAAGCCACCATTTCAAGCCAAGCGATTTACCATCAAAAGCGAGCAATTCGGCAAAAGGACCGATAATCGTCTGGGGGAGTAGGGTCGGAGGATTTTGGTTGTAAGTTGTATCACGGGTTAAGTTTATGGTTTATGCAATATTCTCATGCCTCCCCCACCCCCCCCCCCCCAAGGTAGTTTATTGGCCGTGAATTTTCTATAGTTCCTCTTTCATACTCTTTCCCCCCTGAAAACCAAGCGGACCCCCTTAAATCCTCCGACCCCAAGGCGATAAAATTATTGGTCCCTGAGCAATGTACAAACCTGTTCCGAAGTCATTGACGTCAGGTGATTGACAGCTGCCCATGAATCGATTTTTGGCGTAAAATGGTTTATGATTGCCCTGTAAGAAGAATGCAAGGCAAGTCAAGCGTTTACATTCATTGTGAAGCTGCGATGAACTAACAAGTATTGAAGTATTACTTGAAGTATTACTCCTGGTCGCTTCATGGAACAGAAACCAGGATGACCTATGGCAGGATGCGCAAATTAACTCAAATGCTGTCCACCTAAATTGAAAGTCTAGCTCTTCAGGCCGTAAACATTAATTTATTTTGAGTCCCCATTGGCTATAACACTTTGATTCGAATTTGCCGTTGTGATAACTTTGCCTTTTCCGAAACTCGATCCAAATTAATTCTTATCTCACCTGACATTCACTAAAGAGCTCGCCAGACGAGAAGCCGCATCCTTCCAGTCGCCACCATTTGTTGAGTGTCTTAACGCTGTTGGCATCAAACAAATCGTTAACAGCTGACGAGTAATGGCAAAAAGAAAGAAATTCTAAGTTAATTCTTTCGCCGCTGATGCACGTCTTGACATTTAGCTTTACCTCGTTGTTACCCCAAGAAAACACAGCGGTCAAACATAAGGCATGCACAAGGGAATCAATTTTGGCCGGCCTTGCGCCAAAATCTCGCGAAAAATTTACGAGGAAAACGTGAAAAACAAACGGTATCTCGCAAAATAAGCGAAAGAAAATTGAACCTTTCATAGAAATCGATAAAAAGGAAACAAAAGCAGGAAAAAGGAAAACTCAAGACTTTTTGAACACAAAGCTTATTCAAGCGCGGGTATCTTGTTGATTTAGCATTCTGTTTTGAGCTTTGCCAAAAAAGTTTCACGCTTGTAAACAACGTGACTAACTGGCTTGTGTGGTTGTCTGTAACTTTTGTGAGACAGCTGGTACCGACAGCCTGAAAACACGCCATCTAGTGATTACAAAATTTGCACATGCGCTAACGTTTGACGTGTTATTTAGCTCGATGTTACCCCAAGATTGGCTTGAGTCGGTCTTAAATTTTCGCGCGTATATTTCAGCCAATGAGAAACAGTGACATCATAAGTCACCACCAAGTTGACCATCTTTGAAACAACAATACTACTCTGAAAGCTGTGTAAACTTAATATCACGTGAACAAACTCAATTTAAGCGAAAGAAAGCTTACAAAGTAGTTAATAATATCCTATACATCGTTATTTACTTACCCATAGAATAAAGATTGTCAAAAATTTGATGAACGCGAATGATTTCGTAGTAGAGTTCATCGTATGATGTCGGAGAAGGAAGAAATGTATCTCCATACGTGATGAACAAATTAAAAATGTTAACGACCTACAATAAAGGGATGTAAATAATAGTGAAAGCTTAGATGGAAAGAAACACGTATACCTCTTAAAATATACCACTCGCCTTCCTCAGTCGCTTTTTCGTTTGTAGTAATAACGAAGTTTATCGCACATCATCAAACTCTTATAATAAATAGAGGAACAACTTAAAACCTTCACACCCTAACATCAATATGCAAATTTTCCGCACTGTTCTCTTCATAATTCCTTTGCTTAACAATCAAGAGCTTCTTTAGTTAGTGTGTTACGAGTGATTACTGCTCGAGTTTCCCTGGTGAAAAACCTCACAGGATCTTTGAGGATCTTCAAGGATTGACAAAGACCTGCCAAAGATCCTTAAGGACAAGGATCTTTAAAAGATCTTTAAAGGATCTGTAAAAGATCCTCAAAGATCTTTGTAAGCAAAAACATTTGTTAAGATCCTCAAGGATTTGATAAAGATCCTCAAAGGATATTACAAAGATCCTCATAAGGATCCTCGCAAAGTTCTTTTCAAGGATCCTTCAAGATCCTCAAGGATTTAGCAAGGATCTTTCAAAGACCCTCAAAAGATCCTTTCAAGGATCCTTTCAAGATCTTTGTAAGGATCCTTAAGGATTTAATCAGGATCTTGCAAGGATCCTAGTCAAGATCTTTGCAGGATCTTTTTGAGGATCTTTCAAGATCCTCAAGGATTTAATGAGGATCTTTTAAAGACCTTCCAAAGATCCTTTCAAGGATCCTATTAAGATCTTTGCAAGGATCCTTAAGGATTTGATCAGGATCTTACAAGGATCCTACTCAAGATCTTTGCAAGATCTTTTCAAGGATCCTTTAAGATCCTCAAGGATTTAATGAGGATCTTTTAAAGACCTACAAAAGATCCTTTCAAGGATCCTGTAAAGATCTTTGCCAGGATCCTTAGGAATTTGATCAGGATCTTACAAGGATCCTTAAGTCAAGATCTTTGCAGGATCTTTTCAAGGATCCTTCAGGATCCTCAAGGATTTAATGAGGATCTTTTAAAGACCTTCAAAAGAACCTTTTAGGGATCCTGCTAAGATCTTTGCTAAGATCCTTAAGAATTTGATTAGGAGTTACAAGGATCCTAGTCAAGATCTTTGCATGATCTGTTCTACAATCCTTTAAGATCCTCAAGGAATTGAAAAGGATCTTCCAAATATCTTTAAAAGATTCATTTCATGATTTTGTACAGCTCTTTGTAAGGATCCTTTTTGAATTTGATGTGGATCTCAAAGGCAACTTTGTCAAGATCTCTACCACATCTCTGCATTATGAATTAGGTTCCTTTGAAATCCTCAAGTAATTTCAAACATAGAAAAATTGTATATTAAGGGCTCTCTGTTTTATCATTTAAACACAACAAGGAATTTTCGCAGAAAATTATTGTGCAATGAGTGTAATGAAGGTTACCGCATAGCAACGCCATGCTCGAGGCTTTCGGGAAACTTTGTGACTACTTACATGACAACAAATAGGGTTTTGCATTATGGGATAGGAATTTATACGCGCCGAGATTTTTAACGGTCGCATAAAAACATAAGAAGCTCGTTTTTACGGCAAATATCATCGACAATGGTCGGAACTAAAGGGAAAATGTACACAGAAATAAAGGTAAAGGAAAGGCGTTTTCTGGAGTTCAGAAACAAGCGAAAAGAGAGACAGAAACAACCGAAATCGTCAATCAAACTCCAAGCAGGTCTCGCGATTGCTCTGACTCTGGGGCTGAATGAAAAGAATTCATTGGTACTTCTGGAAAGAAAATGAAGATGCCATCCTCGCCTAATGATTCTTACTCTGAGCTCTTGGAGAGTGAGGATGCAAATGATGTGTTACAGGGACAAGGATACAGGCTTATCGATCTAGAGAGATTCTCCTCGACGCTCACTGAAGGACATGTTTCTGAAGAAGGTGTGAATTTACTTGGTTCTGTGTAACCAACTTAAAAAGCTCTTTTAGTGGTTTGTCATATGAATTCCCGAAAACACTTATTTTGTACCTCAGGATGTATTAGTTCAATTAATCTGAAGTTTTCAGGGCTGTATCCTCTTACTGAGTTGAGTTGGATAAGCTGACAGTTTCTCTATAAGCTGAATTTTAAGTAAGATGTTGTGGAATAACTCACCTAATAATCTCGGTGAACTTTGAACGGGCATTGTGCCCATAATATAAACGACTCCAAAAGTTCAGCTCAGCTCATCCAAAAGAACGACCCTAGTACTTTGTTTTGACACTAAAAACACTTGATTTCATGCAATCTTTGTGCAGTTATCTTTTCTCAAGTTTACCTAGGTTTTTCACACCATGTGGTGGACAAATTGATCTGATGTCAAATAACAAATTAGTTTAGGGCAACATATTAGTTATATTCAGTATGTGTGATTCCTAAGCTTTCCTTTGGTATATAGGTTAATATGGTTCAGAAATATAGTCATTGAAGTACTCTTGTTTGCCTTTTTTTCATGTTTACCCCCTCTGTAAGAGTAGTCTGAGTCTGGTCATAGTCTAGTCCTAGACAAGTTTAACACATATATTTTGGTCTTCTTATCTTTGAGCTGGACTGTTGCCAGATTTTTTGGAAAATGAAAATCTTAGTACTAACCTAAAGTCTGAACAGAAATAGTGTAGAAGTAGTCCTACTAGAAGAGGATGGGTAATTCTCGTTTAGCAATAAAAAAAAGTTTTATCTTCATTTTTTTATGTTTGGTTCAATTTTTCTTTTTAACTTAGTCTGAGGATTTAAGTATGCTTATTTTCTTGTCAAAATTTCGAAGGTTCTATAACATTCTTGCTAAGATCTTCAACGATCTTCCATTTCCTTGCCAGGATCTTCAAGGTTCACTGACATTCTTGTCAAGATCTTTAAGGATCTTCAAGTCTCTTGCAAAGATCTTTAATTTGGCTGTCAAAATCTTCAAGGATCTTTCTTTTTTATGCCAAGATCTTAAAAGATCTTTCAATTTATTGCCAAGATCTTTAAGGGTCTTTTATTTTCTTTCCAAGATCTTTAAGGATCTTCAAAATTTTCAAAAAGATCCTTGAAGATCTTGTCAAGAAAATGAGAGACCCTCAAAGATCTTAACAAGAATTTGGAAGATCCTCAAAGAATTTTCAAAGATCTTTAAAGGATCTTCAAAGTTCATGTAAAGATCTTCAAGGATCTTGACAGGAAAATGAAAGATCCTTAAAGATCTTGTCAAGAAAGTCAAAGATCCTCAAAGATCTTGGCAAGAAAATCAAAGATCCTTGAAGATCTTGGCAAGAAAATGAAAGATCCTTGAGGATCTTGGCAAGAAAATCAAAGATCCTTGAAGATCTTGGCAAGAAAATGAAAGATCCTTGAAGATCTTGGCAAGAAAATGAAGGATCCTTGAAGATCTTAACAAGAATTTTGAAGATCTTAACAAGAATTTTGAAGATCCTCATGAAGATCCTCAAGAGGATCCTCAAAGGTCCTCATGAAGATCTTGTAAGATCCTTAAAGATCCTTGAAAGATTTTCACCAGGGTTTGTGTCAGTACTTAACAGATACCACCGTCAAATTCATCATCTCTGAATGGAAAAAGAAGAAGATTCAGTTGTAAACGTACTTGCGATGCCAGGGAGAAGATATCACAGGTTTTGGTGAGGACCGTTTCATTGGACAGAAGGAACTTTAGGAAGTTCATTAGGGCCGTCCAGAAATTTTTCCACGAATAGGAGAGTCTCACTCGACATCTCTTCTGGTAACACAGCATACGATGCAAGATTCCAAATGTTTTACTGCACGAGTAAAGAAACAAAAAGATAGCTAATTTCAGCGTCCATCGCAAGCTATCCGTCTACTTCAAAGTGTTTTAAAATCGCAGGAATAAATTGCAAGATTTTAACCTTAGTGAGAGGGTCAACGTTCAAAGTCGTTACTTTTTACCTGTACAAGTCAATTGGTAAAGTTTTCATCATGTGAGTTACAATATATTCCACCATGAGGTCTGAAAAACAAACACTTTCATTCATTGAAGTTGAAACATTCAATAATTCTTCCCGTATAATTTCAAATGATTTGTGATAAAGAAGCCCCGAAAACAATTCTCTGTAAATACTTACCAAGTAACGCACACGCGAGAGGTCTTGAAGGAGCGTTCTTTTCGATAACTGGGCCTCTGTGGTACATTTGCTATGATAAAGAGGAAAAACGACACAATAAACACTTAAGCTTTTATTAATTAGGGGATCGAACGCTTCACTAACAGAGGTACATGTGAAATGAGCCTGGGATGACCCGAATCAAAAGGTTTTGGACCTTTAAACCAAGGGGCTCTACTCGTGGTTAACGAAAATAAAATATTCCCAACAATTTGCAAATTCCTCAAAGGCCGTCCAGTTATCACTGTAAGCTATCTTTGCCGCATATCTTTTTGGACACCAGTACTACAATAGAAAAACTCCCGAGACATGCTGGCCGGATACTCCCAAATGGGTTCCCGATGAGTATTATCCAATCAGAAAACATTAAGAGCACTTCGACTCTCGCTGTTCGTACACTTCTACCGCCGACCGTGGGCTCAATTAAATAGTCCGCAGTACATACCGCTCTGTGAAGTGGTACTGAGAACGTCATGTTCGCGTCGTGAAGAAAAACATTCGCATACTGATCCTGAAGAACAACAAACAGCGTTGGAAGATTAAGCTACATGTATTGTAGTATACCTAGAAGTTTCTAGGTTGGGAAAAAATGCAATAATTTTAGAGGTTAGAGATGTGCAAATGATGACTTCGTTCAATGCGACAACAGCTTCATTTGCGTCGCACCCTCACACAAGACTTAGGGGGGGTTAATTTCGAACCTGAACATTCCATTCCGATTACGTGCTCTTTAAAAATTCTTTTCGTATCTCTGATTGATTGTCACTTGTACGAAAAGTTCACCACCCAGCAACCATCAATCAGAAAGGCTTGGTGGATCTTTGTGAAGCCAAGTCAGTTTTCTCACTGAGAATCAGTTTGTTGCACGGAAAAATATCCGTTTACTAATTATGCAGTCCGTTTGCCTACGTTAAAAGAATCTGTTTTCAAAGGAGTTGATCTTACCTCCACAATACATGTTAAAATCACCAGACACAGCTTGGCATTGCTTACTCCTTTGTCATCTGAAAGACAAATAACGTTACGTTGATACTGACTTCCGCTGAGGTGGCTGAAACATCAGTCACTACTACCGACAACAGACCCTCTCAGGACTACACTCACCCGGACGATCAGACTATAGTATTGAAGTTACCACGGGTTTCCTTTGCGAAGGAAAACAGAAACACATCAAGGCCTATTTTACCTTACCTTTTGTATTCTGTAGAGCAATGGAGGAATATGTTAAGAGGGTTACGAGTAAATTCGTGGGCTGACTCAAGTCGGGTGGAAAGTCTTCAACGACAGCGGCTATAAGGATAAAAACGAAGAATGGAAATGAGAAGTACGCCATAAGCGCTGGGTGATTTTTTTTCCTTACTCCTACGACATTCAAAACTACCTAGCATTTTGCAATGCGTTGTTGCAGTCATACATGGAAGTGTTGTCCTTAAATGAAAATCAATCCTCTGAATTTGATTTTGAATGGTACTTATTTAACTGACTTTTTAAAATCAAAAGCAGATAAATCTCGACAGCCCATCAGAATAAAGATAGATATTTCAAAAACGCTTAAAGAACTCAAAGTAAACACGTATTAACTGCCTTAAGCGCGGGAAAACGCGACGGACCAAAGACCAGAGCATCTGATTGGTTGGAATGGTGGCACGAGTTTTGTGAACCAATTACGAGGCGTAAAGAAGACGAACCCATCAAAAATTACCCTATATTACATGTAACTGTACCGACCGGTGGCAGTCCTTTCAACCACAGGAGGAGCGGCTGTCGGTGATGGAGGAGGACTTGATCCAGGAGCGGTCTAAAGATAACAATAAAAAAGATAACGTTTAACAATCAAAATGAATGCAGATTAAAAATGATTAAACAAGGCCTCACAAAATGTAGGCTATCACGCCTTCCCTGGGCTCTCTCTCGTTTTTCTTCATCTAAGTTTTTCAACAAATTAGCAGAGAGTGAAGTCCAAAATACTAACGGTCTTGTTCCATATGTAATATTGTTTGGACAAGCCGTTTAAAAGAAACTCTCATAGCACTTCTTTTTGGCCTGACTCAAAACGAGTTCTCTGTCACTCAGCTCAGTTTAAGAGCATCAGCCGAAAGCTCCAAAGGTCTACAGTTCGAGTCCTCTCGAACCTATCGAAAAAACTGATATCAAAGCTATAGATTAAAGTTGTCAAAACCCTACAGGCGCTTACCGTAACATGACTAAGAACAGTGAAGAAATTTCTGTTGAGGTGCACCGCTTCATACAGAGCTAAAAGGACTGCTTCATTTGTGCTAACAAGAGATAACATGAAGGTTTAGCAAAGATTGAAAACGGAACTTGATTAATTCCTACTGCCCCAATCTCATTCAAACTTGCTACATGATGCACATGAGTCTGAAGAAAAAAAAATTGCGTCTTTGAGGCGGGCGGAAGTAATCGCGAGGTTGAGTAAAGAGCGAGTCACGCGCTGAGAGCGAGTCATGCGCAAAAAGCGAGTCACGCATGAAGAACGCGTCGCACATAAAGAGCGACTCACGCGAACAGAGCGAGTCACAAGCTAGAGGAAGAACTCGTGCGTGACTCGCACTTCGCGCCCAGCACCCGATTTCGTCCAAAGCCGAGTTGGGTGAAAAACAGGCCAGTTGCACATCCTTATTCAAGTGAATGGATCCCGGAATGGCGGTAGTTAATACTCCCTGAAGCGATTTACATACCATGCAAAGTTACCTAACAAGTCAAATGGCTCATCTGGCCAAAGCTTATCTCAGTCTCTGTAGAGTGAAGCGACTAGGAGCATTGCCACCCCACCCCGTTTTTTTATCAGGCTTCCTGGGGGGTTCACTGTTAACCATTTATCCTCATAGGTGGAGAGAGGTACTAGGTAAAAGTGTCGTTCCCAAAAACACAATAACGCGACCAGGGTCCAGCATGCTAACCGTTTGGCATCTCCCACAAGGAGGAGAACGGAAACTTACTAATCAGCCTGTATGTGTCACTAGAAGTTCTACAGAGTTTATAAATCCATATCATTTTGCAATCCGTGAGTTAAATGTTCTAAATGAGCTAAGCTGCAATCGGATACCTGAAACATTCCGCTCGTTCTGTCTCAGCAACAAACATGCTTCCAACCTATGGAACAATAAAACGAACAAGTAAGGTACTGCACATGCGAGAAGCTAGCTGAAAGTTGTAAGGAAGAAAGAGAAAGAACGACTATCATAAAGTGCTTTTGACTAAGTTTGGTTACAATAGAACAATTTTCAAGTGAGTGTCGAAAGAAATCGGGGATTGGTTATTTTTGGTTCACTTCGCTCTGTGATTGGAAAAAAAAGACTCGCGTCACTCTCTCAACCAATCAGACGCAAAACTAAAACCAAACACATCTTGGTCGCCCGCGTTTTTCCCGCGCTTTAGGCAGTTTGCTTGTTTTCATTTTGAATTCTCATTGGCTTTTGATGGCATTTTCCTGTCTTGATTGGCCCTTATGATTACTTTGGTTTTGGTTTTTACGAAACTCAGCTGAAAAGTGCTCTATATATTGCAAGTTCTCAGATTAAAAACTTTTTTCCCCTTTCTGTGCAGACCAAGAACTTAAAGTAAATTTCGTATGGGATGGATGCATACAAAGCTGGTAATGGAGCTGATTAATCCTCCCGAGGCCTGCTCTAACATGGCTGCATGTTTCCTGGAACAAAGTAAAACATCTTGAACTGAGTGTATTATGGGATTATATCTAACAATTGAGAGTAAAATAAACCACGTAAGTGCCAAAATGTTATCTCACAAGTAATCATGGAGATATAGTTGAAGCTGAAAAGTTTACAAAAAATTATAACATCAAAATATTGGCCCCAAACAGATTCAACTTGAACAAGCTTGCTAGTAACACAAAAACACAAGGGTAATTCATTTGCCTTTATGGCCATGAGTGTGGCTGCTTATTTGGATGGGCAGTTGTAAGAGAATAGCTACCTATTTGAGGAAATACTGTGTGCTCACTAATCTTTGAAAACGTACCTGTTGTAATCGGTAAGTGCGGCTGATATAACACATCCAAAACCCTTCAAAGGGAGAAGAAATACAAGATGCACATTCAGTGAATATCACTATGTTTATATTCCAGAGAAACAAATCTAACAAGATCACTTCTTTAACTTCATAATTATGCTTGAAAACATAATTACAAGTGTTTGGGATCATTTGTAACATGAACATGGTAAAATAGTTCTTCACAATTATCATGAACAGGAACAAAATTAAAATTTGGCCATTCCTGAGTCAAATTGAGCTCTTCAAGTTATTAAAAGGACTCTGTTAGCTCATGTTGTAGTGTCCCAGACTGCCATGCCAAAGGTTGACAGTTCAAGTCCCACACTTGACCAACATTCAGGGTCTCAAAATAACTGAGGAAAATCTGCTGCCTTTACTATGACATCCACAAATGATTAGCCATTCTAGTCTTCTTCTGAATCTGCGTCCCCTGTTAGCAGAGGGGATGTTAAGGAACCCATGCACTTCTCACAAAGAGTAAGGAATGTAGCTCCTACTATCATTAAAGGCCCCACGCAAACCAGATTTAAGCTGAACTGGGCCAGCCTGTCTAAATGTTGCAAATACAAATACACAAAAGCTAATTAGCAATTTTGAAATTTTTCCTTAATGTTCTATGTTATACATACATTAAGAGCTAATTCATCATCCAAAATGGATAACTTCCCAATATATGGATTTGAGGCCTGATAAAAAAGAAGGAAAAAAATTTTTTTTTTAATGACAATTTTAAAGATGGAATTTTTTCAAACATGGATGAATATGATTATAAAATTATAATTGAATTTAAATATAGCCACATAAAAAGAAAAAATAATTTAAGTGATTTTGCAAGGAAATTGATTAAAATCATTTAGACTTTTGCTAGTGTAAAATATATTCCATATTGGCTACAGTAGTAATACAACTTTATCAATAACTGTTCATAAGCATCTCTTTTACAGTTTTGATCTGCAAAATAATCCAACAGGTTTACAATTGTCCATCACTAACCTCATACTTCCTGTAATTCACCAGAATTGTCAGCAGCAGCATTGCTTCATATCCATGTTGCTGTCTGGCCACCGGATCAGCAAGAACCTTTACCAATGGAAAGTTTTTATTAGAATGAACCATCTGACAGTGAAGTTGGATGGTCTGGGGCTTGAATTATCTGTAATGACTCAATCTTTTTTCTCTCTTTCTCTCCCCATAATTTGAGATCTTCCTTTATCCCACAAACAAGCTCAAAGTTCACATGACCATCTTTCTACCTTGACCTCTGGAAAGGATCCTTTTGACATTTCTGATCCTTACAGAATGTATGATGAATGTCTCAAATGAATGGAGCAATGGCTTCATTCACCAGACCGTGAGTTTTATATAACTCTGTTGACAAAGCATCCCACTACAAAGTCAGAGGTTCAAGCCATCTTAGAATGTGGCATTGTTTTCTTTGACCCAAATTCATGACAAAATTTTCAACATCCTTCTTTGTAAATCAGAATAATTATAGAGTGTCTAAAGTGGTTATCGTGTTTCACAATGTATTCATGACTATGAAACTAGTAAATACTCTAAATATTACCTGAATAACAGCTTCAAAGATGCTGTTGATCATAATATACTCCACAATTGTGTTCTGACTAACATTGTCTGTTGCCTGCAACAAAAAGATGAAAACTGTCAGGCTCAGATGGGAACCCTTGCCACGAATAAAGTTTGCACATACTGGGCAAGATTTAAAGGGAAAACATATCTACTTAACCAATAAACTCCCAAATACCATCATGCAAAAAAGTGATGAAAGTAAAGAAAAATATCATTTAGGGTATAAATAGTTGATCCAATCACAAATTCTCAGAACTAAAGTCATAAGAATTGCATGGCAGACAGTAACAAGAATTCCCAATGAGATCCAAGGAGTAAAAGAGTTAAAGAAGATTGAGATTATTCCACAAACTAACTTTGCACATGTACTTACTGTTACAAGGATAAGAGCCAATTTAAGAGACAGATTCTTTAAGCTCACTGTAAAAAAAAAGAAAAAGAAAAAGGAAACCAAGGTGACAAACAGGCTGAAGGAAAAAAACCTGTCTTTCCAAATGGAACATTGAGAATCAAATGATGTTATCTACTGGTACATGCAGTTTTTGATGTATTGATGAAAGAGCATACTAGCTACAGTGTAGAAGGGACTTTACCTTAAACATCTGACAGTTAAATATATCACAAGTATCTGGTTTGTTACTAAAAATGCAGCCCTTGTCTTAAGAGTTTAAATTTTTGTGCTGACATTGCAGATAACATTTATATGCTTTGCTGACCTATGATATCGAGGGGTTGAAGATAAGCTCCCTTGAAAAAAAGGCAAATAACTAAACTTTGTTGTTATAAAGTAATCATTACCAGGATAATCACCAACGAGAAACGTATGCAAACTTTCCAGTAGTCCCTAAACACAAGAAAAGAAATATCATGATGAATAACAGCAAAATGTAATTCCTCTTTGACATGAAAGACACATTTAGCTTATAGTAGCAATTGTTAGAGATAATATTTAAGAATTAACTAGCATTATCTCATGTTCTGCTGCATACTGGATGAAATGCAAGTTGACACTTTTAAATTCACCTCATCCCAATTGTTCAATGGATGGATAATGAGATAAAATAGATCATTGGGAATGGGAATGGAGATGGAAATGGGAATGGGAATTTAGCAGCAGACATCCCAAAAAGTGGCTCTTCTTGTCAGCTGTTTCCAAGTCAAATTGGAATCTGAACTGTTGGTTTTCCTGGAAAAAGGAAAACTGAAGGACCCAGAGAATAGACATCAGAACAAGGACAGGAATTAACCCTTTAACTCCCAAAATTAAATTATCAATTCTCCCCTCCAGCTGCTAGACATTTCCTTGTAAAGTAGTAATGAGAATTTGGTGCTAGATTAGGATAACAACATCTACCTGATAAGTTTGAATATTCTCACTACCTATTTGCTGGATAATGTAAGGATGTTATAGGGAGAAGTTTCATGTTGATCACTTCTGGGATTTAAAGGGTTAACAACAAACCCAACCCTTATGTAATGACAGGTCTGAGAATTGAACCTGGACCACAGCAATGAGAGGTAAACGTTCTGACCACTGCATAATCCCCACTTCCCAATAAATTGTTATCCAACAGACATATTGCTATCCAAAGAATAAATCGTTATCCAGCAGAAAACAAAATAAACAGCACCGTTCAACTGATCGAAATGTTTTCAGCAGATGGCACAATCCACCATTTGAACTACTCCTGCATGATCTTTAATTTTCAAGGAGATTCTTGCATATTATTCAAGCAGCACAACACTGAACAAGAATGGTATAGTATTAAACACTTTCAAGTAAATGAACAAACCTGCATCTGAGCTTCAGCAGCATCAAATCCAATCAAAATGTTTATTATGTCAAATCCATGGTCTCCTAATCTCTTTCTGTAAACTGCTCGCACAAGTGCACACAGTGTCTGCAATTAGCAAAGTCATGTTGATTTTTGGTTATTTTTATCCTAAATTATCTTAACCAAGCAATTTTATACATCAGGCAAAGTTTAAGATATTCCAATACTATACAAACCTGAAGAGCATTGACTAGTTTTATTTGGTGATCTCCTCGTAAAGCAATACAGCACTGGGCGAACAGAAGGTTGATGTTCTCCTGAATAAAAGTTGTGTACAAAGTTAAATTACACTTAAAATAACTCCTTGTTCATGCCATAAGGCATTGGTATGGATGGATATGAGCCCTCATAACAGTATAAAATTAACCATGCATGTAACAAATAACACTGTGTTGAAGCCTTTCATTTGCAGCCTGTACCTTGATATCCATAAGTTCCTCTTCACTAAGTTTGTCGATACACTTTTCAAGGTAGATGGCATTAACCTACAAGGAATTCACAGTAAATTAAAAAGTAAAGCCTTTATACAAGCCCAAGTGGCCCATGGGGCCGGTGCTTAACCCCGGTTTCCTTAGCATGAGGCGGCTAGGAGTATTGCTACTCCCCCTTGGAAGGGATACTAGTCCATCGCAGGGTTACCCTCAGCATATTTGCTGGTACCCATTTGTACACCTGGGTGAAGAGAAGCACTGTGAGAGTAAAGTGTCTTGCCTAAGAACACAACACAATGACCACAGCCAGGGCTCAAACCTGGACCACTCAATCTGGAGTCAAGTGCACTAACCATGAGGCCACCATGCCTTCACTAAATTAGTTTAAATTAATATCATAATGTTAAGGACTAACATTCTACAGCAGAAGCCAAAAACACCCAAAGAGAAGCCAAAACCTAGCTACAAATTTTGAGAAAAAATTATTTATTTACATGCACATACACCATCTTGTAGTTTACTATGATTGCCTTGAAAGTTGAAGCAGTCAGAGCACAGGAGCGGGGATGAATATGAGAGTGAGTTGGGGAAGGGGTGTTAGTAGGAAATAGGAGGTAAGAGTGATGTTGAGACAAACCCTTGGAGACAAGCAGTCATTTATCAATTATCTGCATTTTTTCACGAAGAGCAGAAGATAGAAGTCAGAGGTCACTGAGTCTGAGAGGCTGGAAAGAAGGGCTGGGTACCAAAGGAGAGAATGACCTCAACATCCTTCCCTTTCCATCCCCATCAACACTCAAAGTTTTTTTTTTAAACAATCACAACTTACCCTCAAAAGAAAAAATTCATGCCAGAAATTTGGATTATCACGAGATGGCTCACCTCCCTAAATAAAAAGAGTGTGATCAAAACACATCCTTCTTAACATGTTCTGTTATTCTACGTACTAATTACTATCATTAACATAACATTACATAGGTAATTGTTTTTCCACGCAAAACTCTTATTCAAATGAATTTAAAATGTTTTCTTTATGGTAATCATCCAAATAATCACGTCAGTGATCATCACTGCGAAATGAAACAATTAAAAAAACGACACATTGACATCTTGCCAATTGCGCTCTAAAGAAGAATCTCCTGCAATTAAGGGAAATTCGAAAAGAGCAGCTCACGCAAACTTATGTTGAAAAACAAACTGATCACACATGTATTATTTGTAATGATTGCAATGGTGATACACGCATTATAACCAAAAACTATTAACATATATACAGTATACACGTACTCATTAGACATTTAGTAATAAATAAATAAAAAAGAATCAAAGCAAGTCAATTACCTTAAAAAAGTCATCGTAGATTCCCACAATTTTCTCTTTCACTGGCTTCTTCGGCGACAAAGGACCTGATTTTGTCTCAGCCATGGCATAAACCATTGCTTTCAATGAAACTTATTAGCCACGAATCAGTTTTAGACCAAAGAAAAACTGTTCGCTTATTTTCAGGCGAAGCAAGTTTTTCTTTAAATCATACTGGCTCTAGTTTCCTGACGATGACAATACTGTGAATTTCAATAACATGAATATGATCTAAACGCAGAGAAGAAATCCATTACTACCAATTAAAGTTTGTATAATTCTTCCTAAATCTCTGAGAGAATTATATCAAATATTGTGGCTGATTATTTTGAGAGGCTCTGGCACTACTGAAGTTAACCGCTGATGCAAAAACACGTGATCCCGAGTCACGAGACTTTAAATTTCCCAGAATACTCCATTCGCGCCAAAAAACTTTACACGTGAAAGTATGAAATATGGCGGACCTACTTGCAGCTAAACTTTAAACAAAGTTGTGTTTTAAGACGTGTAAAATGGGCCTTTCGAAGAGCGAAGCGTACTCAGTCTTGGAGCTACCTCTAGGTTTGTACCATCTTCTTTAGGTCATCCTTTCGAAGACTCCAAATTCGATTCAATGAAGAACGTATCATCTAAATAGGGAAATGACCAGAAATAGGTTGTAGGTGGTTGTATCTTACGAGAAACATCTCTGTGTAAATTATTTGCAAGAAAAGAAATACCAAAACTAGTTTGTGTATTGAAGTTTTATTTATATTTTTTTGTTTCTTGTTGAGGCACTGAATGAGGAAGTTCTTGCTGAAAGCTAAATATTGTATATTAAACTATTTTCAGCAGCGTTCGAAGAGCTGAAATTGCGTGACGGAAAATGCACTATTGTTCCGTCAATTTTGTATTTGTTATTGTACTCTCATCGTATTATTTCAGCTTATTAATAACAGTTAAAGAGCTGCTTCAAAGTAAGACGGAATCGGATGTTCAAAAGTCGTAGTATTATTACTTTCCTTGTTTAGATGTGATAGCGAGGAAAACAAAATAGTTATTTTTATAACAGGAAGTACAAGAATGCTCTCAATATGGCATGAATGATTAAGTCTTGCCTTGAATTGTTTGTTTGAACTTTAACCTCAGCACCACGAAGACAATTACCCTTGATTCAAAGAAAACAAAATAAAAAACATCAAAAGGATTGCCTAGTGAATTGCACCTTACACCCAGGATTCATTGATAATGTGTACTGACCTTGCCTTACAGACATTGGTGCTATTGTAGAACATGACAACTTTATTAAAAAAGAGACAGAAACAGATTATTACAAGAACTAAAATAATTACATGCCTGTTGGCAAAACAATAATGATTTTTAAAAAAATTCAAGATTTGGTGTCAGATCCAAGATAACAACTTTGACCCGATAAGTTTGAATATTCTCATGACTTGTTTGCTGGATAATGTTAAGTTATTATAGGGAGAAGTTACTTGTCAATCACTTCTGGGAGTTAAAGGGTTAAGTGATAATCAACATGTATTTAATTTATTTTATCCCATGCTTTGTGTATTAACATTTTCACTTTTAGGCCTCAATGTTATTTCATATCATAGTTTGCAAACAATATCTCCTATACAATATATTTTTTTCTCCTCATGCATCTGCATGGGGGTGTAGCTATACTTTAAGGACTGCAGGCCCATGTTTATATATCATAAAGAGGGTAAATGCTTGAACCAGTTAGCTGACTTTCCTCTAAAATAGAATGATATAACATTTATTTTTTGGTGAACTTCTCTCAAACAAAACATGTTTAACACTGATTATAAGGAAATCAGAGAAACAGGAATGAGTAATTTTAAGTTAATTTTTGTTGGGGATATATGAAGTGAGTTTACTTCCCTAGCACCCTCTTATCAGTAACATCACTAGAGAAAATCCAAATGGGTGTATTCAGTTACTCATCATAGGGGTTCTTTTGAATAATGTTGAACTGTTTTCTTTTTCAAGGGGCAAGTTATGAAGAGATAAGATCCAGTTACAAACGCCTGGCTTTAAAATGGCATCCTGATAAACATAACAATAGTCAGGAGGCAACAAAGGTACAAACTAATGCAAAGATTAGTGTTAATAGTAACTGGTGCTACATGGGGCCTTGATGTTCCAGTTAGATCTTGGGTATTCCTTGGCAGTGTTCTCCCTTATTTTAAGTGCAAAAGGCAACGTAAATTTTTAAATGGAGGGAGCAACTCTTGTAATACCTGTTGAAGTTTCAAGAATTCCAAGGAATTTTAAAGAGGTAATTTTGAAATGCCTGAAAAGGAGAACACTGTTCTCAGGATGGTTGAATTCTTGTAAGATGTGTTGATGATAAGTATTTTACACTCTTAATTATAGTGCATTGTTTGCATAAATCATTGATGCCATGGAAACCTCTTTATCAAGTCAGACTTTTCAATCTTTTACATACCACACACTACCACAATTGCTCTATTTGCTCTGGCAGAGAGCCAATGCTCAAAATGTAAGCTTCAGAGCTCTTTACTTAGGCTAATTTCCATTATCAACTCAGTTGATGGAACCAAATAGTCTTTTACATATATGCATAGTATGTACATTAGAATTTAAAATGCCAGTGCAAGTATTGTTTAAAAGTTTTTTTTCATCTTCAGAAATTCCAGGAGGTGTCCTCGGCATACAAGCGACTTACCAGTGAGGATTCAGATGATGAGATCAACTTGACTCCAGTGAGCACCATTCCTGCTTTTATGTCTTCCCTAATTAAAATTAATTTCCTTTTCTTGATTCCAAGTCTCATCTCTGTGCTGTGCTTGTGATGTAATTTTTTTGTGTGTGTGTGTGTGTGGAGTTTGACTTTTTTTCAGATTTTACTGTATATTAATAAAGAAATGTAAAATGGTTTCCGTGTTTACATAGCCTGATGTAAACACGCGGGAGGTTGGGAGAACAAGAGATAAGTGTAGGAAACCACGACGTGAAGCGGAGTGGTTTCCAGCTTATCAAGTGTTCTCCCAACCTCCCAAGTGTTTACATCAGGCTATGTAAACGCAGAAACCATTTTACATTTCTTTTATAAAATAACTAATGAAAGAGGAACGAAAACCATGTTTATATACACTCATGTAAAATGGTTTTATGGCCAATCAGAGCACGCGTACTATTTGAATTATTTTATAAAGCCATTTGATTTTTCACTTTTATTCTGATTGCAGGCAGATATGTTTGATCTCTTTGCTCACATTGTCTTTCAACGAAATGGTAAGAGTAAAGCACAGTTTTACTAGGAACTAAATCCAATCCTCTGATTTCATAACAGGACAGCAGAATTAAGATGTAAATGTGAGATAGATAAACCCCAAGTTACATGTTGTAAACATGATGACTTATCTTAGCAGAGGGCTTTGGGGATTTTCATGAAATCCAAATATTTGACGTAATGAGCTTCAAAAAGAGTTGCCAATATGATTGTAGACAATGTAATTTGCATGTGTTAATGACTCCCTAATTTTTCGAAGACTATCTTTGACAGATTGTCATCAAACTTTTAGCAACAAAGTTTTTTTGCACCTCATTTGTTTTATCAAGGAATGTTTGGTGGCTACCCAGGAATGTATGACTCTGACAACAGTTGCTACAGTGATGATGATGAGGATGATGACGATGATGATGAATCGGTCGATGAAATTCTTCAAAGAATGGCACAGAGTTATAGGAAAAAGTCAGAGTCCAAAAAACCCTCTGAAAAAGGTATTTGAAATTCCTGCTCTACTCTGACTGGTAGCATGCATATGAACAGGTATTTATGTTAGTGTGTAATAAGAATGGTTAAGTTAAATCTGTTTTTCCATGTGCTGGTTCCTCTGATGGTAGTTGGTGACATGGGCAGGTCTGTCCTCTCATATTGAGCATTGAAATTTTGTAAAGGAAAGCGGAGTAAGGGGGAAGGTCTCACAAAGCAAGTCAAACTGCCTGTCCAGGCCCCTAGTCAGGGGCTCAACATTAAATGTAAATACTTTGATTTTGCAGGTCGTCCTGCACACAATTTATCGGAGGCGGTGAGTTGTATTAATTTTTTGCCATGTTCCATTCATTGAAAGTTGGAAAGTATGTAGATCATTTGTATTAATGATAACTGCGTACAATTTTGGTTGAGTTGGCAGTAAATGAATCATTAATTTTGATAAAGATCCCAAAACTGTTTTGCTTGTAAAATATATTTGCTAATGTGCCTCACATCTTTGTCAATTAAAAATGAACCTTAGATTTTTTGAAAGTGGAAAAAATAATGTAAAGTTTGTCATGCTGAGGGTCATGGCTATTTTTAAATTTGTTCAAAAACAAAAAGCATTATAAATTTTGCTATTCCATCTTTAACTGAGGGAATATGATATTTGGTTTTATTGCAGGAAGCCATGAAAAATGCAAAAGAGCTTATAGAGGAGGAAGAGAGAGACAGGAAAAAAGCAGAAAAACGGAGAGCTAAAAAGAAGGTTTGTTTTTCTCGTAGGGCATTAACTTGCACCCAGAAATTATGAAAAGAGAATTTTTGTCCCCTCTCAAACTCTTGGGTAAAAAAGTGTTTTTATTGGTTTGATTAAACTTGTTATTTTTTGTTTTCCTCTCAAAAAGCATAAGTGTTCTTAGCTGAGGAAAATTCTTCCCCGTAACACCAGGAGTTAACCCTTTACACCCTTACATCAATATGCATATTCTCCATACTGTTCTCTATACATTTCCTAAGGTGCTTTTCAAGAGCATCTAAATTTGATCATTTCCTTTATTTTCGCACTAAATACATGTATGTTATTCAGGTGTGATATTATAAAGGGAAATTGCATGTTAATCACCCTCGGGGCAGGGCGTGAAATTGTGTTTAATACAGGTGCCAGTGCAACTAAATTTTTCACTTTGGCGACCAAATCCTGAAAATTAGTTGCCAAATTGGCAACTAGAATGTTTCATCATAACCTTACCAAGAGATAGTGAATTAAAAAGATTTGCAAAGATAAATCCACGGCAAACTTCCTTGTGAAGTTTGATTCCAAAACACAGCACATGTATCTTGATCAATAACTAGACACCATCTTGGATTTAGGTGAGCTTGAACGTTGTATATCATCCATCCTAGTGTCCACTTTGTAGCACGTTAAAGATCTTTTTCCTAACTTAATTTTGGAGGGTCTATTTACAACAATGACAGCGTAAAAAAAGGTTTTGTTTATCTTTGAAAATGGCAACCAACGTTTTTTGAATTGGCTACCACTTCAAAGAATTTAGGAGCCAAGTGGCTAGCAGAAAAAAAAAATTAATTTCATGCCCTGCCTTAGGGGTCAAAGGGCCAATGAAGCTAATCAACCAAATTAAAAGTGTGTATTTTTTTGTGACAGAGGAATAAGGAAAGAAAGAAGGAAAAAGAAAGAGAGAAGAAAGCAAAGGATGAAAAAGAAAATATACAGGTACTGGTGATGGATAAATTACTGATGGAGTCTCATGATGTAGCTCTCAAATGCAACACAAAACTTCTTTGACTGGTTTTTAGTGTAATATTTTGAAGGTGATTTATTTCCTGTGCCTCTCAGGTAGAGGGTTAGAAATTGCTTTCTTAACTCCCAAGATCTGATTGTCAATAGGCCATTTTTCAATATATTAAAATTCTAACATGGCTCCAAGGCTTGTTGGAATAAAACTTAAGAAATTAATTATTCATTCCTCAACTTGGATGTTATTTCTTTCATTTTATTCTCCCAAGCCTTGGAGCCAAGTGTGAATTTTTCATGCATAAAAAATAGCCTATTCCCCCCTCTAGCTGTGGTAAGGTTTTCTTTTTATAGGATTACCCTGTAATCTACAGATTCAAACTTCACCAGCGTCCATAGAATCTTAAGCTGTGATCTTTTTCTTTTTGTTTCTAGCAACAGAAGAATAATAAAAAAGAAAATATACCAACTACAACTAAAGCACCTCCAAAGGAACCCAGTAAAAAAAGAAATACCACAGCAACTTCTTCAACTCCGACTAAAACTGTAAATAACAATACAAAAGTATCCAGCGGTTTAAAAGAACAATCTGTGAATAATAATACAAATTTACAACAATCAACAAAAATGGAACCAAGTTCACCCAAAAGGTAGGGTCTTCATCATCAACATTTATCATCATGATTTGAATCTAAGTTCTTTCAACATTTGTGATAAGTTTAACCCCTGCTCTCAATGTAATTCACTCTGAATGTCTCACATAAAGTTTATTGGTGCATACAACCTACTTGGTTGAACTGCGCAATGGGCCTTGCTCAGCATTAAGTCTCTGCAGCTCAGTGGTAGAACATCAGAGCGAGGAATCCTAAGGTCTGAGGTTTGTTTCTTGATGGGGACTTAGAATTTTTCCTTTCTTCCACTCCCATGACAAGACAAAAAACATCTTTCTCAACCTACTTGGTTGTTTATAATGAAAAGAAACCTTGTGAAAAATAAAATCTAGAGGATTTTCACAGGGGAATCCTCCCACATCAGATAATGCATTAGTATCATTTTCAGAGTAGAGGATCAGTCAGTGGTCACATAGTAAAACTTTTTTTTAAGGCTGTGGCTTAATACCCTAACAATATTGTGATTTGAGGGGTTTTGAGGTGAATGCTCGTCTGAGCTTATAGTCTCTCCCTTGCTTTACTATGAGTATTACTTAACCCTTCATGCTGCAGAAATCTACAGTTGTCATTGCAATTCAGAAGAGTAATATAAAGCTTTCCAGCATATCCTTGCTTTTCCTCTAAATTTAAATTTGGAAATAGTCACACCCTCTAAGCAGGCCCCCTTAACATTATCATGCATCAGCAGATACACAGTTTTTTTGGTATTTGTTAGAAGTACAAGCATTACAACCAGTAAAATTTATGATGGTTTTTTACTATTTTTGTTTAGACATGACGAGGAAGATTTATCAGGCAATGAGGTAAGGCAAAACATGCAATTTTTTGTTTGGTTACAGTAACATACTTGCAAATCGTTTAAATGAATCTATAGTTACAATTTTTGTGCTCTTTTCAGTGGAGAGCAGAGAAAGATTGTTTTAACAGTTGACTGTGTGTTTAATTATCTGAATTAGTACCACTTTAGACGTGGGATGAAATGTTTCCAGCTCATTTTTGTGGGCATGGCAGTGAAGATGTAAGACCGTGCTACAAGGTGCTACTTTTAACATACGTGGTCAACTCTACCGCGAGCACGCCAACGCCACGGCTTTGTCCAGTAGTCCAGTGGTCAGTGCACTAGGCTCCGAGTCGGACGACCCGGGTTCTAGTCCTGGCCGGGGCAAGGCGTTGTGCCCTTGAGAAGTGCGGGAAAAAAATGCAAGCTCCGCTTTTAGGCTTGGCTAAATCTATATATTATATCTAAGTGCAAAGATTAATGGGAGATATCAGATGATTTGATATCAATAGAATCATTATGGCTGTGCACTGAACGTGTCCTTTATCACATACACTCTGTGATTTACTTCCATGTCAGGGGTGAACACTGTCTAAACGATAAAATAATATTTGTAATTGTCATCCGTTTCTCCCAGGAGCCCACATGGGATACAAACAGTGCGTTCTTTGCGAGAGCAGCAGGGCGTAATCCAATGCCTCCTCCTTCAACAAGCACTGCAACAGTAAAAAATAGTGCACCATCAACTATCAGTCAGAGCTCACAGAATACGAAAAACATCTCCACTCAACAACCTGCGGCAGAACAGATAGATCCTGTGGTTTTACGTAGCAGACAAGTAGCAGGTTGGTTGAACTGTGACACCATTCCAATAAGAGCACAACGTTGAAACAAAACTTTAAGGTTATGAGTCAGAGATTAAGGAAAAACCTTAATGACTGTGAGTGCGTAAGGTGAGTTGTGAAAAACAAACACGGCTGGCGTTGCCAGCATTTAATTTTCCAAACCGCATCTTCAAACCTCGTTTTCTCCTTAGAAGAGACTGTACGTCTCAAAATTCAGTTCAAGCACATGTCGAAGATTCGATTTTTTTAATTGCGGGCGGGAAATTAGCAATTTTTCCTACTTCACTCGTTTGTATAAAAGCAGATTACATTTAGGTATCACTTTTTACTACACTCTAATCCACAGTTAAAGGAAATGAAATGGCAAACGTTGGAAACTATCAGGCTGCCGTGGATCTCTTCACTCAAGCTATTAACTTGGATGCAAAAGACTTCAGGTTTTTTTTAATTTTTCTAAAGTTAACCGCATCTGCATATATGCCTTTTTTCACTAAGTAAGAACTGTTGTTAACAGAGGTCTATTTTCTAATGAAACTGGTTTCTGCGTTGTAGTGGAAAATAAAGAACATTCTTAGGTGGCTTTTTCCCTTTTGGGATAATATCATACACTCTTTTCTATTTTAGCTGTGGGATTGAATAAAGCTATTTGTTCGTTCTTTCGTTGGAAAACTACAAACAAAAGTCTGTGGCTCGATTCCTCAAGAGGGACTTTTGATTTTTCCGTTATTCTAAGCCGATGACAAAACGAACAAACACCTGTCTTATTTTGCTATTCGTTCGCAGATTCTTTGGTAACCGTTCTTACTGTTATGACCGCATGGGACAATACGAAAAAGCTCTCCAGGATGCTGATGTGGCCATATCGCTAGCACCTGATTGGCCAAAAGGTTACTTCAGACGAGGCAGAGCACTGGCGGGATTAAAGGTGCTTACTAGTGCAATTTTCAGTGGTGTCTTAGATAATGGGAGATTGCTACGGTTTTGCTTTGCTGCGCTGGGTAGTTGGTTCAGAAAACTCGCGCCGCTTCCTCAACCAATCAGATTCAAATTTCAAACTAATGGCGAATTGGTCACTCTCATTTTCCCGCGCTTTATGACAAGTCAAGAAAGCTAGCGCCACTTCCTCGACCAATCAGGCTCAATTTTAAAACCAATGGCGACGTAGCTACTCAGAGTTTTCCGCGCTTCAGGCCGTTAGCTTGTTTCTACTTTTACTCATGGCCCCTCTTAAAACTGTGCTGGCAACGAAATAATATTTTGGGAATTTGCGATTTCAGTCCCTAGAGCTAATCTTCGTAAGCACCGTAAATCAGAGCCAAAAGGAATTTCAATCGGAATTCTCTAGCTGATTTCGGCCTTCCTTCCTATTCAGTTACAATAACTGCAATTGCGATTATTTTTCGGTAACGATATTTTTCTCTCCTTTTCAGTTATATTCTGATGCAGAGAGCAGTTTTGCTCAAGTTTTAAAACTGGATAAACATTGTGAAGATGCCATGTTTGAACTGGCTAGGGTTCGAGTGCAGCAGCTAGAGGTACGGTGGTGTCATGCACAGGTCCCTATTAAAAGGAAGGGGTAGGCGTGCTACCGTTACGTCTTTCTGGCATTGGGAACATGATAGATTGTTTATTTCCCCTCGCTTGATTGCCATCCCACAAATCTTATGCAAAGATACCTTTTAGCATTATTATACAACCTCTGGTTCTTTTCAATGCTAGCCATATGCAGTCTTAACTGCCCTTTTTTTTTTTTTTTTTTTTTTTTCATTTTATCAGGAGATGGGATTTCCACAGAGTCAAAGTGAAGCAGCTATCCAGGCATATGGAACAGTTCAGGCCGCTTTGGAAGCACTGCTAGCTGGAAAAGGTGAAGGGATGAACGAGTAGAAAAAAATAAGAACAAAGTGACAGGCTGCGTCACGGTTTGTCCATCTTGAAAAAGGACACTAAAACCTTCCACGTTCGTCATTCGCGTTTCGTTTCAATCTTCCCCATCCTTAGCAATCCTCGCTCCTTCGTGGTTTATTAGTGCCTTTCTTATGTTGTAATATCTTCGCGAGCGAATATTTCGTGATCTTTTACAAAACGAAGATAGTTATGAATATCGTTTGAAAAACAACTCGATTTTCCTGATCTCAGTCGAAAAATCGCGCTTTTCGATTGAGTGTCGTAAAACCTAAACCACTGTTATCACAACGGCCAATTAGAAGAAAGGGAAATATTTTAAGAGCCAATGGGCACTCAGTAAAAACAACCAAACTGACTGAGGCGCGGGAAAACGCGGGCGACCAGGCCCTGATTGATTTCAGTTTTGCATCTGATTAGTTGAGAGATTGGCGCGAGTTTTCTTGGACCAATCAAAGAGCGATGTAAAGCGAAAGCAGTGCAGTGTGGGATTACTTTTGACTCTTGACAGAAAATTGCTGTATAGTGAGTACTGGGAATGACTGATTCTTAAACAAAAACTGACATTTCTCTCTGAAGACCTTTCCGATCATTTGTTTGTTTGTTTATTTTACTTTATTCTTTGCTTATACATAGTCTTTATAAGAGGTGTACTGATACAATCCTTTCATGCCGTTTTTGTAGTGAGTTGTCCCGTTTCAACGGAGATATACGTCTCTGATGGAGAGGATGATGCACAAAAACAGCAAATAAGGTAACTGATTTTAGAATGGCAAAATTGCGATCGGATAGGTTCCTTTTAAAATAAATATCTATACAACGACTGTTTCTGTTTCTATTCAAAGTTTTTCTCTGATTTGTCATTGAGTTCGCTCTTTTAACGGTATTTGTTTATGATATCTGTCTAGAGTAACATTTCGGCTACGTGTTGTTGAAAGTTCGAAAGTTAAAAGGAAAACTGTCTTTTGTTTTAGCGTTTTACTGATAACTGACTTTGAGAGTGAAATCATGTATGATCTCCTTATTGGCTTCGGAAATTGCCAACTTCGATTCCTCACAGAAAGAAATACTTACAGGCGATTAGATACTTCGTAACTTTGTGGAAAATTGCGACTTCTCTACCATGATATTTATTTAAAAATTCTCTTGTTTAATCTTTTTGCCGCGTGGAAATGTGTTAGCGTTACTGCGCAGGCTTGTTCAGTCAAGATGGCTGATGTCTTAACCATTAGACAGCCATCTAACGCATATTAATCCTTTAACTCTCAGAAGTATTTAACATACTTTATCTTGCAAATTGGTAATGATAATACTTAAACGTATCAGGTAGATGTTATCCTGACCTAACACCAAATTCGCACAACTAATTAACAAGGAAAAGTGTGGAAGCTGGAGGGAAGAATTAGCAATCAGATCTTGGGAGTTGAAGGGTTAATTGCATTCTGTTTCTACGCAGAATGGTTGAAAATGGTAGCGTTGATGACGGCCCTGGCCGTTCCTTGTGGGTTGGAAACGTCAATCCTGAGGAAGTCAGTGAAAGACATTTGGTACAGCTGTTCAGCAGGTGTGGTCGGGTCGACAACGTGCGGATACTCCCCAAAAGATTCTGTGCGTTTGTTAATTATGATCAGGCTGAATCTGCCGCCCTAGCACTCGAAAAATTACAGGTACGTTGTTTTATTTGTTTGAAGGGGTCCCCCAATGGGGGGAGGAAGAAATTCTATTCTGATCTTTGTAATTAAAAGATGACTTGATTTTCAGGGCTATGAGATGGGAGGCGAGCAGTTATTACTGAGATACCCCAATAACACTGGCTCCCCGGGAAGCCAGCCACTTGCTGCTGCTTCGGTTCCTGGTAAAAAGAAACAACCTGAAGGGTGAGCTCATTTATGTTTATTTATATACTTATTTGATCAGAGAGAATCACGGCTGTATTTCTCTCAGTCCAGTATTTGTTTGTGTGTGTGTGTGTTTTTTTCCTTTGGCTTGAGTATATTTATGCTACAACTGATTCTCAGGTCGATGTGTTTGTTTGTTTTCTATTTTCCAAGTTTGTTTGTTTGTTTGTTTATATGTTTGAGGTAACCGAATGTTGAATTCCTCGAGTCTACGCGTTAGTTGGTCAGTTAGTTTTTGTTGGCGTGGACGAAACGAATTCGAAATTTCTTTCAACAAGGACTAATTTCGCTTTGCCTTTTTGATGCTTTTTGTTCCAGGGACTTAAAACAATCTATGAGCAAGTTGTCGGGCCCCGTGAACGGAGACGAGTGTTATTTCTGGCGCACGACCGGCTGCTATTTTGCTGACAAATGCCGATTCAGACATGTCCCGGAGAGCAAAGGTGTCGATCTAAAAAGGGTGGAGGCCAAGTATGGAGGAAAACTTCGAGTGACTACCCCACCGAGCCAATGAAAAAAAAAAAACAAAAATAATAATAATAATAATAATAGTGATGACTCATATAATAATAAATAGTATTGATAACCAATGACAGCTTGGCTGTCAAGATATGGGCCGGGTTTACTCCACACAAAAAAGATAATATTGAACTTTTCAGTTGTCAAATCTTGATTGCTAAATAAACGTTTTGCAAGTCTTGGTTAGCACTGCTTATGTACTGTGATTTTCGTAACCTATTTGGTTAAGTGTCCGTGATAATTTTTTTTCCCACAAACTACATTTTTACAACCCTAAGGTTGAAAGAGCACCAAAAGTTGCCCTCAAAATTTTGTGTTAATTCATTATCATCTCTTATTTTTATAAAAAACGTAAACATCACGGTTTTTTGTAACGATTACCTTCTCCTCGATCGCCTGTTTTTTTGTCTGATCACAAGTGCTTTCCCATAATACTGCTAAGCATTTCCATGTTCATTCAAATTTTGATGCACCATTTCGAAGCTCGTGTATGAGAAGCTTCGAACCCTCTGTCTGTGAGGTGTGTCTCTTTCATGACTGAAAGTGACTTCTCGTAGGACTCTGTAGCCTTGACATATTCAACACAAGATAAATACACAGTCTCCAGAACTCTGCTAAAAGAGGCTGTTCCCTTTCTATCGCCGTTATCCTCTGACATTTCCAATGATTTCCTTGCGGAGTCTTCGGCCTTGACATACTCTCCTTGCGAACGAAAAACGTAACTTCTCCTTTTTTTTCGTCAGTTTGTTTTCTGATTAGTAGAGCCTTCACGTGATATTCTTTAGACTTGCAATCGACGTATTGACCCACTGAGTCATACAGCAGTGTAAGGCTTGAATAACTCGCTGCGTCGCCTCTCTTATTTCCTAATTATTTACTTAGGGCATGAACGTGTTCAAGATATTCATTAGCCTTGATACGTTTATAAAAACATCGATAACAATTTCCGAGGCCTGTCTAATTCTTTGCTTCCCCTTTACGGTCGCCGATTTCTTTTCTAATCACAAGAGCTTTAACATTATCGAAAAGCACTGAGCGTCGCTAACTTCACCGAGATCCTCATTTAAGCCCGCCAAGTGTACGTAGAAAAACTCCCTGACGACATTTCTAATCGCCATAGCCCATCGCGACGAAGTCCTAGACATGAACCATTACACTGGGTAGATAAGCTCACTATCCTTTGATAATACCACTCTTGCTACGTGTCAATGTTGAGCTGATTTGCGTACCCCAGTTTATGACATGATTGGCACCAATCAGAGCGTCAGAGTATCGTCCCTCACACAAGCATACCCCAATGCTGTGATCTAATTAGTGCGAGATACATACCCCACGGCGGCGATCTGATTCGTGCGAGATACATACCCTACTGCGGCGATCTGATTCGAGCGAGATACGTACCCTACTGCGGCGATCTGATTCGTGCGAGATACATACCCTGATGCGGCATTGTGATGGTGTTAGCAACATACTCGACACGCTAACATAGAGTTATATTAAAAAAATAATCATAGTAATAAAAAATGGCACAAGCTGCAGATCCAAGCCATGTCTGTGTTTTATCTTCGCCTTCTATTATTTCATTATCACTCACAAAAAATGTTTTGAACACAATTTCATTTCTTTGACAGATTCTAAAACAATTACATAAACTCCTCACTAAGTATCACTATATACAATCAAAATTCCAGAATGAGTATTAAAATATATTCATGGCTAATCAGTCATCCACAAAGACTTGTTTAATATCAACAAGCCATCAATAAAGTATTAATTATTTCCATTTAATTTTGTCACTATTACCAAAATTTCTTTTATAGATCGTGATAATCTGCCATGACTATGTTTGGTTTAAAACTCAGGTCACACCTTGTCTATGTTTAAAATATTCTCAAACTGCTAAATTAAATGTTGTTTCCATTTCAAACAACCCACACTACACTTTTCAACTCCCTTCAAAATTACCTGCAACCCAGGACAAATTCAGTTGACAAAAAATTCTCCAAGCCACATTTGAGGAATGAAATCTGAAATCATCTGTAACTTAATACATCGTACCACCATCCCCTTTCAATATTGTATTGTATTTATTCAATTTTGTATATTCACAAAAAACAAAGTGAACCACTATCCAGTACATGGGAGAGAGGGTTAGAAAGTGTTCAGTAAAACGGATGAAATGTGTATCCAATTCCAAAATATCCGGCTCTTCATAGCAATGTGTCAACTGTTTTGACCCAGATTGTGGCTACCCTTCTGTTTCTCATTCACATTTTGTAAAATAAAGTGCAATAACTTATGTCAAAATACGGTTAGAACTCCTTCTTCTTTTTTAACTTAATGAGTTACTTTATCTGCTACAATTAAAAATTAAATTCCCCAATGATTGAGATCTTATGTCAGATTATACAGAATCTATTCAAAAAATATTGCTATTATACCATGATTTCAAAATATTCTCAGTAACAATGTTCTGTGGAAAATATATCATGACAATTAGTTAAGTGAAAATAACAGTGGTAAACCTACATGACTAAGGTTGCCACATTTTTCTCAGATTTACTACCTTACTGTAAAGAAAAAATAAAAAATTTCATTGACTTGAGAACCCTAGTAGACCCTGATCAAAGGATTTGCATAGGCACACCCCTAATACTCTATTTTTTAAATTCTAATTTCTCATATTCAACTCTCTGTACTTAGTGACAGAGTGGGAGACTGGGAGGGCAGGAAAATAAACCAAACCCCCAAAAAACAGGAAAAAAATTTGGCTTGAGGTCCATACCTGATAACTAAAACCCGCATGTTTTCCCCTTTGACTCAACTTAAAAGCATTTTAGCATAACTATGACCACTGCTCTTTCCCTTTCCTTTTTGCATTTTTTTTCCATCTTCACATAATACATGACCCCATGCTTAGCTGTGTATTGCCAGTCCTTGTGCCTTGAGGGTTTTTGTTATATTTTCCCATAAAGCACAAGCTGGCCCATACTGGTCATATACTAATTTAAAAGAAATCGCTGAAGGTTTAACGAGCACTTCAAATCAAATCCATTACAAAGTGCTACTAATATTCCATTTGACCAATTAAACTGGTTGGATAATATAAACCAGTTGGACTATTGTCTCATGTTCGACCATTTTACATGTATGTGGTTAAATATAACAAAGGCCAAAATTTTGTTACTAACCGGTACTCATTTTAAAACCACATCAGACACTGTCAACTACCCTGTCCTAATTCTATTGCTTGCAAATTTTTTGAACTACAAAAGCACAGTCATTTATTTTAGGCTCTGTTTCATAACCATCAATTCTTACTGCAACTCTAGCATTGCCTTTGTCTTGTTAATAAATAGCAATTTTACGTTACATATAAAGGTAATTACATTAAAATAATTATATTTATTCATTTATTACTGCTGTACATTATGTCTCCGAATTCTAGAATTAAGAGTGAACATTGCTTTTACAGTTGAGCGAAAATAACTTTTAAGGAGTTTTTTTTTTCTTTAAACTCAATTATCAATAATTACTTGTCCTATACTACAAATATAAACGCAAACGTTTCCATGTGTGTGAATGTGCTACTGGTAAAAAATTCCTACAGTTGGTGAAAAGTTTAGTCTAGTGAATCAGTGAGACAAGCCCCATGCAAGAGATTCCAGCAATCATCATGATAGTCTGTTTGATTGACTCCCTGAAAACAATAAAATAACATTCATTTATTAAACTGTAAAGATGCTATAATTACATGGAAAAGATTTATACATACAACAGATTGGTACCAAAAACATCTGTTTGTTATGACTGATCAGTTTAGCTTCAGTTGATGACAAAAAGATAAAAAGTTAACAAGAATCCTTCTCTAGACATTTGCGGGCTTCTATTCAGTCAAGTACATTTTGGTTGATGGTCAGAAGACCTTCACAAACCAACTGATTCAGCACAGTTTACTCTCATAATAGATGACCTTCCCTATATACTTTACAATTTACAGTTAAAAAGCAAATCACAAAAAGATAAATAAAATACATAAATGGAAATTTTGCAACATTCCAAAAGTGTTTCCAGGTCAAATTGGAATTTAGAATGTTAGTTTTTGCAAAAGGAGGAAAACTAAATGATCCCAAGAAAAACCCTCAGAGCAAAGATCAACACCAACAACAAACTCAACCCACATGTGACACCAACCCAAGCCACAGTCTCTTTGGTAGCCACTGTTTGATCTTGTCACACAACAAGTCCTCTCTCAGCCCAGTGGGGAAGGGAGAGAGATGACATATGGCTTGACAAAACCAAACAAACCCTAGAAGGAGATTTGAGATACAGAATAAAATGTTTCTTGGAGAACTCACTTTGGTCTTGTTTCCTTTAAAAGATCTGGAACAATGGTTACCAAGGCAATATAGATAAAGCCTCCTGAGGTGAAAGGAAGAACCCAGGCCGTTGAATCTCCTAACGAAAAAAAAAATGTAAATAAAAATTATTATTCTATAGTTTTTCATATTCTGGACTGTTGAGGAAAGGTAAGGAAATATACCTACATGTAATTATAAACAGACAGTTTTAGTTTGTAAAAATTTCAGGATCTCACTAACATAAGTTAGCAAGAAACAAACAAACAAACAAACAAACAATCTAACCTGCATGATCAGCTATTAGTCCAAAAATACAACCAGCAAGTCCAGCTGATGCTGTAACCATCTAGCAAAAATAGAAAAAAGAAGTGAAAACTTTGCAAAATTAAATAAATTCTGTCAATAAATGTTCATGTAGCTTGTTACCACTTCTGAAACAGAATTTAGAGACCACATGTAGCTTTGTCAAGTGTCTCCACCCTGCACATTTAAGTTCCCAACGTTTTTCACATCATCATCATGAGATGACATCTAAGAACTTGAGGTTTTAAATGTAAAGTAAACAAGCAAAATAAATTTTCACAATTAAGTTCACATAGCTTACTTGTCCTACTGCTGCATCCCATCTTCTGAACCCAGATTTTAAAAGGATAGCAAAGTCACCAACCTGTTAACAAATTAACAAAGGGGGGTAAGTTTCTGAAACAACTTTGGTTTACCTGATAACTTGGTTTCATCAACTGAGTTGACTTCACTCATAGGCTTAAGTTTGAAACATCTGTTTCAGAAACTCTTAATGGTGGCCAATTTTACTCAGTTGATGAAATCAAATTATCTTGTATAAACAAATCACGTTTTAAACTTCTTTTAGATAAAGTGTTCTACAGAAATACACTGCGACTATAACATGATAGATACAATTATTATAACTTAAAGTAAAGTATTGAAAATAAATAAAACTAAAAGCTAAAAATATAGTAACCATAACATTCATTATTATTATTAATAATTATCAATTATCATTATCTTAATCAAAACAATGCAGTGTACAGCTCCATCATGATCCAAACAATATATAGATCAAAAGCTCTCAGTATCCAGTGTACTTACTTCATGTGGTACTTCATGCAAAAGAATTGCACATGTTGTACACAATCCAACCTGCCGTAAAAAATAAGAAATTTATCAGAAAAGAAAATCAGTAACTTAAACCAGTGAATGTCCTAAGCTGTTTAACAATGATAAAACAATAATATGAACAAGTAAACAACAAAAACAATGCAATGATGAATAAATTTTGAAAAATTTGTCACTGAATTTCTGGAATTACGGTCAACTCGCCGACGGACCAACTCACCGACGCCAACTCGCTGACATATAAAATCGAGTAGAGACGTCAGCGAGTTGGTCGTCAATCCAATACAACTTATTAGAAGTTAAACATACAGAAAATTAAACGATATTTAGTAAAAAAACACTGGTGAACATTGGTGAACATCTAACAGAAGCTTAAACATCGGTGAACATTGGTGAACATCTAACAGAAGCTTAAACATTGTTAACATCTTAAACGACGTTAACATCGCCAATGAACAAAATTGGCTGTAGACGCGAATGAGTTGTGTGAGTCATTGGTGATGTTTACTTCTCTTTATTCACCTTGAGATCCTTATAAACTTTGTTGCAAATAAAAAGAAATGCTTTTTACCAAAGATCTTGTCTAGAAAGCCAAGTTTTCGTTAAAAAATCTGAGCGATTGACATGATGAGTCTTTACGGTGTTGTTGTCGCACAATAACTCGTTCGTGTCTTAAGCTGTTATAGTCATTGGTGATGTTCACCAATGTTCACCAATGTTTAAGCTTCTGTTAGATGTTCACCAATGTTCACCAGTGTTTTTTACTAAATATCGTTTAATTTTCTGTATGTTTAACTTCTAATGAGTTGTATTGGATTGACGACCAACTCGCCGACGTCTCTACTCGATTTTATACGTCGGCGAGTTGGCGTCGGCGAGTTGGTCCGTCGGCGAGTTGACTGGTTACCGAATTTCTGAGTCACGAGTTAGAATTTAGGGGTGACTCACCTTTGTACTGACAACAAAACTCCCAGCAACAGCAAGGCCATGTGTAAAATTATCAATTGAGTTAGCTAACAAGTTAAGATATCCAATAACCTGAAAACCATCAAACAAAATGATAATGCTCAGATTCACATATTTTTATCATAACATTGCCCTAGCTAGGATATGAAAGTATATAAAGAATAAATAGTTTTTCAGATTTAAAAGTAACATAACTAAATACACCTTAACTCAAGTAAACTTATCACACACTGGTGATGGATGATCATTATAAACAAACCCTTTCCACACTAACATTTGAATAAATATTCTCCATACCCATCTCCAAACATTTCCTTTGGTAATGTTAAGGAGAATTTGTTCAACAATCAAAGCTTCTTCAGTTGGCAATCAATTCATTTGTTCCTGTGATCTCAATTAATGTTTCAGTTGTATTACTATAAGGTGAAATAAGATGCTGATCACTTTTGGTATTGAAAGGGATAAAATTGACGCTTACTTTAACATTTTCTTCCTTTGTGTCTTGTGTTTCTTGAAGAGCTGTTATTTTAGGAAGAAAAATAGCAGATAAAGAACATTTAATTTGATATTCCACTTCTCGACAAGTAATTTATGTTAAACGAAGAGATAGAAATGGGAAAATGATTTTGTACAGGTACACGAGGACACTTCAACCTGATTAATTTGAGTGTTCTCATTACATGTTTGCTAAAAAATTTATGGATATTATAGGGAGAAGTTACAGGAACATGTCAGTCACTTCTACAAGTTAAAGGTATCTGAAGTTTGATACGATGGAAAGAGTTGAAAGGTACCAATAGAATTCATATTGTTACAAAAAATTGTTTAAGTTAAGTCCTAGAACATTCTATAGAACAGTCTAGAACCCAAAGTCATCTAGACGCAACCTTCTGGTAAAAACAAGATTCTGGAACGTTCTATTTCTTACATAATTATTCAAATTTAGAAACCATGTTAATCTACTAAATTTAGTTCTTTAGAGAAGTTTCTAGATCCTTGTACTTTATGTATATAAGAGTGACAGTTTCATTAAATGGAGAGAGAGAATTGCGAAGAAGCTTAGTGCTGTAAAGACAAGAAGTCAACTGCATGGAAATAGAACAGTTTGTTGTTGTTACCGACGATCCTGAGTTTTGTCTAGGAACAACCCTGCTCTACATTGACACTCGTAACACATATTCTTCTTACCTGTTTCTTGAACTGTTTCTTTTGGTGTGTTACTATCGCTTGAAGTATCTCTATTTCTTTGCCTTAGATGTGTGTCTGACTTTTTAATGTCTCCATTTGAAACTGTCCCATTATGAAGTTCTCCATTGCATACATCTTTCTTCTTAGCTGAGTTTTCATGATGAGCACATCCATTGGAAATGGCACCATTTGTGACATCCTTAGAAAAAGAATCAACCAGACTTAAACCAAAGTTTGTGAATATACTACGTCATCAAGATACATGTACAAAAAAATTAGGTATAATGCTAACAATAGTTTTGATAGCACAAAAGATCCATAAAAGTTGATTGAAGTACAGCCAACAGCAACCCAGTGCTAACTGAACTTTCCAATTCCTTTATATCTGCAAAGCTGACTCACATGTATGATCCAATTGTCATACAACATTTTCAGAGCAGTTGTTCATGCACCAACACCGACAGGTACATGTAGTCTGTGAGCACAAGCAATGAGAATAGAAGATACATGTACACTTATGACATTAAACTCAGTTAAGTGAAGTTATCATGCAGCTTCTCTCTGACTAGTTTCAACAACCCAAAAAAGCTCGCAAATTTGTGACTTTCTGGAAACTGTAAAAGTTAGGATAACAAATTGTTTAAATCTGCCCAGTGTACAGCTTGCTAGCTCACAGGCTTATACTTCGTTCCTTAACCCCTAAACTTCCAAGATCTAATCCTTAATTCTCCCCTCTGGCTGCTACACATTTCCTTGTAAATTAGTGATGAGATTTGGTGCAGGATGAAGATAGCAGCTTCGACCTGATAAGTTTGAATATTCTCATTACCTGTTCGCTGGATAACGTATGGATATTATAGGGAGAAGTTTCATTTTAATCACTTCTGGGAGTTAAAGGGTTAAAAGCTGAGGTCAATCCCAAACTAAATCATTTCAAGTAAAAACATCCTAACCCACCTTTCCTTCACTTTTGTCCTTCTCCTTGAGACTTTTTTCATCTTCATTTTCTTCAGCAAATATTTTTTCTAAAGTTAAAAATCCAAACATTCCAGCCAGCACCCAAAAGCCAATATAGAAATGGTTGGTATGTGGATCTCCTATGAGAAATAGTAAAAAAAATATATAAAATACATTACATGTATGTAAATGTGCTTCACCTGGATGTGTGAGATGCCAGTGGCTTGTTGGTTGATCTGCCCAACTCCAGGACCCAGTTTTCTAATGGGTAGATAATGCTATCCCATGGATAAATCACTATCCAGCAGATAAGTGATTGCAAAACTTACTGTACCATCCACCAGATAGAGATTTATCTAGTAGATACCATTATCCAACCTTTGAACAACCCAGGCCAGGTTAAGAAATACAGTTGCAAGGCTTACAATAGGCAGGTCATTGTGTTGTGTTCTTGGGCAAGATATCTTAAATCTTACCGTGCCTCTCTCCAACCAGGAGTATAAACAGGTTACAGCAAACTGTTAGGAAAGTCTAATGAAATATTGGGGGGAAACCTGCAATGGACTGGCATATTATCTAAAGGGGAAAGCTGTACATATACATGTAGATCTGGTCAGATATGCCACTAGGCTTGATTGCTGACTTACACACAAATGTACACTTGCATGTACTTCACCTGGTTGGGCTGCTAGAACATATATGTATGGTTTAATCATAACTGCTTCTCCCTACTTCACAGACAAAAATTAATTGCATTTCCCTGAAAGATTAGTTCATGCTCTTCAGTAAAGAGGGGAAATGAAGAAAGGTATTTATCATGCATCTTGCACAAGAAGATCACAAAATGCCCCAGCCATTGGGTAAAGACAGACCTAGCAATCCACAGAGTAGAGCTAACCAAATGTGCAGTGACAGCCCCACAGAAAAGAACTGTGGAGAATTCTGAGGTATCATTAAGTTTTAATAGTGATCATTTTATCAATAAATGAATGTTACCTTCATGAACATGAGCCCAAGCCTCTGGCAACAGATGAAGAAAAACATCTCCTAATAAACCACCGACAGCAAAACTTAAAAGCAACTTCAGATGATCCGCTGTGACTGGAAGGTAAGAATAACAAAATGTGTTTTAAAATTAATTTCATTTGCATTTGGCTGAATCACCCCAATGTTTAGCAGAATATATTTATCAAATAATTAACCCTTTACACCCTAACCCTACTGTAGCTTTCTATTCCTCCTAGTAGTCACTATACATTATCTATGACACTGAGAAGGAGAATTTGTTTAGCAATCAAAGCTTCTTAGGTTGGGGATCATTCTCATGATCTGAATGAATGATTTACAAGTGTTGCTGTATGGAGAAATTAGATCATAGTCACTCTTCAGGTTTAAAGGTTAAAAAAGCCAGCATCACCCTATTTTCCGCTCGTCAAATGTCTAAATCTCAAAATGTTAGTGACATAACTATCCTGAGGGCAAGTTGGCTCCCCTGGGGACAACATGTAACTCAGGAGAACATGGCGCAAGGGTGACCTGACCTTCACAGTGAACATCCGACTAAAGGAGGGTTTTACATTTTTGAGACATCCCAAAGAGATTTTGAAAATCATTACATAAGAGGGTAAAAAAAAATCTGTTTGGATTAAGTCAAGTGTTAAAAAAAAAAAACATCTATAAAATTATGTAACAGACACACGCAGAGATTTTGAAAATCATGACATAACCGGATAAAAAAATTCTGTTTGGATTGGGTCAAACATTAAAAAAGTATATTTATAAAACAAGTACATGCACACTAATGCTGAAAAATAGAACAAAATGTACCACGAGATTCAAAGCAAGCTACAGTACTTGAGTTTTTTTTTTTTATCACAGATTAAGCCCCTAAATTTGGTTGTGTTATTTTCATTCTGAACTGAATTTAAACTTCAAAAAAATAATTGTTATTTCTCGTTAATTGTTTACATTTCAGGAAACCATTGGCACTAAAGTAAACTGACAAAATTATTAGGGCGGCCCAGCTGACAAATATCCTGGAAGAAAATCCTCTTATGGTGTAAATATTGGAAATGATGGTAATATTCCTGTTTAAATATAACATTTTCGTACATTACGTCAAGATGAAATTTGAGATATTTTTCCACAACGAATTACGAAATTTCGACAGAGCTAGGAGTTATTACAACGTTATTTAAAATCTATTAGTCATGCAATTTTTTTCTCGTCACAAAAACAGGAATCCCGTTTTAATAAACGCTTGAGAATAAGGAACATTATCTACTTAAAACATTTTGAAGATAAACAACTGTAAAAAGATTTGTGTCACTGCAACACTGTATTCAGAATATTCGTGATATACATGTTGCTTGGATATTATAGGTGCGATTAAATTTCTTCGTGAAACCACGAACCTTTTTCGAGGAAACGTTAACTAGCGTGTTGTTTTCATCTTACATTGCTAAAACTCAAATATTTTTACCCTATAAGGAAATTGCATTTAAGAGAAAAGATACAGAAGTGTTCTTTTTCAGGAACGAAAAATATACTATGAATTAAAAAATTAATTGGCGACTCGATTCCATTACTTCTGCCGGGGTGAAATAACGTGTACGTGAGAACGGAGAAATATCTACACAGAAGAGAGCGAAAAGCTAAAAGATACAAATGCAAATATAAGCTGAGCACCTGGGGAAGAAATATTGTTGAAGATTTCGTTTGAGTGTTTTTCGCTGAAAGAAATTCTTCACCAGAATAAATTACTGTACGTAAAAGTGAGTCGCCACAATAACTCGTCTAATTACTTCACGTTAAGTTCGTTTTATGTATGGCGATTTAAAATATATAGCGATTTAAAATATAGCGCGATTTAAAATATATCACTGCAAAACCCAATCTCAAAAACAAACCTTTTGCACAGAGGACAGGAGGCGTAAATTATGTGTACAATGCTCTATTCATTAAAAACAGCTGGTTAAATAAATTCAATACGCTGTCCATTTCCCAATAGGGATCGGTTTCGCCACTCTGTTTAATTCACAATCTTTGCTTACATTGCAAGCTAACCGTTGTTTTCTCGAATACCAAATCGAAAAATCTTTAAAAATGTGCCTTTTGGTGGTGAAATTTCAAAAGGCTTCCTCGAGCCTTGAGTACTGCGGAAACATAAGCCGTATCGAATTTACTTTAAGAGAGCGACAACACTAAGTTATCCAGAGATAAAGAGAACCAAACTATAATTTAACTAACAACTCACCGCCTTCTCGCAAAGCCTGTCCAGCTTCCACAGGAATCACAAGAAGAGGAAATATACCGCACATTCCAACGAGAATTGTGGCCGGAATCGAGTATAACCACGCTTCTTTCTTCACGAACATCTTCGACAAGTCAGGCAGAAATTTACAGGGTTCAAAACCAAACCAACTCAAGTCTGAATCTGCGCGTGTTTGCTTGGCATTTCGCGGCACAGCACGATGAATTTTCACCATAGCAGTCTCTGAAACGAAAACTGAGAGCCATAGAAGGAAGACAATGGATAGCCGTAAAAATTTCGCCATGAATCAAGCGATTTGTGAGAGCATCTAACCCCGCACGACGTTTTCCGGCCTTCCCAAAGACTTGATGTACGCGATTGCTACTGGTGTTTATGAAGTCTGGGTAAAACTTGAGCCCACAGTACGATATTGTAGGTCCGCAATGCGTAGGAAGAGCTACTTCATCTTTATAACAAAAGATTGCTCCCTCTACTGAGAGATTTGAATTTTATCTTATCTACCCCTAATGGTAACTCAACAAAACTTACAATTAAAAAATTGATTTCCTTGATTGGTGTTCAAACATCTGCCGATCCATCAATTCTCATTTAAATTCACCCTAAAATGAAAATCAACCAGACACGCCGACGACAGCTCGTGTCGATCAAAAGAAACAATATGGAACAAAAAACCCAAATGAATCTTTTCAAGACTTAATTTGCGTCTGCAAATTTAAAAATTCGACCTGAAGAAAACTTAAAAATCAATTTTGGCAGTAAAAAATGAACCTATTGTTCCGGGAGGTATTTTTTCCATGACATTTTACTCCATGTAAAAGCTTAAAATCTACATTTCGCCGTGTCACTATGAAAATGACTGCCAAGAAAAGAATCGTCTTTAAGACTTTACATCTAGTTCTTGTGGTTTCACTTCGGCGAAAAGTTCTTTATGACTTCATTAGAAAAATACATATCTGACAATAGAATATATATTTAAAACTACTTAAGTTTACGTCAACGATCAAACTTGCATGCGCCAGTAACTGTAGATTTCTCTGAAATTTTCTGTCCTCCTTCAGCCCCCGCAGTGGCTGTAAAATTAAATTTTGCTCAATGCTTATGAATTTCGTTGTAGTTTCTCCACCCAGTATTTTAACAGAGAAGTAATTTTACTCCTCCAAAAAGACTTAAATCTACATTTCGTGGGTTCAATATAGACGTAAGTGACAAGAAACTTGAAAAATTTTTAACTGTACAGCTGTTATCACCATCCATTCTCACTTAGATCCTTAAAACTTTTACCGCGGGCGAAGACGAAAATTTGGATCTTATTTAAATGATGTGACCAAATCTTACGTCTCCTTTTTGTGCAAATAGTGGTAAATTTCACGGAAATCTGTTTTTTCCCACCTCGGCCCCCGCAAAAGAGAGATAGATGTCGAACTGATTTCCTTTGTTTGAGGAACCTCCCGGTTTTCCTTCCTCGACAGAAAATCTTGATTCAAAATTCCACATCGGTTTAGAATCAGTGGACAAGGATAGAAACTTTCCATGAATCAATTATTCCTGGATCTCGTCTCAAAACATCAATTTATTCATTTGACAAGCTTGGGCCTATCAGGAGCCCCTGGACAGACCCATTCATTTATTCATTCATTTACCTATTTATTCATTGGCTTTTTTTTTCTAAATTAATCATCCCTTGGCCCCTCCCCCCCCCTCTCCCATCCCGAATCGAGGCTTTATTTCACCCGTCGCCATGCCAGGTGTTCCGAGTGCAACCGACAAAATCGAAAAGCCAGTTCGTGACCGCAATTGCCCACGGACAACATTTTGGAAGTTTGACGTTTCAAGTATTTTTACTCGCTTTGTTCAGCAAGCCGGGGGGGGGGGGGGGGTGGGGTGGGGTGGGGTGGTAAGGGGAGGGCGGGGGGAAGTAAGGGGAGGGGGGGTGGGGTGGTAAGAGGAGGCGGGGCTTGGTGGTCACAATGTATCGGCCGATATCGGCCAACTTTATTTGTAGGAGCCTGGCTTGTTTATTTACCAATTGGGATCTACTTTCGAGAAAAGGATGGTGTTGCTGCAATGGGGTCGATTGTTGCTGCAATGTCGGTAACAGCCTTCTTTATTCCGTTTCCAAAAAATCAATTCTTTCTACTTATTCAGCAATAAACGTACACTAGTTAAAGATTAAATTAATGAAAAGATCATTTGTGGGCTGGATTAACTGTTCTACAGATCAATTTAATTTCCTAATTATTATAAAATTCATATTATTCCTAAAGTATTTTTCTCCATTGAACGGACCGTTCGGTATCTTTTTAAAACTCGTCTTCTAGTCCTGATCCAGCCAATTTCTCTTTGATCAGAGAATCAAATCGCTTGCTTTGGTCTTCAGTGAAATAATCCTTCCAGTTTCCCACTTCACCTTTACGAATGCAAAGACCTTTGAACCCTCTGAGAAAGGAAAAATTAGAGTTTCCTTCTTTTTGCATGACGTTGAATGATGTTTGGCTGACAATACGCTCCAGAGTCTCGAGGGGAAGCTCTTTCCCAATGAAAGTGGCAATTTTTCTAATTGCACCAAGCAAGTCCTAGTTAAAGGGAGGTTCGAAAAAACAATGAGTGATGTTCTGTAATGTTAGTTGGCGATAATATCACTACATAAAAAGCAGACTTTTTAGAATTACGATGAAGCCCGTTAAACTAAAGCTGAGGGCACCATACAGAGTGCAAGTACCAACGAAATGATCTTGATGGATATTTATTATGGCCAAATGATGTCCTTTAGCGTAGCAAAATATATATAATAGATAGCAAACTAATGATATGCTACCAGTTTCATTTTTCTTTTTTGTTTTTTTTTCGCCCTTATCTTAAGTTCGACCAAAACAGGAAGCCAAGATGATTCATGACCAAGATGTACAGGACCCCACTCTCCTCCCCTCATCAGGCCTACATTCTCTAACCTTGACTTAACGTGCTCGAAACAAATCTTAGGTGCTTTCCAGACCCCCTCTTTTCACACTCACCTCCTTCATGTCCTCGTACTTTAGAATCAATACATCAGGATCATCCTTGTGTTTCCACCAACTGATGACATGATCAAACCACGGGCCATAATAGACTACAAACAAGATCAGGTAAATCAGCAAAATAAAATATTGCTTTTCTTTTTTCCCGAATCTTTGAGCTCCAACTTTAAGATTTTCTCAGTATCAGTGTCTAGGCTTTCCGTCAGTGGAGACGACAACCTCGTTACCAGGGTTTTTCTTCTGAAGGAAAAAGGTTCCCTGGGAACGAGGTTATGGGGACGAGCGAGAACGGGCACAAACGACCAACAGTAGGTGAGGTTGTCGACTGAACACCGCAGTTCTTTGCGCGCGCTCTCGCTTTTTCGCCTCTTAACACGAAAAATGTGTTGCATGCTACGGTTTTGCTCCTTGATTAGGTCAATTAGGCAAAGGCAAAAGGTTGTAAACAATTAGCTAAATATAGGTTAACTTTACAAACAGGCGCAAATCAGTTACCTTTCCCTTGGTAGAATAGCTCAAATAACTCATCCCAGGAGAGAGCTTCTCTGCCAGATACTTTAGCCACAAATTCAAAAAGAGATACAGCCACATCTTTTGGGTTACGCATGACGTATATATAACGTGCTTGTGGCTTTGCAGCCTGGCCACACCCCTTGGGGACCAGGTCATACGGTAGATGTGATTTAAACACGCGGGGTGATGGGAAGCATTCAAACATCTTTTCTATCATCCCAGCAGACGTCACTAAATAAGGGTTCTCAGGTTGTGCATATGGCATTCCATCGACCCAGGGCATTCGCACATGCAAAGGGCGATAATCGATCTTGCCATCGTTGATTATCTGCCAGACGATTTCCTGAGTCCAAGTTGTTCCTATTAATGATAAAAAAAACATTTCAATGGGTAATTTTTCCCTGCAGGTATGATTATAATGGTGCATCAAGCAAGCTCGGGCACCGGCCAGGCGAAGGGTAATAGAGAGGAAGTGAGCACGATTCTTTTCGATCCCCTCCTCCTCATAGAATTTTGATAAAACAGTAGCTTACGGAAGGAGCGGGGAAACTTACGAGATTAGAACCGGCGAGAGGTCAGTGATGGGTCTGGCACTAAAAATGATACTTACGAGTGAAACGAGTACGCATCTTACAAACCTGATCTTGGAAATGTACAAACAAAGATGTCTTCTTTCTTGGGAATTAGCTTCGGAAATGTGTCCAACATTTCCTTGGTAGTGCCTTTTACCCAGACCTTTCCATCAATCACAGCGTCATTTCTTGGCCCTATGATGCTGTCTTCTGACATGGACATTTCGTTATCAAACTAGACCAATAAATACGAAAAACTATAAATTACTTGACTGACATTAGGGAGAGAAGATTTTACTACTTTTTAAATATGGTAACTCGGAACACTATCTTTACGTATCGATTACTTGATTGATTGATAATGCTACAGCTTTCAATTTGTTTAAGTCTGAACACTGTCAGGGAAGCCTGACCAAATTCGCCTGATGCAACTTTTCCAGAACCAATTTATACTCCTGAGAGGCATTGTGAGAGTGAACTGTTTTGCCAAAGAATACATCACAATGACCCCGCCATGTCTCTCTTTAAACCTGGACCTCTCTACCCCAGTTTAGTACACTCACTAGTACGCTACTTCGTCTCTCACGACACCACGATTCGTTTGCTTCCTTGAAAATAATATCGAACAACAGCTTAGTCACTTCTCAACTGGGTTTTGACGCAAACTATACGTGTGACCATTACAAACGTAGCAAGACAAATGCGGCATGTCGAGAGCGAAAATGTCGTGCACGTGGGTTACACATGGAAGTGAACCAATGTCATCCCACATTTGTTATGTCCTGGGTCCGTCACAAGCTTGTCACATGCAACAAAGTCAGTTCCGTGTAGATCGGACCTTAAATATATGATAAAATACTTAAGTCGCGATCTCAGTGAAAGCGGTCCAAGGCGTTTCGCATCGGAAAAAAGTTTGCCTCAAACTTTGTCTATCTATGGTAGTTAGTAAATAAAACCATATTGGTCTCTGGAAGTAAGTTAAAAAAATTTTGAGAGCTCTCAAATTGCTAATTTCCTTCGCCTTAGTGACCTCAGACTTTTGGTGATTTTTCTAGCTCGACAGCAGAATTATGCAAATTAGTCTGCAGTGCAAACTCCGACCGTTGATACTGATAGCTTCATAAATCTTAAATTTTAACCACTTTTAAAGAAAAGATTGTAGGAAAAGGCTTTTAGAACACACTGATTGATACTATAAACATTTTATACGGCTAAAATAAGGCAAATTATCCTGTCCCGTGATGTAAACGGTAAACACAAAGTATTGACTATCATACTGAAACCAATTTTCAAAGAGTTTCTCATTAAAACGTTGACCAAACGCTAATCAATATAAGTTGAGAGTTCTCATTATTTTTATTAATGTATTCCCAGAAACCAATGTGGTTTTATCTACTTATCACCAAAGATAGTTTAATGGGCAAAGTTTGAGGCAAAACTTTTTTCCGATGCGAAACGGCTTAGACCGCGCTTACAGAGATCGACGCCTAACTGCCTCCGTTATGTAATCGAAAATCAGTAATTCTGTATTCTTTGTCGCTGTCATTGATTTGAATTTCTTGAATTTTCGACGTCTTCACGTAAATGGAAAGTAGCGCGCTCATTTACTTCAGCAAAGATGCTATAATCGCGTGAGATCAGATAAACATTTGCCCAGACCTACAATGTTTTTCCGCCCGCTTCACTTTTACCGAATACGATTCTTACAAATGTTGAAACAAAAATTGAACTCTCTTAGGGAACAAGCCTACAATAAGTCGAAAAGCTGGCTATGCCTCTGTAAACGGATGCTTCATGACGCGAACCTGGAAAGTACGAAACAAGAGAATTGCGGAGATAAAAACTCACCAAGACTTGTTTTTTGAGCTGCAATTTTCCACCTCTAAGTATTTCGCCAACGTTATGTTTGACTCCAATTGTCATCGACACCAAATTTAACGTCACCCCAACCCTCCGTAGGTCAACGTTGAAAGAAACTGTTCTTTTTCCATCAAATTTAATTTAAAACGTTCTAAAACGGACTGTGTCCGTTAAAAGTGAAAGTTTTAAAATCGAAACTTGGTCCGAACGTTGGCAGAACTAACCGAGAAAAACTAAGTCAGTGTTTTTCGTTGAATGAAATACTTTTCCCTTGACGACCTCGTAACGCAACTCCTCCGTGAATTTTCTATTCACGAAGTAGACTGATCTATGAAAGAAAACCGTAGGAATACCAGAAAACACAGACAACAATTTGAAGGTGGATCCTTTGTGATTGAAACTGTGCAGTTACATTTTATCGGAGGTCGTGTTTGCTACCTGATTAGTTCGACGGAATGGCATCATAATATGTTGGTAGTGAATACAAAAATCATCCATCACTAATAACCAGCGAACATGATAGGAACCTTTGGCAGTCAGGAGTCTCAGGACAGCAACGCCAGGGAAGATGAATAAATGATTTTGGCCGGAATTTCGCGACTGGCTGATGAGTTTGCCGTCTCTCAATGCGGCTCCACACCTGGCTTTGATTACTAAATGGTAACTCAGACGACGCAGATTTTGGTGATTTTTCGTTGTTATTTTGCAGAGGACGGCTCAGAAATGTAAAAAAACAAAAAACAAGCAAATAAATAAACAAAACACAAACGCACGTGCTGAGTTATCGTTCTGTCCATTACGAACTTTCGTTTTGCTAAGTCCTCGTAGCCGTCGCCGCCGGTCGTATGTTTACTCAAGGTCCCTAACTGATATATAGATTTAGCCAAGCCTAAAAGCGGAGCTTTTTTGTAAGTTTATTTTCCAGCCCTTCACTATTCTGAATAAAAACTGAAATAAAACTCTTCAGTACTGGTTGTAGAAGAGTTTCTTCGCGGGGATTTAGAGACCAGTCCCGGGAGTGGGGAGAGGGGTAACAATTTACGAGGTCTGGAACCTGGGGACGATGTTCTCACAACTTGCAAGGCGATCAACACGTCGGCTGTGCACAAAACTTTATTATAACTATACATTTATAGCCAATACCAATTCCTACACATAATAAAATGTCAGTAGGATCAGAGTTCATGTAATTATTTTAATTACATGAATATTAACTGATACTAGGAAATCTAAGAATATTTAAAAGAAAATAAAATTTGGTTGAAAAATTAGAATTCAGCATAGGCCGGATAATCCAGACTTCTAGAAAAAGAAATGTGTACTAATGAAAAAGCAAAACAAACTTTTTTACAACACCTACCTGTACCTGTACAGCAGGTAGTAAAGTCATTCGGAGTAGTCATTATCCCGGTTTTATATGTGGAAAACACACGCACATGCAGATTTCTTGTAAACCTGTAGTTGAAGCCTCCGATGACTCCGAAATTTTGATGCATATCTCAAAAGGATAACAAATAAATTTCGAGATTCTATTCGTTCAGTTTGGGTGAGTGAGGTCAAAGTAAAAGTAAGTCAAAAATTCATACAACGACAGGTTCAGGAAATTTTCACAACTAATTCATAAGGTTAGCCTACCCGGAACAATCACCTTCCTGTACAAATTAGACCAGGGCCCAGTTGTATAAAGGGCAGGTAACGCTATCCAACGGATGAATTGCTATCCAGCAGATAAGTGATAGCAAAACGTATAGCATTATCCACGGGATAGACTTTTATCCAGTGGATAGGGCTGTCCAACCTTCGAACAACTTGGGCCAGGTTTGTACTGATAATGCACAGAAGAACTATCTGTAGTCAGAGGGCATGCTTTCGTTTCTTCATTTGAAGAAATACTGAAGTTATCATCTTTCCACAAGCTCAGTGGAAAGTGAGAATGAATAAGACTGATATTGATTATGTTATTTGAATTAATATCTAGAGGAGGCTAAAAAGTAAGATAGGGTCTGCACAACTCTCATATTTTCATTTTTTTTTTATGCTATAAAGCTAAGGCATTTATGTTCTTGCTTTGTACATTATGTGGACGCCAATTAATTTAACTTTCATACGTTAAAATACAATGTGCTTTTCATCTATGAGCTCTAAAAATTACAGGGGAGGAGGCAGGTCAAAGTAAAAACATGAATTAAAAAAAGAGGGCCCCCATTAATTTCAGTCCTCATTAAAGGAGGATCCTCACCTTTCCAGATTCCAACCTTTTAAAATTCGCATATCTTGTGACCAATTCCGTATATCAATGTTTAGTTTGGGTATAAGCATTGATAATTAATGAAAGCTTGAGCGAGTAGTCGTAGTTTTGACAATGTTTTCGTAGTTTGAACTCATATATGGCACATAAGTTATCAAATTATGCTCATTAGTTATCATTGTCAAAATTACAACTACTGCCTTATTAAACAACAAACACCTTAGATGTCGAATTGCAAAAAATAAAAAATCTTCGTGAACAGAACTTCGCGGAAGGTGAAGCAAACAACAAGCTATTGGATGAAGAGGATACTCAACGAAGCAACTTGAATAGTAAATACGTACAGCTTAACTCTTGTGTTAAATATCCTGATTCTTTAATTTGTTTTTACTGTGTTTGATACTTGCAACGTACGATTTGATATTGCGATACAATACATGAGTAAACGCTCTCGGAGCGTCTACTTTCGACAAATAGGTCGTTTCAATTTGTCAAACAAAAAGCAATATGACAAGTGAAACGCAATTCATTCCAGGATAAAAAAACTTTGGATGTATTATGATTTTTAACAATACATCCGATAGGTTGAAATATTTCAGTATTAGCTCAACATACTAATTCTTACGTGACGCGTGATTGGTTAAAAAAATTCTCCGTGATGCGTGATTTATAGAAAAATTCAGCGTGATGTGTGATTGGAACCCCCTTTTGCTACTCTACCGAAACGTATCACCACTTCTCCTGCTTCATGTATGATTGCTCTGATCATGGGGAGGGGTAGGTGGGCAGTTACTCAGATAAGGACTTTGATCCTAAAGTAAAGTAGAGTCAGGTAAAGGTAAAGTCCTTGCGTACCCATCAGGAAGTAGATTGTTGTCGGTGACCTATTCGAAGGCAGATCGTATGCCAGTATTCACGTCATCGATGACTTTAAAGGAACAGGCACATAGGAAAACGAAATCTATTTATGTAACAGTCGTCCGAAATAAATAGAGAGTTTGGGACACACGATCAGTAGTTTCAGCTGGAATAGCCAGGAAAAATGTTCCATTAAAACTTTATTTCGGAAATCCACGTTAATTTATCTCCAGCAGTAAATCAGTTTTCTTTTTCTCTGAGGTAAAGGCATTTAGTGCATGAAGTCGTTCTTTCCAATTTTATGAAAAACGAAGGTTGTTCTCTTATTTCAGTGTGAATCCTCGCATGCCTGCCAGTCGCTGGCGCCGCTTGTTGAAACTAAAACGAAAAAAAAAAAAAACTCTTTTAAGATTATCATTGGCTTCTTTTTCACCCCACCACTATTCTTAGCAACAAAGGTCCAAAACATAAATTACATTCAAACTGAATTTAGGTTCGCTCAGCTTTACGCACAAGAATGAAGGAATACGTACGCCTACTGTCAGATGCACTCATAGTTCTGAACGAGTTTGCACCCCTACCGTATCAAGCTTAACGAATATCCTTGTAGCAAAAGCAAAATAATCACACTGGCCAATCAGAACAAAGGAAATATCAGGAGCCAATGATAACTCAGAGCGAACACAAGTAGCCGCCGTCACGCGCAGGAAGTCGCACGTAACCGTAGCTTCCTTCTTCCGTCTTTGTTTGATCTCGTCACGCAACGCGTGGGAAGAGGTTACTTCGCGTGACGACTAGGCCAAACAAAGGCTGCGAAGAAGATAAATGTAACCGGGACCAAATCACAAATGGTTTAAGTATTGCACCTGATTGGTGGGAAAGTTGGCGCCAACTTTCGCGATGAATCAATGTGCGCAGCGGAGCAGAACTACAGCAATTTCGGACTATTGTCAACCCTCAATTGAAAATTGCTCCGGCTACCGTGCTCGCTGCGTGAAAAACTTCGAAAAGAGCGTTGCCCTTTCTTTAAGTGTTTAAGTATGTTGAAAACAATGTCTGGCACGCTTAATAAAATCTAGATCCTAAAAGAGATGCTCAATTCTTTCAGTACTGAGTGTATAGGCATGTACCAATGACATCTTGCAAACTTTTCTCTTCGTTAAATTAACAGCCTTCCTCTTATATTCTCAGCCAGGGTCTTCTCATATAAACTCAGCAACAGTCGCCCAAAACCGAAATTTGGTTAACAACTGGTACAAGGAGGCCTCATTTTGGTACTAGGGGCTTGCGGAGTTCGTTTGTGAGCCAAAGAGCAATTGTTAACAATGACACAGCACCAGCTTGATGTAACGCAGCGAGATGAGTTGGAACATATAACAAAAGTGTAGAAATACCGAGAGTGACCTGAAATAGAAAAAAAAGTCAAATAAAAAAACGATGACTCAGAAAGAGTGTAAAGTAGAGAAACTGAATCAAAAGACTGCTTAAGCCTGCAGTGATTTTGCGAGCGAGAGCTTATTATATTCTTGGAGAAAATTATAGCTACCATCTTTGATTTCTGTGTCAACGGAAGGTTGGGGAGAGAAAGAAATTTGTACCAACTTTATACCAAGTCTGTCTCGTATCTGAAATTTGTTCTAAGGAAAAAGGCGCGAGTATTTCAAATAATTTTCCAGGACATGCGAAGTTGGGGAAAGGAGATTTAACTCCCATGAGTGACAAGGACAAAATTTCTCTATACAATATCAATACAATATCAAGCACACAAGCGATGAGAAAAAATGCATCAATTAGGGGATTGTATGTTGATTCAATACCAAATTCTTCCGACTAACATCGTAAAAATCGTATGGCGTACAGTAAGGAGGATTACTAATGAAAACTCGGGAGTGAAAGGGTGAGGCTATGTTATGAGGACTACACAATGATTACAACCAAGGAACATCTCGATCCTGGGCTCGAAACGGAAACTGAAAGGTATAAAATACACACTATAGGGTTAGAAGTTTTCAAATTTGTTGGAAGTTTTAAAATCAGAATTACGTCACCTGCATAGCGGACATTCCCAGCAGACAGTTTAACGCTATGTTAGCTCTTCCAGGCAGTTTTAGTGGTCTCGCGAGTAAAAACAAAATGGCAATGGAAGACACAGTGGTTGTTCCCTACAAAGAAGAATATTTCAGTGCGTGATCAGTCGTTAATTCTGCGAATGGAATTGTTCTTTCACCATTTGTCACACAAAGCAATAGCAAGATGTCACGCAACACAGGAAGGAGGCATTAAAATGACCAGAAATTCTTCAAACTGTACAAAAATTTCCCGTCCTTTCTTTGACCAGCCCACGCGCGTTTGTTTTTAACTGGATTACTCAAAGCACTAGCTACCAGAAAAAGTTACTACAATATTAAATCAAAAGCATCAACTCACAAGAATTCTGTGTACAAACTGAGTTGTTGTTGGGTTTTCGAAAAAGTTTTTCCATTTCGGTTCGAGCGCGAACAAGTCGCTTGGAATCCAACGGTCTGCCATCTTGGGAAAAGAGTTGTAAACAAGGCCAGCGTCTAAACCAGCGACAAACGCACCTGTAGGGAGAGGGGCGGAGTTGATTACATAAGTTTGTACACTGAGAGAGAAGCCACTATAGACGAAGTGAACGACGAAACGTGATAATGCCGCATGAAAAAGTCAATAATTTACAAACTTAAGCCGGAAACAATAAGATCGCACGAAGAGAAGGGGAGTTTGTTAGGTGGGTTAGTTCAGGCAGATTGGAAACGTGCGAAGCCGCGTGCAGAAAACGCACGCGGAGGCCAGCGCACATGTACGTGGAGAAACGCACGAAGGCCTAAGAAGAGACAGGAGTAGATTCGAACTTCGGGGGCTACACAGCCTGTTATGAATGCCACCATCATTTCTCCTTTTCTTGTAATACTGCAATTTTCTGCGTGGAGCTGAGACAGCAAACTAGTCTCGAAAATATGAGACTGCTGGTTGATACAGAGATACCACGGTACGCTTTTAGCGGAGCTCGCGTAGCCCTATAATTATAAAAAATAGTAGTAACCCATCAAACCGAGAAAATTTGGATGTACGACCGTACGACCGACCGTACAAGGTGCTACCTTTGGCATGCGCGGCCAGCTGTACCACGGGCACTATCTTATAATCAGTCCTCTACACGGACACGGAGAAGTTGCGAATGAAAATCCATTAATATTACCACGCACTTTATCCATAGTAGGGGCTTTAGTTTTGTTGAAGAGACGTGCGGGGAAAAAAAATACGAGCTCCGCTTTTAGGCTTGCCTAAATATATATATTATGCAATGCCAGTTTGATACTCACCTGAAACAGCAGTGAGTGCTACAAAGCCCTTGCATGTGTGAGCAAATCTTCTGAACTGCCTTAGTTGTGAAGTCATTACATACTAAAATAAACGGAACAAGCTGGGATAAGATCACAAATAAAATAAACAAACGAAAAAATAACCACATCCTACAGCCTTTTAACATATCTAATTACCGAAGTATCTCTCTGATTTCTGTAAACTTTTAAGAGTTAGAAATTCACTATCGGTGCATCTTGAAAAAAAGTCAACCACACTTACTCTTGGTTGAGGGATGAACTGACTCAGGCCACACCACACCAAACCAGAATACAGAAGAAAAGCAAGTGACAGATGTGCAGCAAGGCGGTACTGACTGACCCGAGGTATCTCTGTTTTACTGATATGTTCTTCATCAAGGCCACTCTTCACCATGTACCATCCCATCAAACCCTGTCACAGAAATTGAGAGACAATAAGGGGTGTGTGTGTTGGTGTGGGGGGAACTGTTGTATTATTGTCATTGCATCCTTAAAATGGTAGTTTAGGTAGGTCTGTATGGGGAAAAAATTGGACCTGAGGCCTTGATTACTGCCACCAGCCTTTGGCCTAGGAAAACACTTTAGACCAAGGGCAGACTTTTTTCCAGACAGACTGACCCAGATCAGTAAAAAACTCATCAAATATTTTTGCAGCTGGTTTGTTTTTTTCTGCTGGCATAATTGAGAGGGTAAGTGTACATTTCCTTCTTCCTTTTTCTTCTCCTGTACAGTAATAGATCACAGATATCATCAAAATGGGGTAAGAACAAAAAAGTGATACATGACACGCAGTTGAAAGTATAAATCAGACATTAGTGTCCAAAATCAGAAGCAAGTCTCTAAAAATGGACACTAGTATCTAAAATCAAACACTAATGTCTAAAATTGGACACCAGAGTCCAAAATTGGGCACGAGTGTCTAAAATCCGACACTAGTGTCTAATGTTGGTCAATAGGATCTAAAACTGGACACACAAATTGAATTTCAGATAAAAAAAATTTTGTTTGTGGTATTAAAAAATTGTAAAGAAATCTTTAAGTTTCTACCTGACTCAGTAACAGGGCTCCAAACACTCCAACTCTCATCTTCAATCCCTTATTAAACCAGCCCTTGTACCAGAAGTATCCTGCTGGGAGATAAAATGCAACTCCAACCAAACGACCCCACATTCTGTGAGCATACTCCATGTACCAGATCCACTTAAACTGGGCAAGACTGATTCCTTGGTTGGTACTATAAAAAGAATGCACCTTTGTTATTAGATTCAAGGATCAGGTCAAGATGCCTAATAATCCTCTGCATCCAAGGGCTTACAGTAAGAAATCTTTTGTGGATGATCTGATTAAAAAACATCATTTTCAGCAAAAAAAATTGGGGTGGAGATGCAATCCCATATTGAAGCAATGAAGGTGATTTTTAGGAACTCTGAAAAAAGGAACCCTTGAAGGGTGCCTAGTAAGTAAAAAGTAGCAGGATCACTCCATTAGAAGAACTCTTCCTTAGATCTTGTTTTATTTGCATTTTACTGTTTGGGCTTTGTATTCCTCCACTCTCGTAAGTCCAGCATCTTAATTTAAGGGAGGAGTGTAAGCTCATACTTGGCACAGAGGCTTTTTACTGGACTCAAGTATGATCATCAGTATTGTTCTCCTTACTATTTATATTCAGGAAACTTCTGGTATTTTTCAAACTCCTTCTCCCACTCCTCTTGTGTTGTCGGTGGCTTCATTCCTTTGATCAGATGCCAGTCAACCATTGACAAACCAGATTCTGTTAGCCGTGTGACTCCTCCCAGAACAACGGAGCCAACTGCCATGCCAGCACATCCCAATAACCAGAAGCCTTAAAAATAGGTGAAAATTACTGTGCTTTCATTAATTCATATTAACTGATGACTGTAAATGTGTGTTAACAATGCTTATGGTTTACGAAATGTAAAGTGAAGAGGCTGTATCTACAACTGATAACAGTGTGAAACCAAATGTTAATTAAAAATGATTCTACAAATAATACTTGTCATATTTCTGACAGAGAAAGTAACAGAAGAGGAAAAAGAGAGAATATAGTTCTCCTCTACCACTAAAGTTTTAAAAATCAAAATATATGAATTGTTAAAATTTTTTTTTCTGGTAAATGTTGTCTTGACCTTCTCTTCCCCAGCAATAGAAAAAATAAGTTTACAGTACTCAAGGTTTCAGAAATAGCGATTGACTTTGTTTTGTATCCACTGCTAACGACCTGATTAAAATCCCTGCCATTCTTTGACAGCAATGCACTATGCTCTAAACCAAGATAACCAGACCCGAAGAATGAAGAATTTAGATATATGAAAATTCACATATTCTCCACCGCAGTGCAAATATGTGAATTTTCATATATCTAAATTCTTCATTCACTTGGATGTTTATTTGTACCCAATTCATTGACCAGCTCCCAGTTGGCTTGTTAGCTCAATTGGTAGAGCGCTGCACCGGTATCGCAGAGGTCATTGGTTCAAATCCCGTACGGGCCTGAATTTTTTTCAGGTCCTATTTACAACTACTAGTTTCAGTAGTGTTCTTAGCTGCGAGGATCTTCTAATTTCATCTCTCCACCGCAGTGCAAATATGTGAATTTTCATATATCTAAATTCTTCATTCACTTGGATGTTTATTTGTACCCAATTCATTGACCAGCTCCCAGTTGGCTTGTTAGCTCAATTGGTAGAGCGCTGCACCGGTATCGCAGAGGTCATGGGTTCAAATCCCGTACGGGCCTGAATTTTTTTCAGGTCCTATTTACAACTACTAGTTTCAGTAGTGTTCTTAGCTGCGAGGATCTTCTAATTTCATCTCTCCACCGCAGTGCAAATATGTGAATTTTCATATATCTAAATTCTTCATTACTATACCTGTTATTTTGGAGGCTCTGGGAGAGATTTCAGCTGTTGCTGTTGCTGTAGAAGCCTCTGTGGTAAGTAACTTGCGGCATCCTCTTGATAAATTGCCGAGTCTTACCTGAAACTTTGAGCATCAGATGGTAATGATCACATTACTGTGCTACAGTTAATATCGGCAATAAAATTGATGGAGGCTATGTTATGTAATCGCACTAACACTATTTCATCATACTTTACTGACAAACATTTCGAGCAAGTATTTTTGACATTTTTCTAAGTCAACCCAAATACCGAATTAGCTTCAACATCCAGTAGAAACATGCTTGAATGTACTAGATCTAATTTCAGTTCCATTTACACGAACTAGACAAGCTTGAAACCGAAGCGAAACATTAACAAGAAAATTGTAAAAAAAAAGAACAAACGTTTTCCTCACCGATTGTCTCGGCAGAGCATTTAACGAGCAAAGACCTCTGATAGTACACCCTAATCGTAACATTGTAGTCAAAAATACGTTATTTTACAAGCGTGACACTAAAACATAAACTCAAAGAGGATTCACATAATATTCGTTCACGAAGCAAGGTTTGAACGCGGGAAACTGGGTCAAACTATAAGTCTTATACGACACTTTTGCCTCAAAATGTGAATCCGCTAGAGTCTTTATTAGTGTGGGCTCACTATTGAATTTGCTTTCTGCTTTTTGTCAAATCCTTTACCACTTTCATATAGAAGTCTTTCATTGAAAAATTGCTGCATTTTTTATATGAGCAGACATCTCGCCTCTTTTCTAAGTAAGATTTATAAGCTATCTGTACAAAAATTAGAATATTCAGCTGTGTCAAGGCTACTAAAGAATATGGCGGAAGATACCACGTGCAACGCAGAGCAGTTTTCAGAAGAACCACACAAGACTCAGGGGGAGAACGACGGTTTGAAGAGGTGCCTAGATAATGACAACACGACAGAAGATACTGGAAAAAAGAGAATGAAAACAGAACCTGGCGAGAAGGTACAAGAAAATGCTTCTCTAGGTATTCTGCAATCAGCCCACATTGAGTTACAGGGAGACGTTCCATTACATTCGAACTCCCCTCCCCCCTCCCCCCACAACCTCATCCCCCTAACCCTAACCCCCCCTAGGATGGAAAACTTTTGGATAGGGCCTGTCAATATGTATTTTCAAGGGGGCTAAAAATTTTTTTTCTGCGATGCAATTTTCAAAGGTACTGGAGAAAAATTGATAGTGTCAAAATGTTGCCTTCCACAGGGAGGTTAGATGAAAAATTGTCTTCAACTTTTGGTATGATTTATGTCACTGATCTGCATATGCTCTAGATCTAGCTTTTGATGAAAATTCAAAGTACTGTTATTTCACAGGCTGCTGATGATGAGAAGAATGAAAAAACCTCCATACTTCCAAGAAAAAAGAAGTGTGCACTGCTTTTGTCTTATTGTGGGGCAGGTTACAATGGAATGCAAATGTACGTATCACTGCATGGTGTTGATGATCAGGAAAAAATATTACAATTTTGTTTAACATACAAGATTTAATTTGTACTGGAGACTGCCCTGCATAGCTGATGCAACTGATCCCAGTTTTTTTTTTAATGGAATGATAAGGACTACATGTATGGTCACTATTTTGTCTCACTTGTAGGATTTTAATCTTGTTGTATGATATTTGTATTGAGGTTGCTACATGTTCAGCATCACCCCAGAGTAATGGTTGTGGTATACAAAAGTGTTCAGGTCCACTACATGACTTTCAACACAACTTTGTTCTCACAAGATGAGTTGTGTTTTGTTGTCGTGGACTAGAGAAAAACACAGCCCTAATCTTTGCCAGGGAGTGTTTTAATCAGTAACTATCTGGTGACAAAAAGGGCAACATTCGTCTACTTTGTTTTCAAAGAAAGACCACGGGGAAAATGCACAGGAAGTAAACAGAAGATGGTTGATAATAGAGTAGTGTACTCAAACTTGTATGAAAGTTTTTTTTTATTTTAATCAGCTAATTTCATTATCTATTTTTCTTGTCTAGTAATCCTGGTGTTAAAACTATTGAACAAGAACTGGTCAATGCCTTGTTTAATGCTGAAGCAATAACTGAAGATGGAAAAGCAAACATGGGAAAGGTTGGTCATGGGTGATTCTCCACAGAATGCTTATCTCTTTAACCTCTAAGAGTGACTGGTTTCTAATTTCTCCTTACAGTATCAACCTTGAATCAAATGTAAAGGTTGTGAGAATAAAGGAACTTGTCACCAATTTGCAGAGCTCCTGATTGTCTAACAAATTCTCCTTCTCAGTACTATAGGAAATGTAAAGAGAACAGTTTGGAGAATATGATTATCAATGTTAGGTTGTCTAGGGTTAATTGTATTGGGTAATCAGACTTAATGGAAATATTATAGAAATTGTAATTTGTACATCATTGCAGACAAATAATGCTGGGTTTAGTCTTTTTCCATTACTGTAAGTAGATACCATTTCTTTATTACCAGCATGATAGAAGTTGGTGAGGAATAAAACAGTAACTTTATCTCTATATTGTTTTCACTCTAGATGTCCTTTCAACGATGTGCTAGAACAGACAAAGGTGTTTCTGCCGCAAGACAAGTTGTGTCTTTAAAGATAAGTGTCACAACAGTTTTTTGTAATTACACTGTAGACTGTTGTGGGAACCTGTGATTCTCTGCGAGCACCAAGTCTATGACCACCTCTTCCTATAATTGTAAGACATAAAAGAATTAAGACTGAGTTTTATTTAACCCTTTAACTCCCATGAGTGACCAAGACAGAATTTCTCCATACAATATGAATACAATGTTGGGCAGACAAGTGATGAGAATAAAGAAAAATATCATTTATGGGATTATTAGTTAATCCAATACCAATTTTTCCTAACTAACATCATAAGAATTGTATGTCAGACGGTAAAAAGAATTAATACAAACTGAGATCTTGGAATTGAAAGGGTAAACCAGCCAGCTGTCCCTGAAACCCCCTTACATAAATGTGAAATGTGTACTGAATGACTGTTAGTCAAACTGGACTTCATAGGAGCAATTATTATCACCAGCACAATGTACTTTGAAAATGTATTTCTCCATTTAGACAGTTCTTTTTGAGTCATTTCTTTGGAACTGTGCATGTACACCTACTGAGTAGCAGATTGCTTTATAGAGTACTTGCTGTGTACAAAAATTATTATATGTACTGGACCAAATGTTAACTGTTTTTCCTCTCTGTGTGTACATGGTACCATTGCAGAGTCTCTTGCCAAAGATTAACGAGCATCTTCCACCTGAAATAAGAGTCATTGGTGAGTCAACTTACAGAACCCTTCTTAACCTTTTAGAGTCAATTAACCCTACATATACAGTTTTCATTGCATAATTCATCCTCCAAGAGTCAGGAATAAGTAAACAGGATATGGACGGAAAATTTCACAGAAATTTCTCATACTTGTCAAGTTTTGCACTACAGATGTTCCTTAAATTGTTTTTTGGCAGCCATGAAAAGAACAACCAGAGGCTTTGATGCTAAAGGAAACTGCTCAGCAAGGACATATGAATATCTCACTCCGACTTTTGCTTTTGCCAAAGATTATGTAAGTCTTTTTTTGCTTCAAGACATTCTATCTCTCTCTTGATAAAAATATGTCAATAAGAATCAACCAATTTGTTGTTCTTTCAGTTAGTTGATCAATCAGTCAATCTACTTAAGTTAGTAGGTCAATCTGTTATTCAGTCAGTCAGTCTCTTGGTCAGTCAGTCAGTCAGTCAGTCGCTTGGTCAGTCAGTCAGTCTCTTGGTCAGTCAGTCAGTCAGTCAGTCTCTTGGTCAGTCAGTCAGTCAGTCAGTCTCTTGGTCAGTCAGTCAGTCTCTTGGTCAGTCAGTCAGTCACTTGGTCAGTCAGTCAGTCAGTCAGTCTCTTGGTCAGTCAGTCAGTCAGTCAGTCAGTCAGTCAGTCGGTCAGTCACTTGGTCAGTCAGTCAGTCAGTCTCTTGGTCAGTCAGTCAGTCAGTCTCTTGGTCAGTCAGTCAGTCAGTAGGTTGATTAGTCAGTCAGTAGGTTGGTCAGTCAGTCAGTCAGTTAGTCAGTCAGTCAGTCAGTCAGTCAGTCATTCTCTCAGTCAGTCAGTGTTACACATGCTGAATTTGTGTCTGTTGACAGCTGCATATCTTCCTTTCCATTTCCAGCAAAGAACCACAAATTACAGAGTGACTGGTATGTACTTAAGTTGTGTAAAAGGTTCAGCAACTGTTTCATACATCAAATGTTTTTGCTGTAATCAATGGCGACTTCTTGTTTGAATTCAAAGCAAATCAAGCCAAGTATTTGCTTGGAAGTCTGCCTTGAAGTTGCTGCATGTTTGTCAATGTTAAGTTATTTTTATTCTCATCTTTTTAAACAGATGAGAAAATTGACGAGGTTAATGAGATCCTTTCCAAGTTTGTTGGAACACATAATTATCACAATTTTACATCAGGCAAGTGAGTACAAGCTCTTGTCTCCTAATGGAAACTATGATTAATTTGCAGTTTTTCAATCCAAGAATCAAATTTGTATCATTTATTATCATTAATAATCAATTGATGCCGGATATATCATGTATCATCAATGAATGAATGATACTTTTTGACAAGAGAGCATTTTAACCAAGTGTCGTGACCAATCAAAGTATTCAGTCTTCAGAAAGGAAAATGTCAGAAGGAGTCAATATGAACTCAGAAACAAGCAAACTCCCCCTTCTTCCCATAATTTATTGTCGTTTCTACAAGAGGGTGCCATGCGAGCCTCCTGGAACAATCACAGACAAGAGTGCAGCTGAACTGCTGCAATCATGAACTGCTTCCAACCCCCGGTTGAAAACCGCTTCGAATTTTAAAATCCTTTTTAGGTCGTTTTGCCATAATAGAATTTTGTTTCGAATTTCAGGAGGTTTAATGATGCCAGTGCTCACAGATATATCATGAAGTTCAAGGTAACATTTGCGACAACAAACTGGTAACAGTTTCACATAATTATAAGCTCAAGCAGTAGAAGGCTCGGAAGACTCACCTTAGTGTCTTTATCTTTATTCAGTGTGGTAAACCTTTTGAGGAAAGCGGAAAAGAATTCATCACGATTTCTGTTAAAGGACAAAGTTTCATGCTCCATCAGATACGGAAAATGATTGGTAAGGCTTGCTCGTGAATCCTAAAGCCCTCCGTTTTTGAGTTTAGAGAAATCTTTTATTTAGTATTTTAAGTGTTTGAGTGGACTGCCTTCGCTTTACTTCGCTTTGTGATTGATCTAGAAAGCTTACCCCCGCTTATCCACCAATCATATGTAACCTAACCTTGCTTTCTTATTGGTTTTGACATTTTGCGCGCGCCACCCTCTCCACCAATTAGATTCAGAATGAAAATCGATAACGAGTGTGTGGTAAGCGTTTTCCCGCGCTGGAAGCACGTAGTGTGTTTTTACTACGGATTCTCATCGGATCCTTATGATTTTTTTCTTGGCTTTGTTTGACCATTTTAGTATCACGCAATGCAATCGGAATGTGTTCTCTAATTGGAAGGGGTGAAGATGACCTGAGGTTGGGATGTAAAGCGCAGCTGTTGGCCTTCTTGGTACTGTTTTTGTACATTTTTTTTAAACTACATGTGCCATTTGATATCGTTTGTAGGCCTCGTCTTGGCGATCGTTCGAGGTGTGGCTCCTGTTAGTACAATAGAACTGGCCAGGAAAGAGAAAAAGGTACTTGTATGCATGTGTCGTTTTAGATCTAGTTCAGTCGTTTTATAGTTGGATTTGATCCCTGAACTCAGACACTCTTGAAATACCTTTTTATTGTTATCTTCAGGTTGACATCCCGAAAGCCCCTGCGGTTGGACTGGTTCTTGACGAGGTAAGCCTCGCTCTGGGAATATTTTATACATTTACCTTTATCGGAAGCATTTAACCTGCTTATTACTCTATTACCTGTCGCTTTTTAATGGAAAATGATCTTCGCTTATTCGTTCCTTCTTCTCATCCTCTGCTACCTTTTCTCAGAGTAAGATCTCAGAATATGCCATTGTGGTTGGAATTAAACCAAAAACTTTATGTGCTACTTTCTTGGCACTTTCACGAATTCCGTAGCTTTGCAAGTTTTTGCACGTTAAGTTCTCAAATATTGCACTCATTGTTAGCCAATGACACTGTCTTATTGCTGCAATTTCCTTCTTACATTATACTGATACAAATGAAAATGAATTTATTTCCTCCTCCATTTTAAGTGACTATTGTGTTCATTTAGGTCCACTTCGATGCCTACAACCGTCGCTATGGCTCTGACGGGCTACACGAGACGTTAGAATGGGATGACAACGAGGTTGGTTCGAATAACTTGAAGATTACCAATATAGCACTTTTGAATTGAGCGACCAAAGTTATCGCAACTGCCAATCATAACAAAGGTTTAAATCATCATTGACCAATGGGAACTCAGAGTAAAAATAGGCAACCTGCTTGAAGCGCGGGAAAACGCGAGTGACCAAGTCATAATTGGTTTTGGTTTTGCATCTGATTGGTTGAGAGAGTGGCGCGAGTTTTCTAGACCAATCACAGAGCGAAATGAAGCAAAACCAAAGCAATCCTGGATTATTCTCGGTACTCGGTTGAAAATTGCTCCTTGTCTTGACTCTGGTGATGACTTCCGCTCAGGTTGTCGACACGTCAATCGTTGTCACCGAAAACAGTCGTTTTTAGGACCACTCGCCTAAACAACAGTTACTCTTGGTGTGAAACCCTTTATGCGTAGCAAACTTGACACGAGTATTATCGAGCGAGGAAAGGGATAAAAATAAGACGAAAATAGAAGTTGAGCTGATTTATTCCAGTTTTACATTGAATTCTTTGTATGTTATCTTTTCAGGAGGAAATACAGAAGTTTAAACACCAATATATCTACAAACATATTATCGACACAGAGGCTCGGGAACATTCGTATCCTTATGTACAACAACTCAACGGGACGAATTTGTTGAATTTTAAAGGAAAATAAGCTTCTAAGGGTCATACATAGCACAAGCTGCCTTTACTAAAAGTTTTTAGACGGCAATACGTTAGGTGTTTTTTTATTACTCGGGACAAGAGCACTAATGCAAAAAGAAGCCCCACTTAGAAAAAAAAAGTTTATTCTTTTGATCAGGGATGTCAAACTTTGTGAAATTTGAAAGAGATGTCAGTTGTGAACTGCTCTTAATTGCAATCATGATTGTAAAGATTTGTTGTTGTTTTTTATTAGGGCTTTGACACATAATTTTATCTTACGATTATTGCTGACCTCATTTTCGGAACTGTAGTTTCGCAAGTGCTTTTAAATTAAATGAAAGCAATTGTAGTTAGTTTGTGGAGTGTACGTAATTCGGAGTTTGAGTTAGCAAATGTGAAGAGAAGATTAAGATAGTTTGGCCGTACAACACTGTTCGATTGATTGTTTTGAAATGAACAAATCTTGCGTTGTCACATCGGCCAATACAGAGATTTATCAAGAAGCCAGTCAGAAATTAAACTGAAAACATGAAAATGCCTGAAGCGCGGGGAATTCCCATTTTTGTACCTGATTGGTTGCGAAAGTGGCGCAAGGCTTTTTAAGACCAATCCTACGGCAGTTACGAATTACTTAAACACTCCCTAAAGAAGTGGTTTATACTGCGTGAAGGTGATCAAAAAATCTTCTGACTCCTCAACAGAATTGGTACAAAATAAAATGGTTGTCATGTAATAAACCCTTGACTAACTACTAGAATGATGAAGTGGCTTAGGTCTTTACCAGACCATACTTACACGGACGAGAGAATGGAGGAGATTGGCACTAAAAAAGACACCAATATCGCCAAACAAAACACAACTGATTCAAACAACGCTGTACCTCATGACCACTCTGGTAATCAGGGGGAGAGTAGCGATACAAAACAGATTACCGAGAGAGGGGATAGTGACAAGAAGGAAGATGCTGAGGCAACAGTTGTTTAAGAATAAATGCAATCGTCACGGTTGTTGGGGAAGCAAATGTTGTATAATTTTAAGAAAAACAATTAAAGAAACTCATTTTTCGCTATCCGTTTGCTTGAGTTAGTCATCCAGAGAACTCATCCTTTAAGAAGATTGAAAAATTGTTTTGCATTTGGAACACACACACAGTGATACTTTTGTTTTACAAACGTGCGCTCAAGAGCAGAACCTGCCAAAATATGCTGGAGTTTTAAAACAATTTTTTTGTGAAAATGGTAGTAGTCTAAGTCGAGTTGTATTTCTCTTTGATCATGATAGTTGACCATAATCCCCAATCATTAAGAATATTTAATATAACTACAGAAAAAATAGAATCAAACCAGGTTAAATTCATTGTAATCTAAAATAGTTCTCATGCAACCAACTTCCTTGGTAACAAGGCTATTCAATCAGGTAGCAAGAATTATTTTATTTTGCATTTGTGCGGGCAAGCTTGCCATTTTAGTTACAATTCTTAACGCAAAACAAGAGTTTCAAAGCTGATGTTTAGAGCGTTAGCCCTTCGTCCGAGCAGAATCTCCCGTTCTGACGGAGGGCTAACGCCCGAAACGTCAGCTTTTAAACTCTAAACGGTGGCCAAGTTACATTATTGACTCGGACGATAATACCAAGTTACCTTGTTATACAAGCTGTAGAGGTCTATTATAAAGTAATTTCTCTTAGAACTTATTCTGGCTATAACTGTGCGGCCAGAAAGTACGTCCAGCGACTCTCTGGTCTGTTATATGACAGCAATACAGAGTTTCAGTGTCTCAAACACGCCTTATCGGCTTGGCCACATACATCAGACCATTTAAATTTTGTGACTGGAGTCGGTTGGATGCAGTGGTTGGTTTTGTTGATCCTGATCTCATAAGGCAGAGATTGCACACGTATTATCCCATTTCTTTGAAAGAAAAAATTAAGAAAACAAAAAAATGGTGTTGATAATTGTCATAATAGTTAGAGTAACAGGTAAAAAGACGTGGAAGTCTAGTACGATTTGCATCCAAGAATACCACAGTCACGTGGCTTGAACGACGTAAGTGCCAGGCGCATGGGAAAGAATAGCTGTCTCCTCCACGCTCCTTCGGTGGCTTATTCATCTCTTTGTTTTATGATTTTTTTAAAATTAATTGTTGCTTTCTATTTATGGGAATTAACAGACAATGATCAGTACCTGGAAACTTCAGCTCGAATGAGGCGTCCTTGCTGGAGGGCTTTGAAAGGAACTGTTATCTAGAAAAAATGATTTCAGATTAAAAGTTGAATTTTTAAAATATCATTTTAAAGAAAAGTCTTTCTCTTAAAAAAACAAAAACAAAAAACCAAACAAAAATTGTCACATCAGACAAAAGGAGTATTTCCCAGCCAAACAGAAATCAGACATGAATTATTTAACAGACTGAATTTCGTGCACTTTTCAATAGGTTCTTACCTATGATCTGTTAGAGAACAGAAGCACAGATGACGTCACCCGTTTACATTATTTTTTGCTCCTTTACTATATAAGGCAATTCCATGTTGCCGTGGGTTTGTTCAGTAATACATCACAGAAAATTCAAAATGTGGAAAGAACATAATTCCGTGACACACTTACACTCGCCTGATGTGCCACTTTTTTTGTTCATACCACATTTAGGCGTTATGTGTGATTTATCACGGAACAGACGCACGGCAACATTTATGCACGCAACTTTCGACCTCTGTACGGTAGTCTAGCTTTCTACCGGCTCAGCCGGTTGGCCAACGTCCAGTTAAGGGCTCCTGAGATGAAACTCGACCAGAACACAATCTGGTAATGGTTTATATTTTACAGAAATCGTTATTTAGCCCTTTACATCCAAACATCAGTATGCATATTCTCCATAATCTCTCTATACATTTCTTAAGGTTCTGAAAAGGAGAATTTGTTTAACGATCAAGAACTTCTTTAGTTGGTGATCGTTTCCCTTATTCTCATGACTTGAATGTTTTATTCAGGGGTGATCTTGTAAGGAGGAATTAGCTCCCAGTCACTCTTAGGGGTTAAAGAGTTAACAGAATCGGGTTCATTTTTAAAATTAGGGCGTAATAAGATGCATGGTACATTTAAGGCAATAATAAAATCGGAATTAAGGGGCTCTTTGACAGCTTGAATTCCACAATAATTTGGTATGCACATTTCACTCTTGGATGTAATGCTTACGTTCTCCTTATCTGGAGTATAGTCATGGACAAAAAGTAAGTTTCCCACACTGTAATCAACAAATCGGCTGTCAAAGTAGCTGTAGGGTTGTTGTATGTGAGGATGGGCACCAATGACCAGCTGGACGCCGAGTGACGTCAGATGCTGAGCGACCTCTCTCTGCAAGTTGTTCATTCGGGGACGGTATTCTCTGCCCCAGTGCATCAGAACAGCGATCACGTCCACGTTCTTTGCCTGAGTGAGTCAAACAAGTAGACACGAATTTAGATTCCATTTTTTATGGTGTAAAACATCCAGATCGCTTGAAGGCAAGGAGCCCTTGAACATATTTGATCACTGGACCGTTATGTCGCATTGCGATAGATTGTTGTGAACGAAAACCCATAGTAAACACGAGGAGCCAATGAGGACTCTTTAGAAACACGCCAACTGACTCAAGCGCAGGAAAACGAGTGCGGTCAAGTCACGATTGGTTTTGGTTTTGCATTTTATCGGTTGAGAGATTGGGGCGAGTTTTTTTTCCAGACCAATCACAGATTGAGTGGAGAAAATCAAACCCAAGCAACACTGGAATTAATTTTGCTTGTAGCTTATAGCTCTATCAGTAAGCTGCTAATAAAGCAATTGCAGGGTAAACCTTTATATATAAATACTTCAAGCCTCAACGAGGATTGAACCTGCGGTGTTTCCCTTATTCCTTTCAGTCTCTTCGATTTAGTGTCCCGACTGCTAACAATGAAACTAGGAGGCCACGGTTTAGGAGCGAAGCAAAGGTAAGGGGGGGGGGGGGGGTTTGAAGGATTTTGGGGGGATCACATGGTTTCCAGGGGGAACAGAGGGGGATCAGTCGGTATTAACAGAGTATAAAGGGAAGAGGGACTGAAGAAAATTGACTTCCAATGAGGGGGGAGAATTAGTATAAGTCAGAGCTCGGGGGAGGGAGGGAGGGTCAGGTCAATTTTATCGTGACACAAATAAACTCGTACGAGCACCCCCCTAGGGGATTGATAATAACCTGCCCTTAATGCTGAAGCGTTCTTCGTTCCACCTTAAGGAGCGTGATCACCATGAGTCAGTTGTTTGAGGGAACAGAGAAGGAAAGACGGTCAACTTTGAGTCCGGCAATGAAATGGAAGTTTTCGATTTTTCTGATCCCAGTATAATATTATGTTGGGCGTGTGTTACCTTTGAATCTAGTGATGGCTTTGCTCACCGTAGTCACTGTGGTGCAGTCGATGGCCTGAGGTTGGATTCCAGTCTTGGAAACTGAGAATTTTTCGATTGTCCCACGCAAGTGATGGGAGGAAATAACATTTCTCTCCAGTTATTAGGTATTTACTTGATGTATGGCACCAAATGGGGCAGCACAAACGATTTAAAATATACAGTAGGACTAAGTAAGTTGTTACCTTCAAGTCGTTGATGTCCTTAGTAGCGATCTCTTTCTGGTAAAGAGCGGCTCCCGACTTGAACATTTTCCGGACCTCACTACAGTTTTTATATCTTGGGCTACTTTGAGTTATACAGTAAGCAAGAATCCCAATCCTTATTGATTTCTTCTCCATAATCAGAGGAACCTAAACACCGATAACCAGATTTAGTAATCAGAGTACTGCGTTACCATTAGTCGGAAAAAAAATGTGTCAGTTTGTCCATTGATTAAGCCAGGAAACTGTCGATGAATTTTCCATTTCTGGTCAAAGTAAAAAAAAGTTGTTGCAAATAGGTTATCAATGGAAGACATTTTTCGAGGACTTGTATTACCCTTGGGAAATCGCCCAAGCGGAAAGTACTCAATTTTACAAATGGTTTTTTAATGATAAAGATAAAAATTGTATGGTCTTCCATGGTCAGAGTATACCTCTCCTTTGAAACTCTTGAGGGTTATTATAGGCAAATCTGCTGTTACCTGACGGGAATTGTAAGGTCCATATGTAACACCAACAGTTTTTATTCCAATCTCTTTCAATGCATTAACTGTATAATCCACTGGAAGCTCACCAAAGTCGTTCAAGTGATTGTTTGCTAATGTCATCACATCAAACCCTGCGAAACTGTTGGCAAAGAGAAATTTGAGTACCGGCAACATGTTGGAGAGTTGATATATATCTGGGGTTGCATTGGTTTGGTTAACTTCAAGTTGTAATTGGTTAAGCAAATTCGCGACAACCCTTCAACCAATTAATTACAAACTTGAGCCGATTGCGCCGTGGCCAGTCGCGTTATCTTTCGCTTTAGGTCTTTGCGCGACATCACTTTGAGTTCTCATTGGCTTCTGGTCAAAACCTTCGTTCCAATTGGTCGTAGGGGTCACTTTTGTGATGGGTTTGCAACAAAATATCAGAATACCCACTTAAAGGTCTTAGCAGTGTTGCAAGAGATTATCGACTAAATAGGCTATGTATCTTCAAGAAATTCTGTCTTTGGGGCTTCTTTGGACTCAACAATAGACTCAGCCACGAAGATTCTCAAACGCAGCTTATGAGAGAATAACAGGTAATTTAGTGTTAACAACTAAGTTAGCCACCGTAAAGGGTAAAAAAGCTGACTTTCCGAGCGTTAGCCCTTCATCAGAGCGTTTGACGAAGGGCTAACGCTCGAAACGCCAACTTTTTTATCTTTTACGGTGGCTAATCTACGTTTTCAACTTAGTTGTTAACACTAAATTACTTGCTATACTCTCCCACCGACGCAGCACCACAGTTTCTTTAGAAACTTACCTCCTTTATTCATTTATGAGAGAATAGTTGATGTGATATCACACTTAAAAAAGTGTGGTAAACTAAGTTTTTTAATAGCGACAAGCACGTGTGAAACAACACGAACCTCAATGCTGGGGCGCTTTTCTTTTCAGCCTCCAGAAATATTCGTTTCCCAACCAGCACTCTACCAGACAGCGCTTGCTTGGGAACGAAGGGCGACTCTAGGTTTCCAAAGGCGATGTCGGCCTCTCGGATGTACTGTGCCACCCGTTTTAAGGTATCGTTGTAACTGTAAAGGTGACGTTTGACATCAAAGCGAACCGGGTCCGAGAAATTGATATCTCCGGCAAATACAAGACTTAAGGTATCTGCAAAATTTAAGTGTCTTTCAAGTTAGCCTCGAAATACATTTCTTAAGAACCTTTTAAGATCCTTTGCTACTAATATTTCGGATTTCTCTACGATTACTAGCCACGTTAGCATGGAATAACACCTGGAAAGATCGCTAATTTATGTGTCCTCGCGAACTATCCTATATCAATGGTGGAACAGGAAATAGCTTCTTTCTAAAGGATTTCCTAGCTCTCGTCCTTCCAATCGTTCAATTTAACTCAAACACACAGTTAAAGAGGCTCTCAATGGGGTTAACCGTTAGCCGTAAAATGGCAAAAAAAATTAGACGTTAACCGTTAATCGTAAACAAAGTTAACCGTAAAAATCTTAATTTCAAACGTAACGGAAATAATTTAACCGTTGATCGTAAAGTGGCTAATGTATTAATCTGTAAGCCTTCACCCCGTTGAGACCCTCCTTAGAAGGCTGTTGTGAATCATGTTCCGTATCCAAAAAAAAATCATAGTTTTCATTGTTTTTATCCATCAAAGGTTGTTACTGCCGAAAAAAAAAAAAAAAGAAAGCGTATTCGGTTTAAAATAGAGCCAGAGATCAATATGACAAGCTTAGGAAACAAAGTAAAAATACTGAATAACTTTCTAGTCAGCTCGTTTGTTAGTATCAGAATTTTATAATACTACACACTAAGGAGGAATAAAAGAAATGGAATCTTCCTCGTGAGTGTATCACCACTGGCATAAATTATCTATCCCAAATACCTTTTGCTGCTTCGTTGAGGACACCAAAAGTTGACATTAGAGTAAAAAGCGTCCAAATATGGTCCATTTCGTGATAGAACTGTTACAGCTAATGCGACTGCTCGAGCTTGAACCTTCTTTAGAGGGGGTACAGGTTGTTTTATAACTACCAGAAAACGGTTTCGTCTTGTCACTGAGGTTGAATTAATTTTACCAACGGTAGAGGTCATTTCACCAACAAGAGAATTTATCTCCACAACAGGAGAAGTCATTTATAAGCCGTCAACACTGTGTCGGTTTAAGATGATAAAAGTTTCATTTACATATACAATGCAATATGGCACTTTCGTGATTGGACTGGTTAAGTTCATTGATCATGACCCTCACTGGTATACACGTGAGGTTAAAAAAGTGAGGCATGGGTTGGAACCCCTGTTAAAGCTATGTTTTCTTTTTTTTCACGCAATTTCTTAGATTAAAATTCATCTTGGAGGATTATTTCCTCTTTGTTATCATCCACGTTTTAAAAGAGAGTACTTTTCAATAAGGTGTCGAAAGTTATTCAGGGTTGATTTTTTTTCGCTTTACTTCATCTCGTGATTGGTCCAGAAAACTCGAGCAATTTTCTAAACCAATCAGAGTCGAAACTTAAACTACCTGTGACTTGGTCACCCGTGTTTTTCCCGCACTTTAGGCAGTTTGCGCGTTTTTACCTTGAGTTCTTATTTGCTGCTCTTAACAAATTTTCTCTCGTCTATGAAAATTTTTCATTTATTTTAAAGAAAAACAGAAGTCGCTAAAATTCACCTCACTCCTCCATCACCTTTATAGCTCAATTGAAAGTAAAGCAATCCAATTTTTACCAATTCTTATTTTAAGTCTTATTGGAAACGCGCTTTTGAAATGCAACTTCGAAAAGTCCGGACAACCTCAGATCGAAAATTCGCATTTCCAAATGAATAAATAAATGGATGAATAATAGAACTAGTCAATGAAATACTAATTGCAATTTTCATGACTGAGATATCTCCTATTCGAACTTTAAAATCGTAAGCTGTTGCAAGAGTGCTACACATGAGAGGTCCCCAGCTTAAAAGGAAACTCGCAGTGATTATGACCAGCATACTCAAGGCTTTGTATTTGGATCTTATGTAAAATGCACTCAATTTTCGCGTTTTTGCTCTGTCTCGTAGATAAATGAATATTTGGTAATACGATCGCGAAATTATTGCTAAGGGAACAAAAAAAGCGAACAAGAAGTAGATAGTAACTGATATCATGCTTGAAAGCCGGCCACGTGGTAGAAGGCAAACAAATAAAGGTTTTTCATCGATATTTTGTCGCCCAAGCATCTTCAATCTCGGGCTGAGAGTAGCGCTCAGTGACATAGGAATTGATAAAATGAGCGCAAACAGCCAAATAAAAGCAATCCTTGTCTTTCGGTGTTTATCCATTGTCATAGCTTTTATGGAATTTATGATGTGTTCTTTGCGGTCCGTGGCGATTCCGACAAGAAGTATAAAAACAGCAGCACAGAATGCCTGCCGCCAAAATATAATCACTTTGCATTCGGCATCCGAAATTAAATGATGATTATTTCTGTTTAAAAAGTAGATTTCTAAAACAGCCAGTGCCGTTCTGTAAACAACTTCTGCCACCGAGAGTTGGAAAACGTAAAAATTGGAGATACTTTTCTTCGTCAGTTTGCAACGAATCATGATAAAACAGACGAAGAGATTGCTTGCCAGTCCGAGGGCTAAGAATACTGAATCTAAAGTCTGAGATGCTTTCTGGAACTGAGTTGCTGCGGAATTCATCGTCACGGCAGAAAGTGGTGATCGCAAACTTGATTGAAACTCTTACAGATGATTAACCAAACGAAGAGAAGTTTATGGAACTGCCAGATTAATCCAAATTCAAGAGTCTAGAAATATGAAACGAAGAAAACAAATTTCCTCCGGAAGGCAGACCGAAGGGTGCTATACAGCTGAACTTGTACGAGCGAAGGAAGTTTCTCCACAAGCACTTGTAAATCTACTCATGAAACTGTCTGTAAAGTCCTCTTTGATGGCGAGAAGATGTCAGGCAGATATAATTACGCGGTTTACATCTGTTTTTGAGTAGGACTAAAGAACATTTGCAAATCAATTAACCTTTCTTGAAGTGTCAAGCGGAAATTATATAGCTAAGTTTATTGCACTTCTAAAATAAGTTGACTTTGTGTAAATAATAAAAGGAAGGTGGGAAAACCATGTTTACTTTTCTAACAAAAGCCTTCCCCCTTAAAAAGCGCGTTCTTTCAAAACTTGCCGTTTCTCTTGCCAAAGCACTATGGGGGATTTATTTATTTTGCTGCTTGGAGTTTCCGAGATATGGAAGATATTCGATCAACTACTGAGTGAACAAAATTTTTTTGGTGGTTAAGACTTTCAGTTCTAATAAAAGTAACTTATTCTGTTCGTTCTATTTAATCACTATTTCACACAGGAAAACTTGCCTAAGAAAATATTCGCTTGACCGAAATGTAATTACTTGGCACAGAGAGTCACGAACGAAATGTATTTAATTAAAATTTTCTCCAGTATGTACACATGTGGTACTGTTATTCTCGCCGTGAAATATAATCTGGAAGCCGCAACTACAAATCAAGGATTTTAATAACGTTATTAATTATTTGTTTGACGGACAATCTGTACAGCTGCTCTTCATGTAAACAAGAACGTTGGAAATAATGATTAAGTAAAATACAAGAAGAATTTAGAGCTGTGCATTTAACTCCGGCGAAAAATTACTTCTAATGGCCACCGCCAATGTTTCCTGTGCGAATGAGATTCCGTTCCTCATGTTTCTTCAAACAGATGTTTCTCTGCTCATTTGCGCCGTTTTAAACTGCTTCTTTGCCGCTACAACCACGGTGGGAAATTTATTGATTATTATCAGCATCTTTCGCTCTCCAGCTTTGCGTTCGACGGCAAATTTTTTGCTTCTCGGCTTAGCTATTGCTGATTTTGGAGTAGGCGTGGTATTAGAGCCGCTGTACATTACAGTCTTGCTCAAACTTTTCATGGCTTCGCCTGTCAGTTGCACCTTGGTAGTTTCTTTCACATCCGTTTCGTCGTTTCTGGTTGTAACTTCCATGTTTGCCGTCACGGCCATCAGCCTGGACAGATACCTGGCAATTCATTTCCATTTGAGATACAAGGAATTCTTCACGGAGAAAAAAGTCATTTATCTGCAGATTTCTCTGTGGATAACAAGCGGACTTCTCACTTTAACAAGGATGGCGAGTTTTAGAATCTACCTTGTTATTGCTTTAATCATTGTCATAGTTTGTCTGAGTATCATTTGCCTCGCCTACTGTAATATTTTTCTGGTTTTGAGACGGCATCAAGTTCAGATTCAAAATCAAATGCGCACCACAGATAGAATAAAAAACTTGAAGCAATTGCGAAGCTCGGTTGTAAACACATTTTACGTATTTTTCGCACATCTAGTTTGTTTCTTGCCATTCGGTTGCCTGACTATAATCGCTAACACTTCACGTACACGAAGCAGAGCCGTCATGTTACTTAATTTGCTCTCCACGTCTATTATTTTATTTAACTCATCTTTAAACCCTCTCATTTACTGCTGGCGCCGACAAGACTTTCGAGAGAATGTTAAGCAAACTTTAAAAAACCACTGCTGTTTATGAAAGATTATCAAAAAATATGGCTTTGTTATATTTTGCGTTGTCTGGAGAATTTGATAGGGTTTTGACCAGATTGTAATTTTGTAAAATCGTTTATTTTAGAGCAGTCGCAGAGTACAACGTACTAGCGAGAAAGAAATTTTTTCCTAAGCTATCGGATCTTTTAAACATTGGGATGTAACGAGGTAATTTTAATTATTGTGAAAAGTTAATAAATTTCATTGTTCATAAACACATTTACACGGTCGCTTCTAGCATTAGAGGCAAGCGACAGGAGTAATTCCAGATCGAGGTGCTATCTGATAATTTTCTTTCACGATTTTCTCGCTGGGCTACAAAACAAAACACATAACAGTGTAAGATTCTGACACATTCAAAACAGGAAAAAAATTTTACGGGTTAACTTTTGTTATGACTTATGGCTAAAAGTTGTCCATTTTTACGGAAAACACATAAGTTTTTACTCTAGAGCCTGAATAAACTGAAAAATATTTCAAATAAGTAAATTTAAAGTCCTTTAAGGTGGGGGGGAAACTCGGACCATCCCCACGGGACCGTTCCCCTGAGAAGCTGACTCCAAACACGCCTTCGATCAGTAAAACAATTTTAAAAGCTATTCAGTCCTAAATACCAGTCTTTTCCTGGCCTGCCTTCAATCGAATAACAACCGGCCAATTGAACGTCCCTTTTGTCCTGATTGACATAAATCAATAATTGATTACAAAAGCGCTGGCTTAATGGAAAGAAAATTTTGTCTAACAGTTTTGATTGGAAAACCGTCGATGTATTGTCTATCTTCTCTGACAAACACCTAGGGATGGAATCGCGGAGAGTTTGGTACAACTTACTTTGGAGCTTTTGGTAAGTATACATATTGAACAAAAAAATGTCGCTTTGAATCAGTTGGCGTCTACTTAGAATACGTTTTGATTGAAAAAATTAATTTCACTTTGACAATTAAGTAATAGATCTCAGGGGTTGTTTTAGCATCAAAAACCCTAAATTTGCTACATTATTTTGAATCTTCGTGGCTCTTAGTTATTTCTGTTGTTAAAAACCTTGCAGAGCAAATTAAAACGGCACCGAACGAATTACGCGAATGTGTGACCTCCAATCATTTCAAGCTAATTAACCGCAGTGTTACCAGCTTTCAACTTCCTCAAAAAAAAACATAGACGAATAACAGGTGATATGGCTGTTAATTGCTCTATCTTTCATGACCTTTGATTTTAGGCTGCACTCTCTGTGAAGTTTTGTAGCCTACTAATTTGCCTGGGGCTATTTCTAGTAACTGCGTTAACCGCTTAACCAGAAATACCTTGTTAGCCAAGCTATGACGAACAATGCAAGCAGTGAATTAAGGCGCAGCACCCGTTCATTACCGCCTTGAATTCGAACCTCTGATCTTTGTACTTCTATTTATTTTTTTTTTTCGAAGTACGATCTAAGATGGAATCTTCTTGGTGTAGAATACCATTGCTTGAGAAAGAAAATGTGAATTTCTGAAATAAAAGGTGACAACAATTTTTCTGAATCCATTTGGCGTGAAAATGCCACCTGTTCCAACTTGTTCTAATTTGACTGATCGGTTTTCAAGATGAATAGTTTTAAAATAACCTGTTTGAGATACTATCAGTTGTAGTTAAGAACCGACCATCTTAACAAGTAAATGAACTTTAGAACTTTCACCTGGTTTCGCTCATACACGGATTTTCACAGTTACGCGTGCGTATTTCACTGATACTGCAGCGATACGTGCAGTACTTGTGACTGCAGAAGTTCTACCCTCCAAACCCCTCATTTTTGTGCATATAACAGAGCATACCGCAGCCCTTGTTGAAAATGATTAGAGCGTGCACATGTTATGCCATGAAGCGCTTAACTGCGTTTGGTTCAATCTGAGTCATCCCGTCGTAGCTGAACTCGACGACAATCTGCAAGATTCCCATTTAATTTCCAGATAATGTCAGCTTGCTAGTTATTTACTTCGGCTCTTTTTTGATTCGATCAATGCAAAATATTATCTCAGAGCAATTTCAATATATCGCGGCTCTGACCCGCATGTTGTTGTGTGATATTATTGTCTTTATATGAAAAAGAAATCTCTGCACGAGACAAACATTCATCTGTCATTTCTGTTGCTCAAATTCGTTCATAACTTTGCATTTTCAGCCTTATTTTTGTGGTTCTAAACTCACATCACGTCCTTGGAAAGAAGGGAAAGAAGTCGCATTCAAAGAGGAAGCCATCTTGGAAAGCGCCCAGACCTCACATTATTATGATTGTCGCTGATGATCTGGTAAAGAGTTTCGCTAAAAGACTATTTGATTAAGAGATCACTTAAGGTTATTCTTATTTAGTTATTATCAGATTACTCCAGCCGTCGCGAATCTTAAGAAGGTCTGATCTAGAGCTATGTTATCCTGCATCGAGAATTTTGCCACCGAGGACATTTTTATGGAGCTTCTAGTCAGCTCTACCAAGACATTCAAGTAACACGTACCACTCACATGTGTTTAAAAACAAACCAATCACAGAAAAGTATACTGCTTCATGAGGTGATGAGTCACCGGTCGACCTAATCGCCTGAAGGAGACTAGAAATATGCAGCAATATCACGATCCGCTTCTTCTTCCGCATCACTTCTTTATCATGCGTGAAATTCGTGTCTCACTTTGATCCACATGTCACGCTTAGTTTGATCATCGCTCGTTTCCAGACGGAAATTGATATTTCATTAAAGGACCGGTCACTATTTTTTGACCAAAAATTGAAAAAGGATTTAGACTTTTTTCACCATGCACACTTGCCTAAGCTCGCTGATTTTGACCCAGATGATGTAAGTATCGTTCAATTGCAGGGCTGGGATGACGTCAGTTTTCACGGCTCTCGCCAGATCCCAACTCCTCATATGGACAAACTGGCCAATGATGGAGTGATTCTAAACAGTTATTACGTATCGCCAATTTGTACTCCTACCCGGTCCTCTATCATGACTGGAAAACACCCGGTCAACTTAGGTTAGTACTAGTATCCAAGGTTGGAGGCAAGAGAAGATGAGTAGCAGAGAGAGAATCCACCATATAAGCTGTATTACAAACAAGTCATTATTCATCGTTTGTGGGGTGGGGTGGGAGGAGAAGGATTTGGGGATCACTTGGTCTTTCACCGGGAAAGGAGGGGGAGGGAAGCAGTCGTCGCTAACGGAGTATACGGGGGGGAACTCTAGAAAAATGACCGCCAATAAACCGCCAATGAGGGGGGGGGGGGTCATAAATATTACAGAGCCTTATGAGGGGGGAAGGGGGAAGATAGGCAGATTTTATGAGGACAGAACCCAAATTTTCCCGACCCTCCAGATGATAAACAATGACTAATCCCTTACTATGCCATTCCCTCCTAAAATTATTTTGGATCGACAAATAACCAATCCTGTCTCGTGAAGGTTGCTCACGCGGATGTCCAAAGAGTATATGATTCCCCTCCTAAAAATCGTCAAGTTCTTCACTACGAGCGACATTCTTCTCTTGAGACTTGATATATTGAATCTAAATATAAATTACTTCGTAACATAAATACACATCTCAGTCTCTGCTCTCAAAAACTAAATTTAAAAATATTGGTGCCACATGGTTGCGCGAAAATGAGCAGCTCACCTTGATTCTCATTAGATCTTACTTCTACAAGTACACAAATTATTTGTAAAGGTCTTACGTAAGTGTGAAAATTACTCTTTATCTAACAATCGCTTTGTTTTGACTGAGAACCTCTTCCTTGCCATTTTTGTATTTCAATTAACTTGTCACCTAATTTCCTTCTTTCCGACTAAGAACAGTGAACAAAATGAATATGTGAAGTCTCATTAGTGTTATCATGGTTACAGGTGTTCAACATGGTACCATATTTGGCAGCCAGCCGTACGGTCTTCCCTTGGGCGAGGTTACAACGCCACAGTACCTCAAGGCACTTGGGTACCGGACACATGGCGTTGGGAAGGTAAAATATCGTACCAACCAAAGAAGGGGAAGTATGCGTAAGGATGGCGCCATGTTTAGAAAACTCGCCTTCTTGACCCGAATTTTTCTCCTGGTTTTCCGTTCCCTCCCCTTCCCCGTCCCCACCTTTCCCCCGTCCCCACCTTCCCCCCGTCCCCACCTTCCCCCCGTCCCCACCTTCCCCCTTTCCATCAGATAAATCTACTCGTGGAATCAAATCTGAAGGAGAAGAAATGGTGTTAAAGGAGCCATTTGTTCAACATCGTAATTTTGCCAGCTGTTTGTACCATCTGTGACCAGGTTTTAAAATAAAGCTGTGTGTTTTCTGCCTATGTTGTTTTGTCTAAGAAGGGAGAATATCACAAATCTCCCCATTCATGCTTAAGATACTTTCCGCTAGAACAACCTCGTAACAACTTTACCTAGTTTTCCCACGTTTGATGTCGTTGGTGGGAAAACAATTTTTTTCTATCAGTGGCATTTAGGATTTTTTGAAAAGGAATACACTCCAACTTATCGCGGATTTGAGTCTTTCTATGGATTTTGGAATGGAAAAGAAGATTTTTGGGACCACACCTCACTCGAAGATGTATGGGGGACAGATCTACGAAATAACATGAAGGTGAGGTCGATGATGTTCTTTTATGAAGCTTGCTTGAAAACTCAGCGGAGTTAATCCTTTCCTATAAGCAGTTTCATGTGTCTAGCGGTGAGGACGATACAAACAACTTCGTAAAAGGGTCTGGGTACAATCATGGCTCATGGACACAACAATCTTCAGAAGCAGGAACCGTTTTGAAAATTATTAAAGACTACATTAAAAATATGTCACAATGACTTGGTTACTTGAACTTCTTTTCGTTCTACAGCCCGTTAAGAACGAGAGTGGCCATTATGGGACAGAATTATTCACAGAAGTGGCTGAGCGAATCATTGATACTCACAACAAATCCGAGCCGCTGTATTTGTATTTTGCACATCAGGCTGTTCATTCGGGAAATCCAAAAGACCCTTTGCAAGCTCCAAAAAGAATGCTGGACGTAAGTTGTACAGGTTATATATACTCGAGGCTCATTTATACAGGTATATATATACAGACATATATATACAGTATACATATATATATATATATATATACAGGTTATATATACTCGAGGAGTATTGTGCTTTTGAAACTAGAGAAACTTTAAAAAAAAAAAATTTTTTTCGACATTAAACGTATATGTAATTTTTTATCACGTTCTGCGATTCAAAAGGGTAAAGTTAAGGTTCGAAACTTGTCACTTTTCAAATGGGCTCAACTGTCGACTATGAAGGCCGCCATTTTGAAAGCAACTCAGTAACCTGGCTGCACACCCATACGCTCGTAATGACGAGCAGCGTTGCTTGCAGTTTGCAGACAGCTGCTGCAGGAAAACGTTAAAAATCGTTATTTCGGTCATGAATGCCTCTTTACGTAGATTTTAATTATTCAAAACGATCATTTGGAGACGGAAAAACGGCGTGAGGTATCCATATATAAGCCCAAATATGGAGTCCAGGGCATTAGTGTGGCGAGCAGTCTGTTTGTCTGACTTCAGGTGATTAGCTGTCTTTTTCATCCTTCAGAAATTTCAGCATTTTTCAAAGGAAGACAGAAGAATTTATGCTGCCATGGTGGCGTCTTTAGACGAGTCCGTTGGAAATGTAACTAAAGCTCTCAAGAGAAATGCAATGTTTGATAACTCTGTGATCGTTTTCACGACAGACAATGGAGGCGCTCCATGGGGATTTAACTGGTAAGAAAGAATCGCAGCCGCACACAGAATCAAATAGCAACGAAATTTTAATTAATGTGGTAATAAGGGACAGTTTTAAATAAGTATCTTTGCCAAAAAAATCAGCTTATTTTAAAAAAGCAGGTGCAAAAATTTCCATGATACGATTTTGCCCCCCCCTCCCCCCCCCAAAAAATCACAGGATCCAAGTGAGAAAAAGAATCAATTTTTCATCTCAGAGTTGCTTAACAAGATCTTTGAAATTTTTCCATTTCTTTTCATTCCATGCATCTTCTAACTAATTTAGGAATGCGGGATGTAATTACCCACTCAGAGGAGGCAAGGACACACTCTGGGAGGGAGGAGTCCGTGGAGTTGGTTTCGTTCACAGCAAGCTCATCGAAAACAAAGGCCGTGTTAGCTATGATTTGATTGACGTCACAGATTGGTTACCAACCTTCTATCATCTGGCCGGAGGTGACGTCACTAAAATACAAGATAAGATTGACGGTATGAATGTGTGGGACACCATTGCAAATGGGAAGAAATCTCCGCGCACGGAGGTATAAGAAATTCAAAATAACATTTATTCAAATTTTCATTCAGGAAAAAACTTCAATTATTTCATTCGCTAACGTTTTTTTTACAAGGATGCCTCATAACAGGACGAATTCAAGTTTCGTACCCAGCTCATTAATTAAATTATTTTACCACATCAAAGGTTCTCCACAACATCGATCCCTTTCGCCGATTTGCAGCCATTCGAGTGAAAGAATACAAGTTAGTCGTGAATCAAGACGCTGATAACAAAATCACTTGGCTTCCGAGGTATAATGTCCCTGGGGAACTGGACTCTCTTCCCCAGCCCTCTACCTTACCTGGTGCGGTTATTGAATGTGGAAAGTGGGACAGTGAAGAAGAGGCTGCATGTAAAAGTGATGTTTTTCCTTGTTTGTTTAACGTGAAAGAAGGTAAAGTAAATTTCATTGCTTTTATAGGGTGCAAGTTGAATATGATTTGTTTGACTGACTAATTGATTGGTTAAGTAGCTAAGCAAGTGATTTGCCAAAACTAAGAACTGAGCTTTTCCGGCTGACTGATGAACAAACCACTCACTTGCTTGACTACCCAAAAACTGTCTGAGTGGCTGGCTGACTTATAAACTGATTGACGTATTAAGCGACCAAAGAAGATAGAAACAGTCTTACTGACTGGCCAGCTAGTGCGTGGCCGGTCGGCTAACTGACTGACTGACTGACTGACTGACTGACTGACTGACTGATTGCCCGACTGATTGGCTGACTGACTTACTGATTGACTTACTGACTTACTGACTGCTTTAATGACTGACAGATTTGCTGACTGACTGACTGACTGACTTACTGATTGACTTACTGACTTACTGACTGCTTTAATGACTGACAGATTTGCTGACTGACTGACTGACTGACTTACTGATTGACTTACTGACTTACTGACTGCTTTAATGACTGACAGATTTGCTGACTGACTGACTGAGTGAATGAATGACTGACTGACTGAATGACTGAATGACTGAATGACTGAATGACTGAATGACTGAATGACTGAATGACTGAATGACTGACTGACTGACTGACTGACTGACTGACTGACTGACTGACTGACTGACTGACTGACTGACTGACTGACTGACTGACTGATTGACTGACTGAATGACTGACTGACTGACTGACTGACTGACTGACTGACTGACTGACTGACTGACTGACTGAATGACTGACTGACTGAATGACTGACTGACTGACTGACTGACTGACTGACTGACTGATTGACTGACTGACTGACTGACTGAATGACTGACTGACTGAATGACTGACTGACTGACTGATTGACTGACTGACTGATTGACTGACTGACTGAATGACTGACTGACTGGCTGACTGGCTGACTGGCTGGCTGGCTGGCTGGCTGATTGACTTACTGACTAACTGACTGATTGCCCGACTGATTGGCTGACTGACTTACTGATTGACTGACTGACTAACTGACTGCTTTAATGACTGACAGATTTGCTGAAAGACTGACTGACTGACTGAACGACTGACTGACTGAATGACTGACTGACTGACTGACTGACTGACTGAATGACTGACTGACTGACTGATTGAATAATTGAGTGCCTAAATGACAGAAGGAATGACTGGCTGAGTAACTGACTGACTGATGACAGTCATATTGAGAACGTTCTAAAAGAAAAAAAAATACTCAAGATTACGAACAATACTTTCTACTATAAAATTTGATAATTTAATTTACTTTTTTCAGATCCGTGTGAGTACAAGAATATTGCTCAATCCAACCTTGATACAGTAAAACGTCTTATTTTAAGACTCCTTCATTATCACAAAAAGGCCGTTCCTATATGGTTCCCGGAGAGGGATTGCGATGCGGACCCAGCAAATCATGACGGGTTTTGGGGCCCTTGGAGGTCTTCAGAAGCAAACAAAGCTATTTTAAAGGAAGTAGTTGAGAGCATACCGTCAGTTAATGAAGAGAAGCATTCTAAACGTAAAAAGATTGCAATCGATAAGACAGAACTCGATGAGGAGTCTTTAAGTTTATATAATGAACAGAGCAAGGAATTTGAAAGTATGTTAAAAAATTACCTCAACGAAGTTGATAAACGTAAAAGGAGTGAGACTTCTCCACAGAGAAGTGGCAAAATGAATTAGTGCTGCGTTCAAGAATTTTGGTTTACTGTGAGTACAAAATATGAGAACGCAATAATTTTCAATTGAGTGTCAAATTAATCTGAGATTACTTTTAGTTTCGCTCTACTACGCTCTGTGATTGGTCCAGAAAACTCGCGCCACTTTCTCAACCAATCAGATGTAAAACTAAAACCAATCACGACTTGATTGGTTGTTTTTGTCTAAAGCTCTCAGTGACTGTTATCGGTATTTTCCTCTCTTCTGATTGGTTGTTTCGGTTTTACGCGCGACACTCAATCGAAATGCGCTCTACCTTTACGTGAAAATTGGTTGCAAGTTGTCTTTGCATTGTTTTCGAACACGGCTGTAACATAATATAAAGTTTTGAGCGAGTCTCGTTTGTTTCTGTTATTATTCGGTAATCGCTCGATTGTGGTGATAAGGAAAAAAGTTACGTTTGACGCAAGGGTTAAAATAAAATTTATTTTGGTTCAGAGCTGAGGCCTATATCTACTTCAAAGTGATAAAAAAGGCAATGAAATATTTTATCTTTGAATGTTTTTTTTCTCATTTTGATTGTAAATGTTAAATATATGTTATGAGTAACTTTCTAGGTTGTGTCAAATAAGATAAGAAAAACCATACAAAGAAGATGATAGTTAGTGATCTTTCTCTAAATTGCAGATAGTTCGACTGCTCCCTTAATTAGTGCAGGTAATTCCGAAGGAAAAAAAAAAGAATAAAAACGAAAGAACACGCGTGTTTCGCCAATTAGAAGAACATAGGCCTTCGAATGTATGGCCCATTTACATTACATTGCGGGAATTTCCCGTCGAGAAAACTCCCTCCACTTCGTGCAAAAGAGTTCGGAGATCTGCTTTCAAAAGATTTAAATGTCGAAAACATAACTGGCTTGCGAAGCCCTAAATATTTACCCATACTCAAAAAGATTAAAATTGATTTACTTCGTGTTGCTCATTTGTAGCCTATAGACTAGGTGTAATTTTTTGTCTCTACGCCGAGCAGAACTGGGGAGGTAAGCATGACGCACTACGAGTGTGATCATGAATGATGGGTAAGCCACACTCGAATGGACTCAAATGACTCGCTCTTCGCTTTCGCCTTGCACCCACCTGTGCGCGCCTGAAAGATGCAAACAAAAGAAAAACAAGCAAAAATTCAGGTTCCATGACCCGCATATGGATCCAGCCATATGATGAGAACGGTTACGATTACTGCAAAACTTGTTCCCAGGGTGCCTCTTCCGCCTACCCGGTAAGAATTGCTTTTGACTATTCATCAGCGGTGCGATTGCTTTCCAAAAATTCCATTTCAGATCCTGTTGCGGATGTTTGACCTTCACTGGCAGGGTATTCGTTTGAAGAGTCCTCCAGCGAATCACTTACACTATCTGCTGGGTCAGTAGTGTCAATGTCTGCACTGATATTCATTAAATCATCGTCATCGCCATTATTTTGTTCAGCGTTTGATGTTACCCTCAAAGAGGACATCCCTTCTGGATATTGATCGTCGTCTATCGAATCACTATCGTCAGCTGAGGAGTTCTCAGGTTTACTTTTTAAAATTTCGTCATCTCTAATTGCAATGTTTCCTATTTCTGTTCTTCGTGTTCCTTGTTTCTCCACCTTGCGAGGTTTATTCACGATTTTTTCTAACTTCCTAATAACTGAAGACGTGTCAATATGGCTTAATTTAGTGGCTAAAGTCTCCTTCCCTCCTTTGTTTGACTTAACAACACCATCCTCGGCTATTAATGCTTTCTTTATCATTTGCAATTTGTGCATCAAGTCGTCCTCTTGCGTTTTCTGTTTCATCTTGGCATACAACAAAGCTAACGACTCCTTCATCAAATGGCCGTTACGAGGAATCTGAACCTTCTTTCCTGCATTTGTAATTTTTAAAATTGACTTCAACATCTGATAGACTCCTTTGTCGTGTTCTTCGTGTGTGCTGAACACCTTTCCAATCCTCGTCGTAGTGACAGTGCTGTTTATTTGAGATGAGTGCTTCTTCGCATTCACCGCAGACGGGATGGAGTCGAGAACCCTTTGTAAGATAACCTTGTTACCTTTTGAGGATTTCCATGGGCCCCAGTAACCTCCGTGATCTGCAGGGCTGGCGGTAGGGTCCCTCTCAGGGAACCACACGGGAAGGGCATTTTTCTGGTAATGAATGAGTCTACGAAGGAGCCTCCTAACTTTTGGAAGGTGAATGTGCGCAAGATTTCTATACTCGCAGGGATCTGAAACAATAGATAGGAAAAAGTGATCTATCTAACAAACACAAGTGAAACATTACGGATTAATATCCTTAAACTGCGTAACTAGCAGTTATGTCCAATCGTCGACCGCGAAGCCGTGTTAACGTGTGGCAAAGCCGCGCAAGATTTGTGCCGGAAACTTGTACTTTCTCACTCGCGGCAGTTTATGGTAGACTATCAATAGCCACTTCGTAATTTGTTGCACCAACATTCCTGCGCAAGCGCTGATACATTCGATCTTAAAGCCGTCCACATTTTTGGCACTGAAGAAGTGACAAAGTTATGCGGTTTGAGCCAAGAAAATAAACAGATAAAACAAAATGATTATCACATCCCGGTCACGGTCATGTTTTTCAGGTTTGTGGCCGGATCTCGTGAGGGTAAAAGTATGAACAGTTGATTTACTCCAATCTGTCAATCTGTCAATTCCGTTAATACTTCATCTCGAACTTCCCAGCCTTGCAATTCAAAATTGCATTCAAGTCTGCAACGTTTAGTTAACAAAGATATTTAGCTTTGGAATTGCGAAACGTTAACAACAGCGCTCGCACAAAAGAAGGAGCGTGGTCTTGTCATGAACCCAACTTGAAGGCTTCTAACATTTGGGCATGACGACTTATTGTTTGCATGAGAGCGCGGAGTTAGAAATTGCCTCGATCTAAGGCGATTTATCTAACCAGACGTCGTTTTCCCAACCTCTTTTAAAGGCAAGTAGTTGTAAAATGCTCACCTTTTCTAACGTTGAACAAACAGGGAAATTCATTGGTGTCACAAGCATCCTTTTTGCCCCTGGGCCGCTTACCACACTTAATAACAGCACCGGGCAACGTAGAGGGCTGGGAAAGAGAGTCCAGTCCTCCCTCGACTTCGTAACGCGGATGCCAGGTTGTGTTGAATACAGCGTCCTGATTAATAATCAGCTTGTAGTCACCTACTCGAATGGCTGCAAATTTACGGATGGGATCAATGTTGTGGAGGACCTAAAAAAAACAACATCAAGGTACATGTCAGCCTCTCCGTTATTTTAGGGAAATTAAGAATTTGCGCAAAAAATATGTTGTTTAAGCCAGGTACACTTTTGAAATTTACCTCCTTTCTTGGAGATTTCTTTCCATTCGCTATTGTATCCCACACATTTACGCCATCAATCTTGTCTTTTATCTTGTTGACGTCACCTCCAGCCAGATGATAGAAGGTTGGTAACCAATCTGTGACGTCAATCAAGTCATAACTGACACGGCCTCTGTTTTTGATCAGGTTGCTATGCACAAATCCCACTCCACGGACCCCTCCCTCCCAGAATGTGTCTTTACCTCCTTTTAGAGGGTAGTTACAGCCTTGATTCCTGAGAGGGGAATGACGAGAATAGAGATGAAACTGATTGGGTAATTAAGGATATACCAAAACAAACCAAAAAAATTGGACTTGGTTGCCGCAACTATCGTAACTCTTGAAATCGTTTGTGAAGTTCTTATCACTGCGCTTTGAAGTTTTTAAAGTAACGTACTTGGAATGGACCCGTACGGAGAGGGGGGGGGGTGGTGAAGTTATCCTTGCCCCCCTGCTCTCGGCTGAAAATAGAAATGCTGATCATAACCCTTGCTACGTAGTGGGAAATCCGCTCGCTGTTTTTAAGGTGGGGGGGGGGATTTCTCATCGATCGCATGAACAATGTATTTATCTTTATCTTTACCCCCGATGGTGTATGGTTTATTTTTGCTTCACAGGATGATCAGGTATGAATTTTTTACCAGTTGAATCCTCTCGGAGCGCCTCCATTGTCGGTTGTGAAAACGATCACAGAGTTATCAAACATTCCATTCCTTTTAAGAGCTTTCGTTATGTTTCCAACGGACTCGTCCAATGAAGCTACCATCCCAGCATACGTCCTTCTGTCGTCCATTATAATATCCTGAAATTTCTGAAGAATAGAGTATGAAACAGGATAAAATGTATTTCTAACCACATTGGTTTAGGACTAAAATACGAAACAAGTTGAAAATACATTTAGTTTGCGCTGCATTAAACTTGTGTCGCCTTATCAATTGGGATAATGAACGGAAAGACATGCAGGTGCAAAGACATCGAGATTTCTTTAGATAAAGCGGCAAGTGTAGAATTAGACAGACAGACAGCCAAAGGGAAAGATAGACAGACGGGTAGAAAAGCTGGTTGATGATATACAGAGGGGCAGACGTACATGCAGATAGATAGACGAACAGACAGACATGTGGGCAAACAAACTGATAGACAGATTGACAGACACACATGCATATAGACAGACAAACAGACAGACATACGGACAGACAGAAAGACGGACGGAAACACAGACAGATAACGGACAGACCGACAGATTACAGACAGATACACAGACGCACATGCAACTAAACAGGCGAACAGACGGACAGACGAACAGACAGACAGACGGAGACAGACAGAAAGAAAGATGGACTGGAGACAGCCAGAAGAGTGACAATCGTTCGGATAAAGAGACATGAGGATTTTACAAACGTGAGTCGCTACATAGATAACTGGTCGAACAGACAAACACTCAGAAAAAGGAACCAGTGATGTAATAAGGAGTATACAAAGCCATGTATCTTTGCTTACATTAACAAGTCTTTCTGGTGCTTGCAGGGGCTCGTTACCATTGGCTGAGTGAACTCCTTGTTGAGCAAGATACAGATATAGTGGTTCAGACTTGTTGTGAGTATCAATGATTCGTTCAGCCACTTCTGCAAACAATTCTGTTCCATAATGGCCGGTTTCGTTCTTCACAGGCTGCCAAGAAACGAGGGTAGTCAGTATTCCGGCAAAAGTTAAGCTCTTTCAAGCCTTTATTGATCAATCAACTCTATTGATCAATCAACTCAGAACTGTTTTCTCAAATCTCTTATGCGAGGGTTTTGTTTTTTAATCAGGGTGACAAACTGAGAGTACAAAGTAGTTTCAAATGAGTTCAGATGGTAAGCCGGAATCGCGTTGGTTTCGCCTCGTCTACCTTCTCGTCGTGATCGGGCGTAAAAATTTGCCCTACTTTTTAAACCAATCGGTTGCAAGATTTAATTGCAACTTGATCCTCCGAGAGGTTTCTTCCATTCAATTCAGGAATATTCTTTTCCAGTTAGTATCATATTCTGGTTACTGTTTTATTTTTGAAGGAAAGGTTGAGTGCCTGCAACCAAATTGGTTCTTTGTGAAATTTCACCTTCATGTTATCTCTGAGATCTGTCCCCCATACGTCTTCCTGTGAGGAGTGGTCCCAGTAGTCTTCTTTTCCATTCCAAAATCCATAGTAGGTCTCAAAGCCGCGGTAGGGTGGAGTGTATTCCTTTTCGAAGAATCCCAAATGCCACTGAAAAAAAAAAACCTCAATAATACGATGAAACGATAACAAATGCCTTTGCAAAACAAATCGGAATAAGCCTTGACGTAGAGAGCTTTAGCTGGTTAACCTATAGGATGCCGTCGATGATAAAAAAGCGCACAATTTGATTGGCCGTGAGACCTATACCTATATCTAAGAATTGAAGCTGAAAATGTAAATTTATTAGCTAAGAAATGTAGAAAAATAAAATAAATAAATATATGAGATGTAAAATTAAAGAGCTTTTGCGAATGAATAGCTCTTGATAGCTTTCTTGAACTATTTACAGACATCGTATTTCTGCATGAGATTATTAATAGTTTATATTCTTTTAGTTTCTGTTAGTACTTGGAAGGTCATTACAGAGTTTACAGGTGGCTGTATGAAAGGAACGATTCCCGAGCAGAACGAGTGATTTACTTCCACTCCCACTATAATAAGGCGTAACCCATTATTGGAAACCTACCTTGCCCACGCCATGTGTCCTGTACCCAAGTGCTTTAAGGTACTGAGGGGTGGTAGCCACACCTAACGGAAGACCGTACGGTTGCGTGCCAAATATGGTAGCATGCTGAATTCCTGAGGCAATGTGAAAACACGCGTGAGAACGGTTGTAGATATTCAACGTCAAGAACGTTTCATTTCCTAAGGTATGATTACTTAATGGCTTCAGATGGAGAGACACGACGTAAACTTAATTTCCTCTGTTTTTCCCTTTAGAGACATGCTAGAAGCCTGTTGGCGCGATAATGGCCGGAGGATGAAAACAACGACTAGACTCAAACCTCCCTGGGTTTCGCTCTGCCGCAACAATGCCGCCGTTTGCCATTTCGCTCCGTTTTCCCAACTGAACGCCTGGGACAGGATACACGCTAGTAAATTGCTTTCCGAACCTATGTGTAATGCATTTTTACATTCCGGCATTTACCTTTGAAATAAACCATCTGAAAGAATAGTCACATCACCCAAAACCAGGAGTGAATGTGCACAATCATATCGCCTGTGGGGAGCCCGCGGGAATTAGCAGTCATTTATTAACTGTCTCGTCTTAGTCAAGTTTTTTTAGGTTTCATCGACGAGGCAAAGCATACGCGAGAGGTTTGATCGAAAAAAAAAGCTCTTGTACCCTCGAGCGGTGGTGCATTTACGCAAGTATAAGAAATTGACCATACCGTGAAGCTATGTTGCGTGACAAAGTTTCAAGATATCTGATTTTATCCCGAGTCGAAACATAACCACGACTGCCATAAGGACTTAGGAATTTAAAACTTATTATCATTGTTCCTCTTGTGGCCGCAACACAGCCATCGAAAAAAGGCATGAAGCTCTTATTGCCCCCTGGGAATATCCCTACTTCCGTCAGTACCGAGAAATTCGAAAAAAGCGAAAAAATGAAAAAAGGAGCTTAAGTAAAAATTATCTAATGGTACCTAAATTGACCGGGTGTTTTCCAGTCATGAGAGAGGCCCGGGTAGGAGTACAAATCGGTGATACATAATAACTGTTAAGGATCACTCCACCGTTGGCCAGTTTGTCGATGTGTGGAGTAGGGATCTGGGGCGATCCGTGAAAACTGACGTCATCCCAGCCCTGTAAAGAGAAATCGGTTCAAAACAGTTTCACGCTTTCGCTATGGTTGATCGCATTGAAGGCGGACAAAATAAATTGTGTCGCTGTGTAATTAATCCAACTGATGAAGAGACATGTCTTGACGCAAGCAAATATCTTTTCGAGATCTTCAGTTGGAGTGAAAATGGTTGAAAAATTTTTATTTGAACTGCATGAGTTGCCATACTTTTGTGGAGAATCAGCCCTACTGCGAAACGAATCAACGAAAAAACAACAGGTGTAACTTTTACTCCAGTAAAAACAATATACCACTGTGCAACCTTCCGGCTTAGCTTTGAGGTTTTATACGCCTTGAAGTTCGATAAAATTGCGTCAACAACAGAAACCTAGGACCTCCTTACCAGATCATCAGCGACGATCATGATGATGTGGGGTCTGGGCGCTACCCAGTTTGATCTCTTCCTTTCTTTCTTTCCATACACGTGATGCGAGCCTAGAAGAACTAAAACAAAGCTGAAATGATAAAAATAAAAATAAAAAATTATCAAACAAATTATACTACATTCTGATAGGTGTTTCAGTCTACAGGCTAAATTAATTTTTGCATTTGTAAAAATATCCTTAGAGCGCTGTTAGCAGATTTCATGGGACTTTGGATTGTCAAAATGGCTTCGATCCATCTGGGATTCTAACTAGAAATTGTCAACAAAAGGGAACTTCTCGAAAACTAGCATGTCACATTACGTGCGTTATAACACATAAATTTGCCCCTACATAATTATAAACAACTGCGTAAATGATTTAACTTTTTTCATTAACCCGGGCAGGATCAGCGTAAGTCGCGCTTCAGGACTCAGTAATCGTTACTATCACGGTTTCACAAGAAAAACGCGCAATGATGATTAATAAAACATGATTTTAAACTTCTCTTATTCACCGTAGGATTCACACATTTTCGTGTTATTAGCTGATAATGGTTTATATTCGATAAGCTAGAAGTTGAAATACACAAGCATGTATGCGCCGCGGTGTAAAAGCTAACACATATACTATATGAATGCGAGTTTAGCGGGAGTTGGGTTAATAAACGGCCCTTACGAGTTACAGGTTACACTGAAGACAGACTTATGTATTACTAAAAGTTGCACAAATAAAACAATCCAGCTTTTTTTTTTATCTATGGCCTGCATGCCTTATGCAGTCTACGGGTTTCGAGTTATGATACTCACCGCAACAACCTTAGAAAAACGCTCTTCATCCTGTAAAAATGATTGCAAATAAGTTACATCCGATACATTTAACTACTCGAAGATCAACATCGCAGACACAGCACTCAACTTTTCACTTATACCTCTTGAAATCAATTATTTATTTTGTATTTGTCAATTAGCCGCGCACGAATGGCTTAAAATCGTAAACAGAAGGCAAAACAACCTTTGAAAACAGGTAACGCTTAAAGAATCTTTTGTGAACATTTTGTTTTCCACAGTTGGCAATGTTTTGTTCTCTTCTATTTTCCTTGAAATTTCCTCTGTATCTGGTACCTGTAAAACACTAAGAACACAGTAATCAAAACAGTCAGCTGCATCATAAGAAACTCTGCTACCATGCGATCGCAAACCATTAGACCGATTTAAGATAAGGAAAAAAAATTTACCCTTGAACTATTTTCTAAAATTGGGCGAGAAGGTTTTGGTTAACGTGAAAGAAATTTAAAGTTAGAATTCTCAGACCATATAAATACGTTGGGATAAACAAAAACGAATCAATTTTTTTTCGTGTTCTTCGCCGCCCAGTTATTGTCTACATTAAATCGATATTATCACAAAATCAAGATAGATAGTCTCGTGTGTGGAGACATTTGAAAACACCGGGGAGCTGTTAATGCATTCTTAATTAATTAAAGTAACGATTTCAACCTCCACCTAAGGGCTACTCAGTTTTCAAAGAGTGGCGATTGCTTTGGCTGGTCAGATCCAGACTCGTTCCCGGTCTTCTAAAGGTGCACTGCGGTAAAGTGAGGGAGAAAAGGGTGACGGGAAGGAGAAAGAGACTGAGGCTCTCTCTTGCTTTCTCTCTATCCATCGTACTTTGCGCTCCCATTGTATCAGCGTGTCAGGTCACATCCGCAGATTTGGTTCTCGGGATTTACCTATCACACCGAAGTATATCTTTATAAATTTCAAGGTAATAATTTGAGGTCGCTGTTATCTGACGCTACAACTTTTCCTCTACCCAATCTGAGAATAAAACTCATTCTGCGTCTTTGGATCTGATTGGGCTCAGGGAAAGCTTGACCTTTGAGGGTGAGTTTTGCGACAGACAGCCCAGAAAATTCCACCTCCCTCCCAGATAATTTAAGGTAAATACTTTATTTTGGTGTCTAGCAAGAGAAGATATTTACAAGTTCTACACAATTAATATTATAATACAATGGCGCTTAGGAAAGAATTTAGCATGCAAAAAAGAACAGAAAAGAAAGCTTATGAAATGTGTAATACAAGAAATACGAAAATAATTGAGAAAAATAATCATTAAGTCACCAGACTATACAATTGAGAATTTTTTTCAGCTGAAAAAAAGTCCTTCATAACTACTTGAGGTAAGTCGAAGGAGAATCTAACGCCCCAGAAAATCCCAAACTTAAAATAGCAAGTTGCACGTTGAGTACGCTTCGTCTGTTTTAATTTACAGCCAGCTGTTGAGACTGCGAAATTCTTAAATTTTCACTCAAAAGAGCTCTTGGATTATTACTAAGTCTATGTAGAGTATAATTATCAATTTAATTGTCATTAAAAACATTCGTAAAATTAATCTACATTTTGTGATTAGGCAATGTTTTGTAGTTCACTAACAAACGATTCAAACGGAAAAAAAAAGATATATTAAGCTATTTTCTTGAAGAGAATAACGAGATTTCCAGTTGAAAGTTTGAAAACTAGAATTGCTCTGGCCTACTTGTTTAAAGGGTGGATAATGCTATCCACGGGATAAACCGCCATCCAGCGGACGTGTTTACAAAATGTGCTTCACTATCCACTGAGCAGAAATTTATCCAGTGGATTGGGTTATCCAACCTTCCAACAACACGGGCCAGGATGATAAATAAATTAACGGCCTGAAAAAACACACTAAAACCAAAGGAAAGACGTTATCTGAATTGCAAAATCAATTTAGAGGCTAGAAGGCTCTGCGTAGAATTGATTACAGATTGATAAAGAGAGTCACACCGCAAAGAAGAAGATCCGAGCAATTTATCGTTTATATCCTAGTCCCGGTCGAAACCCTTTTGAGAGGATGTTTCCCTCTGATTTGGATCTTTTAGTGAACAGCTTCAGGTCTTGCGCGTGGTTCTCATCTAACATTGGCAGGTAGAACTGAGGTTCACAATATTCCTGGAAAAGAAAGAGCAACAACGCCTTGAGATATACGACTCTCCTTTAGTGAAACGGTGTGGGAGAGACGCAAGGCTGACGACAAAAATTCAAGCCACACCTCACTTAACAGTCAGTTTTGCTGCGTCGGTACTCTCGTATTCTCGATAAGAGTCCTCGCAAGTAAAACTAACCACAACACGTTACTCCTATTCTATAGCATTCTTACTGACAATGTCGACACTTGATTGCAAATGATTTCATAACGAATCATACACGATGAATTCTACCGAGCCGTAAACACAGACCTCAATCCGCACCATTTTAACGCGTTAGCAATCAAACCAATCCAACGAGACATCAACAAAATGTCGCTAACCTTGCACTTCGCGAAGAATGCTTTGTAGCCGCCTTCTAAGAGGTACAACTCAGGGTAAAACAACTTTGGATAGACATGGTAATGAAGATCACGGTCCCTATTCCGCAAGTAACGAGACCTGGAAAAGAAAAACGGTACACGTTTTGTTAAGTTGAAAATAGTGAGTTTCCAAAGGAGTATGGAAAATGATCAACTTAACCAATCGCGACTTGGTCACTTTCCCGCGCTTTTGAAAGCGCGGGAAGACGACACAGACGGTTCATTATCAAGATCACCATATGATTGAACCTTCAACACCAGCGTTCTTTTGACGCAGACGAGCTCACGCTTCTGTTCTAGTATTTAAATCACTGAAGTAAAGATTGCCACTTAAAAAAAAAACGCACTGAAACAGTACTCACATGTCTGGTCCTCTCTTGGACGAGAATTCACAGTGAAATATCAAAACTGTTTTCTTTCCCGTTAAACTTCTCTTCGGCTTTTCGATGAATTCGCTGTAAATATCCTCCTTACTGTAAATATTTTTCGCACCCTGTGAAACAAAAAGGTGAAATATGTAGCATAGATACAACAGAAACATGCAGCTAACGATTATTTACGCTCTTGTCAACTCGCGTGAAGATGAGAAGTGTTTCGTGACATGCGCTCTGTACGAAATAGAATTACGAGAATGCCGAGAGAAGAGGAATCTGGGAGCGACACCATCTTACAGAGCCTTAGAAATTACCTTAAGGACGCAAAACCAAGGCACTATACAGAGGACGAAAATTTCGTAGTGCGCCTAAGGGTTCCTACTCGATTTTTTGTATATAAAATTGAAGACTTTTTCCTAACGTATTTCCCTATGTATTTAACTTTTCAGACTAGAGAATGTGTCTAACATTACAGGGCGTGAACAAAGTAGCAGTTGTCGAGGAGACGGCTTCCAAGGTAAGAATTCTTCGACTGCACTATCAATGTATTGACTGAGGTGAATTACGAGAAATTTAGCGACAAAAAAGTATATCTTACGAGTACTGAATAGTACTTCTTACCGCATTTTCTTAAGAATTTCACTTCATTTGCAACTGATTTCCTTATTTATATCAAGAACAGTTAAAAACTCCATACAAATGCCGTATTTTGTGCCTTTCCTTATGTGGTACTTACCTTAATGTGACCTCCATTGTACTCGTAAGGGTAGCGACAGTCAATGATGTGAGCCTCCACTTCAGGAAATTCATTATCTAAGACACGTGCAACCTGAACGAAAGGCAAGGATGGCATTACAGCGCATTTCATCAGAGTATTGTGAAACCAACACCATGATTTCACAGGTAGCCAATGAGAATTCAAAGTTAAAATAGGTAATCTGTCTAAAGCGCGGGAAAACCGTGTTTGGTCGAGAGTATTGCCTTTTGACAACTATGTTATCTGAGAAAAATCTCCGGGGAGATAGCGTGCTTTCGGAATCTCAGAAAAATATCGCGTTACAAGAGTTTTATAACACACACAAGACAGCAAGTGACAGTGTTTAAAACTTTTTTCGATTAATTTCAAAACAAAATGGTAGATCAAAAGAATACCTGTAATTAAATAAACTTTGTTTTCAACAAGTCTTGAGTTTTCTCTTCTCCGTTTTTTCTTCCTTTCACCGATTTTTCATGAATGTTTCAATTTTCATTTTTCGTATATTTTGCGTGATGGTGATTGTTTCTTATTTTCTCCCTGTAATTTTGAGCGAGAAATTGGCACACGGCAGGCCAGAATTGATCTACTTCTCAGAAACGCAGCCTGACACGCTGTGTTTCTGAGAGAGGAAGCTTACACGTCTGCCTGGTGTATAGCAGAAATTCAAATTACCGTTTCTGGAGACAAACATTTCAAGTCTTCATGTTGTCCTGGTATCAACGGTAAAGTGTATGGCTGTAATAAAAACAAAAATAGAAAACAAAACAAGCTTATTGAGGAATCACAATAGAAAAAAATACAAAGGTTTCACAAATATATTATCTTAGCAGATCAGTGCTATAAATTTTGGACTAAAAAAATAAAGAATGAAAATCTCTAAACTTACCCCACTAAAATCTGCAACTAAGTCTTTGTTAGCTACAGGAAGGCAAAGAACAAACAGATAACCTCGTTAGCTTAAAATAATCTTGCTCGTATTATAGGAAGAAGATCAAAAGTATTTTCAAACGTTACAGAGGAGCCTTGATAATGACAATTTTACAGCTGTTTAAGTTCATGTGTGCTTGCCTATACGGAAGCAAGATGCGATGTGGGAGATTTTCAGACAAAAGTGAAATCTTTGCGATATGAAGCCTCTTGTTATATGTTGAAATACTTCACAGACTAACGAAACTTAAAGAAAAAAGTGAGATGAATGCTGTACACGAGACAAAGGAAAAAAACTGAGTCTCCTGTGAAGACGTGCGCCCAAACCTGTTGCAATTTTGCAATCAGTCTCAAGCCAGGGTTCAGCAAGATACACGACTTTTTTTTTGGTTTGTTCAATGGGTTTTCCACAATGACAACCCATAATGATATTAGAACTTACTTGATGCATCCAGCATGTTTCCCAGGTCATGCTCAAATGTTGCAGACTGCGAGCGCCGCATTTGGCAGGTTTGACCTTCACTTGGTGTGATCTGAATTGATGTTAGTTATAAAAATACATTGAAAATGGTCATTAGACACAAGTCTAAGAACTCACAAAAAAAATACTTGGAATGCATACTTGTTGCACACTGCAGGACAAAGATTTGTAAACATTTGCTGTTGTTTTAAGGCTGTTACAGGGCGTGAAATTAATCTTTTTTTCCTGATAGCCACTTGGCTCCTAAATTTTTCAGAGTGGTAGCCAATTCAAAAAACGTTCGTCGCCATTTTTAAAGACAAACAAAATCTTTTTTTTTACGCTGTCAGCGATCTCGATAAACCCTCCAAAATTAAGTTTGGAAAAAGATCTTTGACTTCTACAGAGTGGACACTAGGATGGATGATATACAACGTTCAAGCTCACCTAAACCCAAGATGGCGTCTAGTTAACGATCGAGATGCATGTGCTACGTTTTGGACATAAACTTAACGAAGAAGTTTGCCGCGGATTTATCTTTGCAAACCTTTTTAATTCATTATATCTCTAGGTAAGGTTATGATGAAGCGTTCTAGTCGTCAATTTGGCGACTGATTTTCAGGATTTGGTCGCCAAAGTGAAAAATTTAGTCGCATTAGCGCCTGTATTAGGCGCAATTTCACGCCCTGTGTTATTGTGTTTTGAAATTTGGTCACATGAAAGGCACATCGGACGTATTTGAAATCTGTTAATATTGTAGGAAAATCACTGACATAAAGGCATAGCAGAGAAGACAACAATATTTTAAAAACTAAGTAAGGTAAATAACTGTTTGGAATAATGGTTACAGAGGGAGATATTAAAGTGAGAGCATCTTAATTTACCTAATTCATTTATTCTTCAAAAACATCACACCATTGTGAAGCAATAAAAAAGAAACTTTTTTGCCCCATCAAAGCTTTCAAATAACGTTACAAGCAAGTCATGTGGGCAGACATCACACCTTAAGTATCTTTGACCAATCAAAACGTACATTGAGCACCATAGCCCAGATCTTCAACGATAAAAATTGCTATCTATTGGATAAATTACTCCGTTACAAACTGGATGTCATACATGTAGTATGTTCTGTTTACACTTAACCACTCAGTAAAAATATATTCAGGTGAATACCATTATCCAGCCTTTGAAAAAAGGAAAAAAAAAAGTAAAGCCTTTATACAGGCCCAGTTGGCCCATATTTGCTGATACCCATTTGTACACCTGGGTGAAGAGAAGCACTTTGAGAGTAAAGTGTCTTGCCTAAGAACACGACACAATGACCCCAGCCAGGGCTCGAATCTGGACCACTCGATCCGGAGTTAAGTGCACTAACCATGAGGCCACCATGCCTCCACACATGAACAAAGAAAGCCTTACTTATAAACATCAATACATATACCAGTTCACTCACCATATCAAGTCGCGATGGATGGACACCCCCTTCAATGACAGACATACACCTTTGCCTTATGAACAGAAACAAAGCAAGAATAAGTACATAATTGAGTGTGCAGAGCTGTCAAAAAAAAGCAGGTAGCAAGCCAAAAATGACAGCTAGTCTGCTATCTTTAATCCCCTGCTTTCACTTCACTTTACTTTACCATAGCTACTGATGAAAAATCATACAATTATTTGAAATACCATAAAAAAAAATTGCACAGCAGTCATTTTCCAATTTTGGGTGGAATCTACTTATAACATGTTTAGATGACCTTGTGTGAATGAATTTTTCATTCAGAATTTTCTCAAAGGTTCATGCAACCTTCATCAAATGCCTGGGAAATTTTAAGCAAATACTTCCTAGCCTTGTGTAATCTGGCTGGAAAAATGCAAATAAACCCAATTGCCCACTTTTTCCCCTTTGCCTTCTACTTTGATATCAATGAAACTTATTGACAGCCCTAAGTACAAGTAAATTTTATACAGAGGAGTACAATGCATGAAGGAGTACAATTTACTAAAGTAAGAATAACAGATCCAATCATCAGTAGTTAACCATACACACCTTAGCCTTTTCTTGAGATTAGGACTTGGGTCTCTTGGATGGTTTGGTCTCTGATAGATAATTATGGAAAAAAGGTAAAACATATGAATTTATGAGCAAATCATTTGTTTAATGAATGTTTCAATCATTAATCTCACCATAAACCATGCAATTAAAGTCACTTTCAATATTTATTACAGATTAAAACATTTTGACTGCTAAACTGCAATTCTTCATCATGCACAAAAAATCCCCTTTCTTTCAATCTTTACTGTATCTCCCTGTACAATGTTGCCCTTTTCCCCTCTGTTTACACAACACTAAATGGGGAAAAGGGAGTATTCTGACAGCCATGCCCTCCACTCCTTGAAAGTGGTTACACAAACATAATGTGTACAATAATTCTGTCATGGATTGTAGGCCATGAAACTAAGTTGTCATGGATAACACAGTACCTTAAGAGCTAAAGATTTTGACTTCTGTCTCATTGTGCATCGTTCTTTTGTTGGGCTCTCTGATGCGACAGAGTGAGCCCTGTCTCTTCCAGCATTAAATAGGTCTCTAGGTTTATAACCAGAGTCTGAAGCCTGCCACAGAGAACAAAATGACGTTATTGTCTGGACACAGGTAATCAAAGGTATTTTAAGATTTAGTCTTTAAATCAAGACTGACTTTCATAGCTGTTGGATTGGATTCTCTTACTTAAAGTGACCAGGAGGAATTAGGAAGGCCTCCCTGAGGTGCTTGTTCATCCCAACCTTCTAGCCCCTCTGGACCTTCCTTAAAAGTAACCACATTTCTGATAATTTATGGTAGCTATGTCATGTCTGTAATTGAGTGAAGTGGCCTACCGAGCCACAGCTTATCCCAGTTTCTGTTACATGAAGCGATTGGAAGTATCACTCCTACCCCCAAGTGTTTTGTTTAAGAAAACAACACAGTGACCCAGCCAGGTCTGGAACTTAGACCTCTCAGCCCTGAATTCAGTGCACATACTAGGCCACTACATCTCTTGATTTGTGACCACCCATAAAATGTTTCCTTTTTTGGGAGGGAGAGGCACTGTGAGAGGAAAGTGACCTGCCTGAGAACACAACACAACGACAAGGACAGGTTTCAAACATGGATTATAAAATCAAGAAAACACTCAGATAACCACAACACCATTACATTTTTCCACGGAAGGACAAGGAGGAAAATAGATTTGTAATATTTTGTGTAACATCATCATAAGCTGAATTTCAAAACTTTGAAGAGAAAAGAGAAAACAAAATAGGACAAAGACTGGTAACTAGGAAGAGATTGTGGAGGGAGCTTGGACTGGAAACAACTCCTGTCAATAAAGTTCTTAACACTACACACAAAACACAATAAAAAATAGTATTTCATACCTTTGGTGTATCATTGGTGGACTTCCTTGAATCATCAGCCTCCTGTCATGATAATATGAGCATTGTACAATGTATTAAATGCTTACTAAGTAACTTTTAATTAGTTAGTAAGAGACATGCAATCAATTTACCTCTTTTTGCCATGCAATATACCAATAATAATCTGAGCCTGTGGCAAGGGTCTTTGAATTATTGTGTTTTAAAACCACAAATTTTTAAGCAGTACAAGCTATAAAAAAGTGCAGGCATTATCAGTCCTAACATAAAGATTGAAATGTCTTTGACAATGGCCACAAAATTTTTTTTCAGCCTAATAACATTACTGACAGATGTAATTCTATTATATTCTGCTGGCTAGTGATACATGTTACAGGAAGAAAAACATTCTTCTGGTTAAATCGTACATGTTACAAAAAGAAAAAAGAAAAAAAAGAAAAAGAACAGACCCACAAACTTTCACATAACAAACCTCCTCTTTAGTCACCAGTGGCCCACTAACAAGTTCTGTAATTCCAGATGGAACCTCTAAGCTATTTTCCTGTGAACAAGATAAAAATAGATAAGACTGTTTTGAATTTGTTAATATATGCTAATGTATCTGGCCCTGGTTATTCAAAGGTGGATAACACTATTCACTGGATAAATTGCTATCCAGTGGATAGTGCATTACATTTTGTTCACAGTTATCCACTGGATAGTGATCTATCCATTGGATAACATCATCCATCCTTTGAACAACTGGGCCCTGGACCATAGTAAACCACAAATCAAGCAAGGTTGAAACCATTATCATTAAATTTACTTTCAACCACAACATAATTCCACAGTATGGCTAGAAAGTACATTGCAAGCCCCTCAAAACTTGCTCCTTAAATCTCAATCTTAGGAAACTTTGACAATAGTAGCTCAGGTTAAGTTTAAAGACATATGAGGTCATTGGAGAAATTAACAAGGCCTCTCATGATAAGAGTGCTCGACTCCCACTGCTGTGGCCTGGGTTAGATTGCAGGACCTGGCATCTTGTTGTTGGTTCTTGTCCTGGCTCTGAGGGTTTTTCTCCACATCCTCGGGTTTTTCTCCACATCCTCTGATTTTCCTCCCTCCACAAAAACTAACATTCCATATACCAATTTGACGCAGTGGACAGGAAGAGCCACCATGTGGAAAATCCACTGCTAAATTATCATCATTATTATGTACCTCTTTAGACTGTTCCTGGACAAAGTCATCAATAAATCCATCATCATCACCATCTAATTTGAAATCAAAGTCTCCTCCACTATCTTGACTATCACACTCAGATGGAGAAGGTGGAACATGCAATTCCTGTGACTGCACCTAAAAGCAAAATATCAGATAAAAACATTTTTGACACAAGTTACTAACAAGCATATGAACAGCAATGGTGCTGAAGTTTTCCAGATGAGTAGGAGGCAAAATTTGTTCAGTTAAATGAATTTAGCAGATGATCAAGTCTGTATGAAGTTTGCTAAAAAGTCTAAAATTTCAGCCTAAATAGCAAGGCTGAAATTTTAGACTTCAAACCCAGTCTCCATTAAGTAACTGATATGCACAATCTCCACTTAATTAATAAACAGGAGAAACCAGAAAAAGACTTACATTTGCATTCTGATCAAGCATTAGAAATTCAATTTTTTAAGTGAATATGTTCCGGCGTACAAAAATACAACTAATTCCACTTCTCATTTAATTTTGAAAGCTTATTAGAAGAGGTGCTTAGAATATAAAACTCTAGATGACCTTGGATGCAACACCTTCTCCCCCTGCTCTAGATGAAAATACAAGACAAATTGGAAGGAGAATCTAAAACTTTAAAAAAAGTCAATTAGGTCTTTTTTAAAGTACACTTTCAATGTTTCCTTTGCTTCTAAATCAATGAGACTAGAATCAGTCACATAGTTTGTTGAAAATCCAAATTATAATACACAAAAAAAGGAAATCCCTTTCCAATTAAACATGATACAAATGGGAATGATGGAATGCAAGTGTAAATGTTTCAGGACACACTAAAAGGAGGCAATGTTCTGTTGTTCTTAAACCGGGTAGTTAAATTAAGTAAAAGGTTAACATAGTTTAACAAGTTGTCTCCACCAAAAATAAGACAAAATGTAAAGATTTTACCCTAGGTGATGGTTCAGAAAGAGATCTTCCAGGTAAATTATTAGCTGATAATTTCCTTCCACCAACTGGACCCTTTGGTCGGGCAAACTTGAAGTCTCTGTTTTCCAGGGTGAAAACACTTCCTGCAGACTTTTTATCAGCATCTTGGACTGCATTAAAGTTTAATTCGATGTTCTCTTTGTTTTCAGCATAAGGATCCTCTTCGGTTTTGACCTAATTGGCAGAAGGTGAATTATTTAAAGTACCTCATAGAAAACAGCAGTAAATAAGAAGGAAGTCTTGGCTAAAAAAGAAATGATTACAAAGTGGACCACAATCATTGGCAAGGTGTGTTTTTGCTCAGTAATATTTGATATATTTGAATCCTTTTAGCACTTGAGCATGTTTGTTACTGACATTTAGCTATTGAAATTTACTTACTGGCAATGAGTTCCACCTCTTGAATGAAGGTCTCCTGGAGAAACAATTGAAACATTTTTCAACAAAAATTCACAGCTTCAGTGGCTTTATTTGAAATCTTACATAGTGTTCTTTTCCAGAGAAGCTTCTTTAATCTAAGGAAAAAACTTGCTGGTAGGGAGAATGACTATTTGCCCTTCAGTCAACTGAAATATTCGTCACTCTACATGTGAGATCAGAAAGTACACTCTCTAAATTCAAGAAGATACTTAAACTTTATTATTTTTTTTTTAATGTAGTATAGCTTAGAAATGTAACTCAACATAGCTAGCACAGGACATTTTCCATAATTTTTGTACTGTAATTTGTATTGTGGAATTGTTTGTTTATTTTATAATGATATATAGACATGTTTACATTGTTTATACAGGTTCCCAATTAAACCAACTTCAAGCTATTTTTGCTTGCATGCCATTGGTTTAAGTGAGTCACATGACCAAATATACCCTAGCTAAAACTGGGGAATATCCAGGGATATACCCAAGTGATATTCCTCAATTTTCAAACCTTACCACCTGCATGATAAGTCTTACATTAAAATATAATTCAAGACAAGAGAGAATTTTGTAGTTGTTATAGAAGAGGGGACATATTTGTTTGTTCATTCAAAAATTAGTACCAAAAGACTCAGAAAAGTAAAATCCCACCCAGCCAATGGTAAGCTGTTTGTAAACATTTTTCTTCCTGCATGTTGCAAAATGTGCTAAGGATAGTAAACACAGCAGTCTACATTTGGTGCAGAACTATGCTCATAAATAATTATCCTTGGACATTAGCAGTTCTTTATATCTCATGGTTTTCCTTGAGCTTTGCTCTCAGAAAAAAACTGTTTTAAGCAAGTTTTCAAGCCAAATGGAGACTATTGTTTATTTAGTTGAATGCCCTAAAACTGATATGAAGTAACTTGCAAGCTATTCGACATTTTGCATAAAAAGCAGAGCCAAGTAATTTTAGATTTCAAAGTGAAAATACAGCTGACGAACACATGTATCAAATTTGAATTTCCCTCCCTCTGTCCTTGGACTTGACCACAAAATATGCCCTTGGTGTAACCACAGATTGATCGTAGCCCAAATGTATTCAGCTTTTTTTAATTTACCAAATTTCCCTAACAATAACAGTACACGTGTGCCGACGGAACAGCTGCGTCGAAATTCATGACTTTAAATGATCTGACATTACAGAATGAAGGAAACACGTGCAACCCACATTAAGGCTTAAAACTTAGTCTACAAGACGGATTCTAAAGGTTCCTTCAACAAAACCAGGTGTTTCCAACAAGATTCGAAAGGAAATCTTGCAAATTGTCCACTGGGCTTTAGATAAAAACAAAACAAACATCACACCTTTGCTTTTTCTTTTCGGCGTTTGCCCTTGGAATAGAAAGCAAAAGATAAGTATCAAACTGTAAACCTATCAAAAATTTCCGAAGGCGAGGAGGAACATAGATATGAAAAGCGAACGTGCTAAATCACACGAAAGCCGATGAAGCACTTTGCGAGACTTCAAAGACGGAAGAAATAAAAGGCACTTGAGTTTTTACTGGTCAAAATCAACGAGTAAAGTCTGCAGTGCAAAGTAAATGCACATCACGTTTTAGGTTAACAGGTTTTGAAGATGTCAGAAATATCAAAACCTCAAACCTAAAAAATACCATCAAACACCACTGTTATAGTTGCTTTGCAAAATTGTATTTGACTTATTAAAGTTTTGATTCAATTCTACAGGAATCAATCGATAAGTTCCCGCATTCTTTTCTCTTCTGTAAAACTCCTTCATTGTCTTTATCTTTCAGACGTTAGTCCATGTTTAAGCGATGGAACCAATAATATGAAAAGGTTAATTACATTTCCACAGGAAGCTTTGTTCACAAGCTTAGTTGTTGCATGAACTGATTAAAAAATTACACCAAAATTATGCTTACTTTAGCATTTCGGTCGAAGGTGAGTCACATAAAAATCCTAGCGGAGAATCGGGACAGTAACCTAAAGGAAAGAGTACAGTGATGACTGTCATGATGATTCTTAATTTTGCAAGTAATCAGAATGTATAAGCTTTATTGTTTAGCAAAATTCTTTGTAGTACCTGACTCGTTGGAAACTGTCGAAAGCGACCTCTGAAAACCCGTGGTTGGCGTCGAAGGATCATTTAAGGACAAAGAAAGCTTTCTTTTGGGAGTCCTTCCTAAGCTGCAGAAAAACAGGGAAATAACTTTGATCGTTAAATCATGAAATACAACATGTTATATCAAATCACGGCCGTTCGAAATGCACGTCCAGTGCCGCTATGAAATTTACACGAAAGCTAGCATCGCGCTCAAATATTCACAGAAACTATGGGTCTACCTGTTCTCAAAATTCAATGTTAACTCTGCTACTGGAGAGAGTACAGCATTAGGAGCTACATCCAGTGAGTTTTTTCTTCGTGGGATTTCTAATTCGAGGTAGCTTCCAGCTCTTGGTTTCATCCCGGCCATATTGGAAATTGACGATGGCGTCCTGTAGTCGTACCTGGAGTGCACAAAACGGAACTTTTCGAGGGAGAAAACAGCCACGTGCGGCTGTTTAAGTGTCCAGAAAGAGGATAAAAGATAAATGGTGATTCTAAACTACTGATACATTGGGTTGGCGAGAAAGTAAAGAAGACGGTGAAGTTTAGAGGTACGACTTTTCAAACTTTCCCCCGCATTGCATGGTGAAAACATTATGCTGCTTGTCAACCAATCAGATTGCAGGAATTTGCGTCTTTTTGTGGTTTCCTGGGAATCTCATTTTCGTTTTCCCGCTCCGTTACACTTCCGGTGAGCCTCGAGTTGGAACACTCGAAAAACGAGCGTGAAACGGAAATTATAGATAAAAATTCTGATGCCTTTATACGATCAGGAGCCGTTTCTTTCGTTTCCTAAGGAAATTTTTGAGTTTTCCATGCCTAACGAAAAGAAAAAATAACAACAATAACGATAATACCATAGACCAGTTCATAAATGATCAATATTTCTAATTACGTCAAACGACTCTTTGCGGTTTTTCAGTGCCTCATGATTGAAAACGATTGGATCGTCACGAGACAAGAAAATGAAGACCGCGAGATTTGAACTAAATTGCTTAAGATTGATTCGAATTTGTCATCATTTCAGGCTCATGATTTGGTCATGATCAACACGTGCACGGCTTCTAGGAGAGGGAACAATTTTAGAAAACGGAAACAGTTTTCGTGAATTTTGAAATTTCTACTTGAGTTAATGAAACGAAATTAAGGTCTCTCAAACAATAAAACATGGAAACCGTTATATCCCGATGCCTGTGGTTAAATGGCTCGCTATTCCCTCTGCAACGCTTCAAACTGCATTTCAAACGTAACTTTCTCTTCAAAGACAGGGGTATTAGTGCAGTTGAACCTCGTTTAACTCGAACTTCCAAGCGACACAAAAAATGGTTCGGGTCAGCGAGGATTCGAGTGAGGTGATAGTATTAAAATAAATGAAAAATGGTTCAAGGGGAAAATGATCTTGTTTGAGAGTTTACGAGTTCGAGGTTAGATGACCATTTGGAGGTTTTATATGACGTACGACGCTAAAGCTGCTGATATACCGATGGCGCATCCCAACGCTGAGCTTTTGTTGCCTTGCTTACAAGTTTGAAGTGCTCCAAAGGCGGGATTTTAGAATGGAAGGTTAGATTTATTCTACTTTCGTTTATTGTTTGCTTAAAAGAAAGGAAAAAGAAAACAGTAGTTCAATTTTTTTCCTCGAAAATTTAGAGCTGAGTACGTTAGTTCTTTGTATTTTGTTAAAGCTAATTGTCTTTGTTTTCGAAGAACTTTTGATTTTGACCACGTGCCGTTCGTACGAGCTCGCAAATATCTGGAAGAAAGACGTAAATTTGTTCTTGCTTACTATAAACCTATAATTATATGATTCTGAAGCATTCTCTCCTTTAAACAGCATTAAAGGAAACTAAGGTACTCTCTTACTAAATCATAATTGCTTGTTTTCGATTGTCTTTTGTTGTTCATTGTGCAGGTGACACTGTCTACCGACCCACTCAGAGTTCTGAAACCTATTCGGCTACTTATTGGTACGCAATGACGCAAAACTTGGTGAAGTCCTCAGAAGACTTCAATATACACTCCATACATGAAGATGAAGTCCGTCACAACTGTTCTATATGCAAAAAATCGTTCAAATGCAAATCTGAACTGATGCGGCATCATCGTGCCCATACGGGCATTCGACCGTTTATGTGTGATCTATGCTATAAAAGCTTTAACTACAATAGTGCACTCCTGGAACATTTGCGTGTGCATTCTGGAGAAAAACCATACCAATGCAGTGAGTGCAAAAAGTGTTTTAGACAAGGGTCAACTCTCAACAGACACAAAAGGATACATACAGGAGAAAAACCACATCAATGTGAAGTCTGTGGCAAGTGTTTTTCTGAGAAGAAAGGCCGCGATGTTCACAAAAGGACTCACACCTGTAAACAACCATTTTATTGTTCCAAATGCCATCAGTATTTTATGCGCAGGGCATCTCTGCTCAGACATATTAAGAAAAATCATCTTATTATGGAGTCCAACCCAGGTTGTTTAGATGATGAGGCCAAAAAAATTCAGAGACATGAAAGCACAGCACCACAAGCTGGATCTACAGAGGTAGTAGTTAAAGTGGAGAGACCAGATATTGAGGAAACGAGTCTTGAGATGCTGATAAAGGATAGTGACCTTTTGAATGATTTGAATTACCTCAAGGAGGAGGTTGTAAACTGATTTGAACACAACTTTTTAGCTTTCTCCCTTGTTTCAGAGAGACATGAAAAACTGTTAGCACTTTGATTTGATTCTGACAGGTGTATAATGTGGTCTGACCTACGAGTGTCCAAGAATTTCTGTGGGACAACTGCAAAGCAACATAGCACAATGTTAATCTTAAGTTTAATTGCAGGCAGAATTGGAGAACTCAAATTCTGCCACCAATTAATCAAACTCTGAATATAAAATAACCTTCAGTGGAACAACTTCATAAATAAAAGCAAAGAAGTTGAGTGTATTTTCAATGAGACCTCAAAGTCTGTTTCCATCGTTTGAACAGTATTTACTAATTATCATTGAATACCATGTTAATATTTGATGATTACGTTAGCTTAATATATGTTATGATCACCATGTTATGAACATTATATTTATGTAACTTTGTATTTATAAAGTATTTAATATGATTCTTTATCTTGTTGTCTTTCCATTCATTTTCATATTTCTAGATTAACCTTGCTAGCCTTATTAAGGGAATCCTCTTCCTGTTATGAGGTTCTCTTCAGTTAAACAAACATACTTATATATAGATTTATATGTTTTTAACTGAAAACTATCCAAAAAATAAACTCTCTTACATGTACACCACAAAACAAAAATGCATCTGTCCAATTGCTCCTCATGGTGTGTACATTGCACTATTTGTGCTCTTTCATGCATCCGATAACCAATCATGTGTGCACATTTTTTTTTTCAGTTTTGATCAATCATGATCAATTTTGTGCTGATTCTAAAATTACTTCCAGTCTTGCCATCAGAGAGATGGAAATTTTAATGTGATGTTTTATATGGAAGAAAAATGCCAAAGGGAACAGCAGGCAAGAAGGCCCTCATTAGTAGATCTTCAGCACGAGCGTTTTCTAACCTGCGGGAAAGTAAGACACTATATGCGATTTGAGTCAGTGGGAGGTCTGTAAGGGGTCTGGCAATCACTATTGGCAAATCCTCCCAACTCGTCTCAAATCCTCCCGCTGACGGAGAAACGCGCCACCTACAGTACTAAAAGTGAAGGCCTGGTCTGCGCTAAAGCAAAGAGATTCAACGAAAAAGGAACGATAATACCACGGAATTGTGAAGTTTGACGTAGACTGAAGACAGTGAACTTGGAAAATCTTGGCTAAACTATTTAAGGTTAAAAAAACCTCTCTCCAGCTCCTTTCAGATAATCACGCGTATTGTCAGTAACATAGAGATCAGTCTTTTGAGCATATTTCAGAATTCAAATGCTTTACTTGTGAATTTCAACCGTGTAAAAATAAGATAAACAAATAAGTAGATAAATAGATAAATAACAAAGTGATCGCCGGAAGTTTCAATTCTCTGGACACGAGAGAGGGCCGTTTGAAATAAAGCACTTGATTGCCGGCAAATTTGCCTTTAAGAAGCTGTAATCTCGCCCGTTTCTTATCATATTTGACGCGAATGGGCTTGAAATAAAGCGGACCTCGTGTGTTTCTCGATACAATTTTGGGAGGACTGTTCCCAATGTTTACGTAACCCTTAAGTTTTGATTCTAGTTTGGAGGAAGGACCAGGTATGGCGACTCCACCGTAGCCTGAAATCTGTAAACAGAGAGGAGTAAATGGTAAAGTGTGAGTTAACTAATAGATAGACAACGATCAGTCACCTCTTTTTGGCGGATTCTGTCGCGCGATTGATAGAGGATAAAAAATATCGATTTAAGCGCGCCGCGCGGAACTATTGGAATGAGGCGCATGAAAAAATATCGTTTTTCCTCGAATAAGTGCCCACTCTCGAAAAAGCGTCCTTCCCCCGAATAAGCACCCACCCCCTAGGGCCAAAATGTTAATTAAGCACTACACCCAATGAAGCGCCCCACCCCCTCCCTCACTGTCTCAAATTAGAAGGGATAAGAAAAAGCCAATTTCTATTGCTAATTAATCTATAACTTTTAAACCTTCGACTATTGCCGAATCAGTAGAGGAGAACAGTTTCTTTTCTGATCCAGTTATTTCTATCTCCATGCGCTTTCAGAGTTCCTCTGTGTGTGTAATCTGTCCTTTTAATTTTTGTCCAATAGATGCGCTCATAACAAGTGCTTCCTATTTGAAAGGTGAAATTTTTTACGCGCGTTTGGGAATATGAATAAATCTTGCAATAGAGTCCAGTGAGCATGCGCAACGCCTTAATATGGAAAAGCCTATTTTCTTCCCCAGAGTTGTTGTTTCTATTAGTCACGTGGTCGGAGAAACGACGGTGTGGCTCTAAGGACGGCAATACTAAGTAACTTGTTATCAATACCTCTTGACTTATTTTGCCTCCCAGATGAAATTTTTCGCTGTAAATCACGCTGTAAATAAGATGTAATTCCTCATCCTCCAGACGAGCCATCTTTCTTTTGTCAAGCTCAGTTTCCTGCAGTATATAGTCCAGATCTGGATCTTTGAAATATTCTTGGTCTAATTTCCCCAGCTCCAGTTCTCCCATATCATAGTGAATCTTGACATTACCCTCCACCATGGCTGTTATGAATCCAATGTCTATCCAGCTAAGTGACAGAAGCAAATGACGTCGTCTTTCGGGCATCATGAATTAATACAGGGGAGATTTTAAGCGATACACCACTCACAGTGTGAGCTGTTGACTTTGGAGTCCCTCAGGTTTGTTTGTGGTTGCGTGGCGATAAATTTATCTGACCCCCGCTAAGGCTCTGTAAAATTCTTATTACCCCCTCCCCCTCACTGGCAGCCAATTGCCAGTCAATTTTTTATAGTCCTCCCTTTATACTCTGTTGTTAGTGACGACTATTCCCCTTTCCGTTCCCCCTGAAAAATTTGTGACCCGCCCTCCAAAATCCTCCACACTCCCCCACCCCCCTCTGGCGATAAATAATGGCTGGTCTCCTTCAGTTCCCCCCTGCTTAGTGAGAGGTTATAAATGGGGAAAGGGAGGTGAGCCATTGGAGTTCAAATCTTTAAATACATATAAACAGCAAAACTCTGTGGATCATATAAGCAAGTTAAAAAGTATTACCTTTCCAGAGCTAACAGACGATCTTTTAAAGTTCTCTTGCAATCCACTTCATCCTTATTCTCGACTTTTTCACTAATTATCTCTAAGTTATTTTGTAGTCGTTTTCTTGAGTGAATAAGTTCCAAAAAATTTGTCCTTTTTTCCTCCTTTATATAACTCTCTAGTCCTGCAATAGTTATAAATTCCTTTTTGGCAAACAGCTGCTGAGATATCGGCCTCAGCCTCCGCTTCACCATGAGCACGAATGGTTTTACATCTGAAACAGTGTTTGGACCATGAAGTACGGGATAGTACGTGTAACCAAAATTCAACTTGGCAAATGTTTTAAGAATCTTCCTAATCATCTGAAAAAACAACAACATGTATGATAGATGAGAGTCACTCCATACCGAGTCTTGAGATTAAGAGCGGATTAGAAGCTGTTTTTGATTAAGCCTTTACACCCTAACATCAGTGGTTTGTGGTTTTGCAGCTTGTAAGAAGGCGAGGTAAAGAGAAAGTCTATCTCGTGAGATGTGGCACATCTAGCCAGAACTTATCCCAATTTCTATAACGTGAAGCAACAAGGAGTATTGTTATTTCCCCTTGATACAAGCTTCCCTGACAATTCATCAGTACCCAGTACTCCTAAGTGGAGAAACCCGCCAGGACTCGAACCTAGACCTCTCGACCCGGAGCTCATCACGCCAATCGTTAGGCCACTCAACTTGTAAACAAGTGACTATCTTAATGATGAACATGCAGCCGGTATCGAGATGAGAGCGTTTAAATGAAGCGTGACCAGATTTTAATTTGCAACATGAAACATGACTCAGCTTTAAAATGCTTCGGAAAATGTTTAAATCCCTCTTTGTTCGTTTAAAGATAAATTAACAATCACAAATTCCTGAAGTTCAATGAATTCGTTTGATTAGAATTCTTCGTTGTTTTAAATCTAGAGCGCTACCTCAACCTTCTTGTGTTGCCGACAGATATACGTCTCCGAGCTATGTAATTTTAAGATTTTGGTTCCTTGAAAAAATTGCTTCCCAATTAGTGGGTTCAATGCAAAAATATCAGTGTGTCTCACACGACCGCGCAATCAGACTTTAGACCGCGGGAATCGTATCCAAAGAAAAACCAACCAATGTTTTTATTTCTCAGGAATCTTATCTTCCCTAGCTTCTGAACAATGTTCAAGTTCCGCTTTGTCAAAACTAAAACAATATCCCAACGCTTCAAGAGTTGCAAGATAATTTTAACCCTCCAAGGATTAAAACATCAACTTACCTCGGTGTTTATTCGGTAACGAAGCTACCGTCAGATGACCTTTGTATGCCGAGGCAAGAACAACCAAAACTCGCAAGTATTTCTCCAATGTTGGTAGCGTCACGGATCGCAGTATTTACGAGAGTGCTCATGCAAATGCTAATCCTTCTGAAACGGAATAAATTTGAACAAAACGAGCCACAGAAACAGGGAGAGGATGATTTGGTCATGTATATTAGATATCCAAAGTTGTTAAAGTCAAGAATGCACAAATCCGTGATCGGTTTTTTTTATGTTCATTTTTCACTTTGAGGCTTTTCTTGTTTTGTTGATATAACTAATACATTTAATTAATGTTATGGGTTATGAATGATAAAAACCATGTCGATTCATTTTTAAAATTGATCTCATTTTTGAATCCTTTGAAGCCTTATTTTATTTCATATATATGGATGAGGTTTTAAGTTTGAATTTTCCGTATAGTTGAAGCTCAGTGTGCGAGCGTTGTCAGCCAGGCAAGCAGAGAAGCGTAGCAACTGTACTTGTTATGGAAATGCGACGATAAATCAAATAGCACTTGAGAATGTTTTGATGTTTTTTACTGTTTTGCTGTTTTTCCTTAGTCAGTCAGTTGCTTGATGAATTTTTCTGTTTGAAGTATTAAACTGAAAACCGTAAAGAAAACAAAAGAAATCTTTAAAACAGAAAAAAACTGAAAGAGGTGTACACTGAGCATAAAGAGGGGAAGTATTGGCTTGTTAACTGATAACTATGGGTGTTCGTGATACAGGCCCCCCTCCTTTTAGGTCATCAACATAAAAGTGTGATACAGGCCCCCCTCCTTTTAGGTCATCAACATAAAAGTTATAAAATTCAGCAGATGATTCGACAATTCTAGACACTCCACCTGCCGATCTTTCTCGCCGCGTGAGAACGTACGTGCCCGCTGATTGTTCGCGGGACTTTTTTCGACGTCGTCCCATTGTTATTTTACCTTCATTGTCTTTCTGATTAGTTATTGGCTGGTTGATAAAGGCCACCACACCTTTGAGCCTCTCAGTTCACGAGGTCAGCGACCTGGAACACGAGGCTTTCACCAAGAACATCGATCATCTTTTTAGCTGAGTATGCGCAGACATTTTGTTATTCGTGGTATGATGTAAAGTACTGCAATACGTGAAGTTAACACAATCGAGAGGAACTAGTTTTGGTTCTCAATCATAAACAATTTTTTTTAGTGATCCGGCGCCCATGATACCGAGATGATAACAATTTCTAACCAGGACTAAAAGATTTTAATGTAAAACAGTAAAAGGATCTTGAATTGAATCAACGCATCCCTGTTGAGCATGCGCAATAGCAGGAGAAAGCAATTCCCTTCTCGGAGGCTGTGATACGTTTTGCCAACGTCAATAGTTTGTGGCAAGAGAGGACATCGTTAAAAAATATATAAATGTAGTGGATGAGCTGCGATCGACACTTTGCGAGCGAGCAAAAATTTTCACTGGTCTGGGAAGGAATAAGAAAGGATTCACGCCGCTCTCATCCGCCTTCCTCCATTTTCTCTCTCTTGTCCCACTTTTTCACTCGCCCCCACAAATATAGATAAGTGGATGCAGTTGTACGTGACTTTAGCTTAAGATCAACAGTTTAATATATCTTTACGTGGCTTTTTGTTTTTGCACCAGACAACAAGCGAGCTTATGTTTATGTGCGCTTTGAGACTGGTGACGAGATATCTCACAGGGCGAAGTTTGCCTTTATTACTTGGATTGGGTCTAAAGTAGACCCTCTTAGGAGGGCTAAAGTCAGCACTGACAAGCAATTCAAGGAAATTTTTTAAGTCAGTATTTGATTATAGATTTTCTTCTAGAGATTCTTTAAAACCTGATCTTTTCCCCTTGTAACTTTCTTTGGCTAAGTTCGCTAACGATGGTGTGAGACTAGGTGCAAAGGTTTACGTCACTTGGTTTACTAATTCAAAACAGACTAAGACTAACAGGTTCCTAACTGATGTCAACAGCTGCCGACACCTTAGGCAGGACTTGTTCACGGCATTTACACAACAAACGAACCGAGCAAAACAACCGAACATTACCGTTGGATCGCAAATGATCGATCAGGACCGACCTAACATAAACGAGTCTTTCAGTCAATAACGTCACTGCAAAACTGACTAATTAGTTTACGCGAACCAGACCTGCAATTCTCTTTGTCTGTATCTCTTTCACCTTTCTCCTGTCATCATAGGTCTGTATTTCATGGTCTTTATCCGTTTTCTGTTTAAAATTCTAGATCAAGTTGGCTCCCCTTTTTCCTTGCTTTTAAATTTCCTTTCTTTTAACAATTTATTTTATATTTCGTATCTCTGTTTTCTGTTTTATTCAGGCATTTTTACCAGTCTTTCTGAGATTTCACTGTGTCCTTTTTCTTTGTTTTTGTTTCATTTAAGTCATTTCCTTTATCCTATTCCACTTTATTTACGTTTCTTTTTTTCTTCTTCGTACTCTTTTTTAGCTATTCGACAAGGAAGTCCTGGCGGATGAAAAAAAGGCAGGATACTGGAAATTCTTGAGAAAGCAAGTGGTGTCGCGTACAGTACAGGTCATTAACGGCTGGACCTCTACGTACTGCAATGTCCGACTCCACACGGTATTGAGCCGTTGGAGCGACATACACACAGGCTTATTTCGCTCGCTTAACAATAAGTTAATTTAATACAAGTCTTAAATGTATTTCAGTGTGTTGGCACCCTTTGATTGATTCATCAACTTGTCCTTGGAAACTATAACATTGGAAAAACAAAAGAAAACAACAAGTCATGGGTAAATGTTTTGTTTTTGTTTTGTTACTGTTGTTGAATTTCTTGCTACTAACTCTAATTCACTTGGACAAGTATCGACCTTGACGATTAGTTTGCGCATGGCGCGGAAGCTACATTATAATTACCATTATTATCAATATACGCGGCCAAATAGAAAATCGGCCTCTTCAAAACACAAGCTCAGCGGGCCGCAAAAGACTGACAGCGGGCTGCTAAAGCATTATCAGCCCTACAGCTGATTGGTTCTTGCTTCATCATCCGATGGATTTTAACCAATTAGAGTAAGCCTAGTGTTGACGCGGGAAAACCATTCATTTGCGAAACTCCGGTTTTGAACTGCAGTTTTTTCAGTCGTCGAATCGTCTTCGAGCGAAAACTGAAGTAATGGAAGAAATTGGCAGTCAAAACTCAGATTTGGGGCAAAAAGATTTGGACAATTATTAAAACTCGCATTCTTGATATCATTTGGCCTTGTTTATTGATAATAATGATAATGACATGATGACACATGATGACACATGATGACACATGATGACACATGATGACACAAATGACACTACGCGGGCGCAAATAAACAATATTCCCGAAAAAAGTCATGTTATTCCCTTATTGATAGCTTGCGTTGACACCCCTCGTTCTCGTTTTGTCACTTGGCTCCAATCCAATCCTCACGCGATTCACTTTAAACGTCCAAAAACTCGAAGAATAATGAGAAAACTTGAGGGGGCTGCAAATGGCCACAAAAAAAGTTCGCAAATGGTATGCATTTTTAATGACATGTTTATTCAGTTTTAAGTTTGTCCAGATGAAGGTATTTATTCGCCTTGGAGCAAGCGAAAATGAGCAATATTCCATTCAGTTTGGTGGGTGCATTGTATACCACATGGTTTCGGAGAGGGAAAAAAACCAAAAGGAAATTTGAAAGAAAAGCATAAAGTAAAACAAACTCGAATTAGTGGGAGAAAAATAAACCCCTTGTGAATTATCTGTCTTTCACGAACCATGAGAATTTCGGAAGGGGACATCTTGAAGAAAATTTAACTGGTTCTTACAACCAGAACAACAGTTTATATCACAAGGAAGTAAAACCACCCAAAGATGCTTGACTTGCGAAGTCAAGAAAGCAAACATTATTAGTTTCTTTTCGCAAAATATTTCCATGGATTCCGAGATTTTGCTAAGTTTCTCTTAGATAAATTTTCAAGAATCCAGGGAATGTGTTTGTACAAGAAGTAAGAATTCAGCTGTTTCTACGACGAATATAGCTTGTGGCCTCTATAATCCAAAGCACGATGTCGACGAGGCAAACACGACGATGACATATCTCGCTACGTCCTCGCTCCCAGGTCTCTCTATCTTCTCCACGCCTTCCCTACTTCCGGTGGCCGGGAAGAGAAAATACTCACGGAAACGTGTTTATGTCGCTGTTGCTGTTGCCTATTCTGTTTGAGTGTCATTTGCTATAACCGCCAGGAATTCCTCCTCTCGGTTGGACTGGGTTGTTAGCTCATCGCTGAGCCTCCATATTTTGATTCGCCCTTGTGAATCACCGGTGGCAAGTGTCTGACGCCTAGAAACAAAAATACAAAAAATTAACCGAGGAATATCGACTTTGATGGTTGTATTTCACAGTATGGAAGCCCTCGGCACCGGTTGCAACTTTTCCCAGACTTCTCAGTGGCCACTATATCTGACTAGCCAGACCAGTTACATTGTTTCCCGCGCTTTTCGCCGTCCACACACCGGTTACTTTTATTTCCCGCGCTTCTCTCTGATTATGTGTTTTCCGAGCTTGGTTTGTCGCTGACTCATCAGTCACAAATTTTCCCGCGCACAGAAAAACAAAACATTTTTATATCGAGCTCCGCTTAAATTTAGTTTACATCGCACACCAACAATAATGAAAAAGTAAATTTTTAAAAATTTGCAAGACATGAATAAACTACACAGTAGCTACAACAGAATAAAGGAATACCTTTGAAGGTTGTACTCCAACGAATATACCGGTGATTTGTCTGTTGTGACATCGAGCGTGACCACTGGGTTGATCCGGTCAACCTAGAGAAAAACAAGACATTCTTACAGCCATTTTCCAAATCGGCAGCAAATTATTATTTTTTAATTCCTTAACCAAAATGGAGACTGAAATATCAATATGGAAGGATAACAAGCAAGAAGGCGCTTTCGGAAAAAGGGTCAATGAGTGTTGTAAAATTTTCCAACTACGCTACGTTAGGCAAGAAAATTGGCAGAACATGATAGTCCTCTTTCCAAACGTAATCCGTCCCACGAGTCGAGTGAGTAAAGCG